TGGCATTATAGTGTGAGACATTCTGTTCTCGTGTTATCTGCCCAGCATCTCGATTCACCATTGTGCTTGTGCTATACAATTCCACCGTCTCCTAATTTGCATGGCTAAACCAGGTTTCACAAGTTTGGCGTTGCTCAGAGCTGTTAATGAGGCATGTATGATAATACCGAATTACCATATGTGAATGCTGTCTGGATTCAAATTTCCTCATTGTATTAGAATAGCTCAAAAGGTGACACCACCTGCGTTGCTCGTAAGAGAAACACTGCTTACCGCACATGCGCCAGCAGTGAGTGTAATGATGTCTCCCAACTGAAAGAAGCATGGGTTGCCATTAATCTCTGATGAATATAAAAATACATCCATAACAATATTTTACCAATTGTGAGATTTCTAAAATGATTTAACTTAATGTTACCAGTCTGCCATATATTATGTATACAGACGTTCACGTGTTATGCATATGGTGGAAGATAGGAAATCAGTGAAATTGTTTGAAGAGAGAGATTGCAATAATCTTCTAAATCATAATTATTAACAATACGGATTTTGATCGGTTTTGCACTTGTCAAGCACCGAAATCACAGGTGCGTGATCGTATGCTCAAATACCTGTACACTGAAAAGTTTAAACCAAACAATACAATGTTATGGGGAGAAGATTGCAATACTATTCACGAAGTCATTTATTTATGATTAAGTAATTCAGTAACATTCCTAATAACATTTTTTTCAGTTCACATTTTTTTAAGTACATAGGTGTGCATGCGTGAAAGTGCCAGGTAATTGCTCAACTTCTGGGAAGGGTGGTGTGACGTCCTTGTGACGCAGTCTCGCAATGCAAATTACCTGTGGCCTCGTGAACTCCTTCCGCCTTGCAGCGATGCTGCCTAGCAGGTTTGGCTCGACCGGTGTAAATCTTATTCCGTGTCGGCATGGCGTGCCGAACACACGCGCAATTTACTGCACAGGAATGTGGTATATGTCTTGAATTCTTTTACAAATGTTGAATTTCGTTTCTATTAATAGATTTCACTTTTTTATACATTTCAACATTATGGCGGGACCCCGGAGTCCCATAAGCCCCCGGCTCTTGCATAAACATTATATTATAATGTAAACACAAATTTTGCTCTTTTTCACCAATGGGTTTGAAGGATGGTGGCAAGTGTTGTCTTGTTAAACTATGCCTTTCAAACTGAAAACTACTTACCTGCAGTACCTGTATTTAAATACACTATCGAAAAAAAATGTACACTCCTCTGTCAATCATCGTGTTTCTCAGTGTGGATTTGTGAACACACTTTGTAAAAAAATAGTACTCGTTTTCAATGCGTTGTTCATATTGTAACAGAGTAGTGGGTCGCCGCTCCTCTTATCCGCATTGATACGAGCGGTATGTGGGGACTATGGCTTAACCGCAAAAAAAACCTATCTGCACAGATGCCAACGGAAAAGAGAAGTATTATCAAACAGGATTAATTAACGGTGTCACACATCTCATCTGTTAAATATCTGTAGGTAATAGGATTGTCATCGATTGATCCTGGCTGCAGACATTGGTAGGTCACAAATAATAATAAAGATAAGAGAGCAGTTTCCTTGTATTATGCATACCGTTATGACAAATAAAGGACTTAAGTCGTGTGGGTAGTTTGAGAAGCTTTGGGTAACACTTATGATCCTGCCCGTACCCGAGCATGGAGTGCATTCGCTTGTTCAGCTCTTGGGCGCATTCCTTGTCGCTGCGCGTTGGACGACACGGCAACAGAACGATCCGCGCCAGGTGGGTCGCGGCGTTTATGTGCGCGGTGGGACGGAGTCGTCAAAAATTAATTGATTAATTAATTACGATTGTGACTTCCGTTTATTCGGGACCCCGGGGTCCCGCCATAAGGTTCATTTTTTCATAGCATCATGTTTAAAATTAGGGTGTACTGTGGCAGCGTCGCCTATGTAAACTGTTGGCACTGATTCGTACACATACAAACCTAAGTTCGATTGCCAGCCATGGCTAACATCAGTGCCGAGTGATATCTGAGCAGTCCTGGGGCCCGCCCTTCACCAACCTTCACTGACTGCCATGATGGAGTTTGGTCAACACAACCACTATGACTGATGCGGCATAGGGAGCCTTCAACCATTATAAGATTGACAAAGGGCCGCACATTATTGTGATGCATTTCTTTTAAACTATAATTTGATAGCATCACATACACATGGAAGAATATTCCCACCAATCTTTTTTCATATGGCTGATGAAGATGCAGAGTAACAACTACAATTTCACATTCAGGTGGTCAAGCCAGACAACCACTGTGATGTCTCCTTTGTATTCCATGCAATCACACAAGTAAATGCATATCCATACAAAATTCATGATTCTTCTGTAATATTTGAAGCATATAGTATATCTGAACAATTATAGCCAATCAAATTTTACGTTACACGAACATTTGAAGGAAATTTAAATTACATGCAAATTTAAACACAGATACATATATATCTACTATTTACACGACAATGTAATAACTACCATTCATAATAATGACATTTAAAAATAGTCAATAATGACATTTATAACGCGCCAGATAATGAATCTAGCGATTGTTAACTGCCATTTCCTTGGCTTGAAGCAACCCTACCAAATTTGTTTTTTACAATCCAGCAAGCTTAAAAAACACGTGATTGGTTTCTCTTCATTGATTACAGTGTTTGGAGTGGTCACCTTTGCCCACCCATGATCGTTTGACATCCCCAAAACGACTGAAAGGGATTTGGGTTGTTTACGAGTGATCTTCTGACGTGTGTCCGTGGGCAGACTGCTGTGACCCACCACAGAATAAAAGCCGACCGTGAATGTGCGACCTTTAAGTGTTTACGATGTTTTCTCGGCGAATGTGCTGAATACTCTATTCATCAATATTCAGGTCTCTGGCAAAGACATGCATGAAAAGCAATCACCAGAGAACATTTGCTTTTTCATGTGATATCATACTCAACACTGTTCCTTTTGATGGATAATTTTGTTTCATATTATTGGTGCAATTTATCACTCAATATAACAATTCTTATGCACTGAAAATGTTCAGAAATATTAAACCAATTTCCAAGTACAGCACCGAAGAAAGACAAAGACGTGGAACTAAAACTCAGTGAAAACTGTGGTGCTTTGATATGCTAAAGCAACAGAGTGCTATCCGTCAAGCGAGCACTGGCAAGCATGTGGCACATTGTAAATTACACTGCACTGGGGTGGCTGAATTACCTAGTAGGTGTGGTCAGTTGTAGAGGTCAGAGTCGGCTCGGGTCAGTTTGTCCTAGAGTTGACAGTTGATGCATATGTCCCTAGGTGTACCTGTTACGCAGCAAGCAATAAAAAAAATCTCGACAAACAAATATATAAAGAAAAAATACTGGATGCACAGGTGATTGTGTGCTAATGATCACTACTCTTGAAGCAATACCATTTCTGTAGAGGCAATTCCCTTGTAGTGGTGCCCGCTGTACTCTCTGTGTTTTAAGATTCCCGTCAAAGGTGTGTGCAGAACGCGCCATTCCCGACTCAACTGGTGACCGTTAAATTATAAGATACCGCCAAAGAAGGCACGTACAAGTAAATCACCCGCTTTGGGCAGGCCCCCCCCCCCATCCCTTTCGTGCAAAGTTATACAACTCCCGGCTGGTTTAAGGCACATTGTTCAAGTGCCACTGTGCTCAGAATAAAGCACGTATTACTTTTGTTGATTTCAGGCAGAGATGCCTGAGATACTGGTTTGAGGTGTTCAGCTGGTAAGAATATTAAATCATGCCTCGTCTCACCTTGGATAAACTGGCACTGATGCTGTTCTGGTTGTGTAGCGAGTGCCTTATTTAAGAATATTCCCCCTGCATGACGATGTGAATGTTTATAGTTGAAATTATTTTTTTGTCATGGTTGTCAAGGAGGCTAATCTTACATGCACTAACTTGGATTTTGTATTAACACTGAGCGTCTCCTGCGGGTTAGCTGATTATCTGTGGCAAGATCCTCTATTGACTAAGCAAGTTCGATTAATTTGGACCGTTATATGCATATTATTAGTTAGGTTCACCATTGCAGTGTGCTAATGTTCCAACTGCCTTTTGCAATATGACTTTAAAATTGGCAAAGCCTTCATCCAGGAGTCGATTCATAATGAGCTGTGAATTCTTATTATATTTTAATAAATTCTATTCTCGTAGACCAACAATCTATATACGGCAGACTTACGAACGAGTTACGTTCCTGAGAACTGTTCGTAAGTCGAACGGTTTGTAAGTCGGAACACAATAATGTATGTACTGTATTTAAATATATTTTTTGCGATCATTGTTATAAAATGTGTTACGTTTCAACAAAAAAATAAGAAAAGCATTGTTAAACTCATAAATAAAAATAAATAGTGCACATTTGTACATTTACCGAACGAAATAGTTCCATGGTTCAGTTTGTAGGTGCGAGTTCACATTTGTAAGGCGGATGGTGAAAAAATTATTATCTTACAGAAGCTCGTTCGTAAGTGCGGATGTTTGTACGTCAGACGTTCGTAAGGCGAGGTCTGCATGTATTTAAGTTTTACATATAAAATACTATGTAACACAAAAAACTGAGCTCAAACACCACGTGCACAGGATTATCAACAGTTGGCATTGTTATTTGCAGCCTTAAAGGGTTCGAACAGTGAATCTCTGCAGTAAGTTGCCACTGCGTCGCAGTGCACAAGGGAACCATGCTGCTTGATGTTGAGGGTTTGTCGTAGCTCATCATCATTGCGAGTCCGTATAGCGAGCGCCGCTTCACGTAAAGCAAGCAGCAGTTGTCTTGTGAAGAGGCTTGCCAACGTTGCCGCCTGGTTTCAACAGAGATGTTTGAGCGTTGGAACTTCTGTAATATTTTTTTTACTCGACTTATTCACAGTGCCATGCACAGGACTCTTAACTGATGTGGACCGGGGTGGGTGTGTGACGTGGTCCTGGCAGGGCGCAGCAGGGGTTCATCGAGCGTTGCTGGAAGGACGTGCGCGTCGGGGACTTCCTGAAGCTGCGCTGCAATGAGATCATCCCGGCCGACGTGCTACTGATGGCCTCCAGCGACCCCGACGGGCTCTGCCACCTGGAGACGGCCAATCTGGACGGTGAAACGAACCTCAAATTGCGGCAGCTCGTCAAAGGCTTTGCCGACCTGGTGAGTGACGCTCACTGCCCAGAGCTTTTGCCCCGATGGACATGCTCATGCCCGTGTGTAGGCCGGTCCTCCATACACCTTGTACCGCACAGGGACACCTACCACTGGGGGTCCCCTTCGCTAGACTACAGCAGGGCAATGGAATTGATGGAAGGAATATGAATCGCTTAGGATTTTAATGCCCTATAAATGCAAATCCTTTGAGCCAAGTCGAGCAGTGCGCTGTTGTCTACTGTGCGCGTCCCTTCGTTGCTGGTGTCGGGTGCCATTTTTTTTAGTGCAGGTGAACACATGCTTATAATAATGTTGCCACGCTCGGAGGTCAAAGGGAAAAAGCACATTGTGCTGAGAAAACCATAAACACTGGTGGTATCCGTTGTGCTCTGACTTGGAATACATTCATGCCAACGCATTATTGAGGACTCTTCTCGCCACCCCATTCAAGAACGCTTTCCTTGAAACTCACGAGGTTCAGCCATGAAGGGCCCTTTTGCACTGTGCCTTCCATACAACTGTGAAGATTAATATGTGGAGTTTCACGAGTCATCGTAAAAATGTATCCCACTCAGCAGGATGTTTCAGAATGGATATCCTTGAATGTGCACGCAGGCACATCACCTGCATCATGAAATACGCATCTGTCATAACCTTCCTCGGCAAGTTATAAATAGTTGTGGCCCACATGCAGCGAGGATTGCTTATGAGGCCTTTCTCCACCCATGCCATCTCCCTCGCTCTTTCCTATCCAATCGCTGCCTTACGTCAGTGGTCGTGCATGGCTCACTAAGTGACCTCTTATTGTTTTCACGATTTAGCTTCTTAAATTTGAGACGAGGCAAAAGTACAGTAAATGTCTCCCACCCATTTATGAGCATTGCTTGCTGCTGCTTTCCTTCTTAGGCGGTGGCCCAAAGCTAGTGATGGAAATACCACACTCTGACAATATGTACAGTTTAAAAATACTGTTTCAATAAAAATGCTAGTTGATATAATTAGCATCTGGTCACATGTTTGTTTGCTAGCAGATACGTCACTCGCCACTGATGTTAATCTTGGTTGAGACTCAAACTCGGGTCACCAAGTTCAGAGCCCAGTGTGTGAACCACTGCTCCACTGCTCATCTGCTAAAAAATGTTTTTTTTTTATCTGTGATAAAATGTTATCTGGAAAATGTAGGTTAGTTTCATGGACAGAATAGCAGCACCGTTGATTTTCAACTCGCAATGTTTTAAAGTTTTGAATGAATGCATTGTTAAAATGTATCACTTTGGTAGCAATTTACAGCACAGGAATGTAATAGTGGGATCACGCGATTTCTGCCCAAGGAGACGTTTTTTGACAAGATAAACGGCAGCAAACCCATTCAGTAAAATCCACACTAGCCAGTGCGATGAAGTATGGTCAAACAACTCCCATGACCAACACGGCATGGGGGAGGCCTTGATCCAGCAATGGAGTGACACAAATATACTACAAGTTTTTCTTATGTAACAATGCCAATATATCACATGGAAATAGTGTGTAAGATTAATCTCAATCAAATCCTGATCCTTTTTTACAGGAAACGTAATAGTTAACCAAGTGGCTCACATTCTCAAGCAGAAACAAATTCAGAAATCCTCTTGCGTGTTGCAGGGAGTGTGGATTGTGAGGGTTAAGATAGACTAAACACAGAGATGTAGTGGGTTCTTTATCACTGTAGCCTACATCTTTTAAAGCATCTGGAACTTTCTTTTGCGTTTATTGTCTTGTCCTTTCCCCGCACATCCAGCACAGTTGCTATGTACGGTGCAAAAAAAGTTCAACATGCATATGTAAATTTTTGTATCTGCTCTACAAAAATGTAAATATTCAACGACCCTTCGATGCATCATTGTTTTTCTGAATGGCTGCTGATTTGCAGGCACGTCATAGCCTTCTACATTTCATATCTCTGGAATGTTTTCATGCACCATATTCAACATGCTTGCACATGCAAATATGCTGTACACTCCTTTATTTCACACACTGCATGCACGAACCCTGTAAATTCTAGCGAGTACAGCTGCAGGTGTCACGGCGGTCATCTGAGGTCAGCCACACAAGCAACGCACAGTATCTAAAACAGCAACGACAGCAGATTTTAAATCTATGCCCCTTCTCAAGTGAGTCCAGGCAAGCGCGTATCTTAATTGATGTACCCAGTGCCATTGGTGGAAGTTCTACCTTCCTATGGCAACATTGTTATATCCACAGGATGACAGCGATTGAAATCCAACCCAAGCAGTGCCAGGCCATTGGAGAGCTACTCATTTCACTGACCCTGGCTCGGAGTTGACATCTCGGATTTTGTAATTATGGGGCCTGCTAGTCGACTGAGATAAATCCTGCACATGAACTCTATTTTTGTGGCTATAGATAATTATTTAAAATGTAACATAAATAAGCATCGATAATAATAAATACAAGTACTAACTAACATGTCATTGTAACTAGAACTATACTTCCCTCATCGTTTAAAAACACCTGCGATTGTATGGCCTACGTCAATGTAAATATTGCATTACATGATTGATAATGCAGATAAAGATTGGATTCCAGAGTGTGCTGAGTCGCCACCTGTCCAGACAGTCTGGGAATCAGCATCTGTGCTGTGGTGCACGGTATTGATTCGTACCCATATTGATCTGGTACCGGCGTTGCTGTGTTAAGCTGTAATGTGTTTTACTGCAGAGTTTTCATAGATCTGGGCTGGCTAAGAAACTTGTCTTTGTTTTTTTTTCTAGAGTGGAAAAGGTGGGAGCCATCGAGTATACCTAAAAGAAAATAGTTTGTAACATTTTATACATTTCAGATTTAATTTTTGATTGAGCTACGCATCGATGAAACTGCATCTGTCCACCAATATATTTGGATACGAGGCATTTTACGAAGTAAATTATAAGCTTCACGGCTTTTTGAAGTTATGTGAACTGTCAAGGACAATTGGCACTGGATAAAGTGTCTCAGACGAAAGAATGTGGGCTTTCTAAAGAAGTTCTGAACAACCTGTTTGCATGGTATTTATTGGCATAACTTCTTTCATGTGGAGCCCTTACTTCCTGGTTTTGTCTGTTGAGTTTGGCTACCTAACACCTCCCATCACTGCATTCTATGGCGACAATCCAAACAACAGCAGGCTGAACGATTGAAAACAGAAATTCTTGCATTGACTTCCCTGCTGTGCAGGTCATATTTTTATAATCTTCACATTTGCTTGCGAAGTTCTCAAGTTAGAATTTGCGGGGCTCCAGATGTGCACCCTTCCTTGACTTGAAAAGCGCTTCATTATAACGCTAGCTTCGTGATTACTTGAAACCGACGAGGGGAGCGAGGAAAATAAAAAAGGGGTTCACTCTGCAGAGGGTGACTGATTCCAGCAAAGTTCGTGCAGGATACCAATATTACAGGCGCCTGTTAGTGCACATGGATACAACAAGGACAAAGTGTACGTTGTCGAGTTCATGTGGCGAATCTCGTAACTTTTTATTGTATATTTCAATATTTAAGTGCAATTCACCTCACTCTTAGTAAGATTTGTGTTAAATAATTAGAATATTCTGCATTTCACAATGAGCCAGATGATTGCGTCAAGAGCAGTGTATCATCGTTACTGTGATGCCTCTTTCTTGTATTAAAAGTGCCTTTTGATATAACCCAGGTTGCCCTTGCAAGAGGCCATGCATCATGCCTCAGGAAGGGCCTATATATTAAACAAATATGTTATATTATCTTTTTATTTTGCAACCTGTATCATTGCGTGTGTGCGCAGGATTGCGATTTCGACCCTATGAAGTACACAAGCATCGTAGAGTGTGAGAGGCCAAACAACGACCTCAATAAATTTAAAGGTTTCATGTGAGTATTCCTTGTGGTCTTGGAGGCGCGTCATCGCCTTATTCGGATCTAGTGCGCGGAAAGTGTCTGTTGTGAGACTGTGCCGAGTGGAGGGGTTGAGGATTGGCCATCTCTCCACAGGCTGCACAGCAACGAGCGCAAGGTCGGACTCAGCAAGGACAATCTGCTGCTGCGAGGATGCACGGTGCGCAACACGGAGTACGTGGTGGGGATCGTGGTTTATGGCGGTAAGATCAGAGCCACTGCAAGCTCTAACACAGTGTTCTTCGTTGCAAGACCACCAGGGGCCACTGACCGCGACGGCATGTGCAGGCCTTCGCTCAACAGTGAACCAACAAAGGGCTGTGCATTGTTATCGTTGTTAATATCACCCATTGTTAATCTGCACAGGTCACGAGACGAAGGCCATGCTGAACAACAACGGGCCTCGCTACAAACGCAGCAAACTGGAGCGCAACATGAACATGGACATCATCTGGTGTGTGATCATCCTGATCGTGATGTGCCTCTTCATTGCCATTGGTAAGTCTTCGTCTCGCTCTGGGTGACCTTGCCTATAAACATCTGGCAGTGCCACCAGCATCGGTTGAAGCGAGTTTTTCATCTTGCGGCCCCCTTTGCTGCCGCAGCTCATGGCCTCTGGATGGCTGGGTACGAGGAAAATCCGCCGTTCGACGTCGCGAGCAAGGACGGCAGCCACATCTCGCCGGTGCTCTCGGGCTTCTACATGTTCTGGACCATGATCATCATTCTCCAGGTAGGTAGCGTGGAGCGTCTTTTTGCCACGTTCGCATTTCAAAACTATGCAGAGTGAATGCGTGTCAACCTGGAAGCTCAAAGCCGTGCAAGAAAACAAGCCCGTTTCGACTGCAGCTGATAAAAAAAACTCTCTGACCAAGTTAATGTATTGTTCACATCCTCTACCCAAACACTTTGATTTGATTGGCTACATTAGGTGGTGGATGTTCTTGCTTTTTTATAATACTCTGGAATAATTTGCGCACCGTTTCACTGATATATAAATAAATAAGTGTATGTGGTCCGACCTTGCAGAGTACCTATTTCAGCTGGTTACATTGTGTAGGTAGCAGGTATCCCTTCTTGGGATTTGAGTATGTGCTGGGTTTTGTCCGAGGACTCATTTCCTCCCCAAGATAGAATGCTGCTGCTCATTTGTGAATAGTTCAAAAATCCCAAGTATGACACTCCGAAGAAACAAAGATGAAATCGACGAGATGTTATCTCCCTCGCCTGGTAAGCAGGAGGTCATGGGTTCGATCTGACCCTGACACCTGTATATTTGGAGTTTGCATGTTCTTCCCGTGGTTGCTTGGATTTTTCTCCGGGTCCTCCGATTTTTTCCTCCACATTTAGGAACATGCGCTGCTAAAAATTTCCACGTGATAAGTCACTTCTTTGAGCTATCATTTGTGGCCAGGTCGCTCAGTGGGTCTTACCTGATACAATGAAATTAGTTTAGTTCCATAGTTCCATTTATTTGGTATAGCCCTGTGAGCCATTCGGCTCTTGAATCGGGTGCAACCGCAACAAACAAAAAACGAAAACATGAACAAGAAAACATCTTAAAGTGATTATGTCACTGTGCAAACAGAAAATCCAGGAAAAAAACATCAAAATATTCCTGAAATAGCACCGTACACCAACACTGTGTGCAAAAATCCCAGTGGGATGCAAGTCAAACAACAACAACAACAACCACAAGACAACTAAGATTAAGGCCATCAGTCCAACTCTGTACTACAATAAAGAAAAACATGGCCAAAACCCCAAAAAGTTTTCGAAATCACCAAAATAAAAGCCATAAATGCAATGTAACAGTGATCATAGGGACTGTGACCGAATTTTTAACAATAAACTACATAAATAACATGTAACACCAAACCCTAGAGCCATATTTTAGGCCACTGAATAGCAGTGGCAGATAGGGGTGTACAACTCCTCTAGAGCAGTTTTGAGTGAAGATCTCATAGGTAGTGATTCAAGTTGCAATTTATTGGCAATAGCATTCCAGACCCTGGGGGCATCAATAGCAAAGGCCCTTCCTCCGGTTTTTGTACGGCAATAGGGAATGTGAAGCTGGTAAATGAGATGATCCTTAATGAAAGAGATGATCCTTAATGAAAGATTACACAGAAACGCTTGCCATAAATTAACCACAAAACCTTGCTGATCTCATCAAGGAGCTTAAACTATCACGCAAACCCGGCATCTTCGCAGCTGCATTTGGCTAACCGTTGAACAAAGACGGTGACTGCATCATGCGCTTTCAGATAAGCTTCTGCGACTCTCTGGAATCCTCTTCTTCTTGGTTCTTTAGGTAAAGTCATGTAGAATGGAAACAAAGTAATAAAAATAAAACATAATAAAATAAAATTATCACGACGTTTCGGCCACAACACAAGTAGCCTTCGATTTAAAGCTTTCGTGACTGCAAGGATTTATCTTCTTTGGTTCTTTCAGTAAAGTCACGTAGAATGAGAATAAAATAATAAATTGATAAAATAAAATAACACAATAATATTCTCACGACGTTTCGGCCACAACACAAGCGGCCTTCATCAGGTGAAGGGACGAGACTGTCTGGTAGGACAGCGCTGTCCTACCAGACAGCGCTGTCCTACCAGACAGCGCTGTCCTACCAGACAGTCTCGTCCCTTCACCTGATGAAGGCCGCTTGTGTTGTGGCCGAAACGTCGTGAGAATATTATTGTGTTATTTCATTTTATCAATTTATTATTTTATTCTCATTCTACGTGACTTTACCGAAAGAACCAAAGAAGACAAGTAGCCTTCTTCAGGTGAAGGAACAGAACTGTCGGGACGACAGCGCTTCAATGAACGCTGCTAAGATTCGTAGCGTCTTTTAAGCTAGGTGAGAGAAGTGAAGCGCCTTGACAAAGGAGTTTACATATCAAACAGGAGAATTTAGCTTTGAAATAGCTGAGGGATTAGCTTGTGACTGGTCACAGAAATAGCTATGTTAAAGTCAAAGTTTACATATTAACAGAGGCATTTAGTATATGGATGCTAAAGGGCTACAACTACCCAACTATCATACAGTAAACCGTGAAAAAACTAAGTCTAAATTACATCAATATAATAAATGTACTCAATATATTTTTAAATAAGCTGAGCTATTAACACAAAGCAACTGGGTATACACTACACTATATAATGAATACCATATAGTAAACCAATAAAAAACTAAAATATAAACTACCTCAATGTTATCAATAAACTCTATATACTCTCCAACCAGCTGAGCCACTAACAATAAGTCGTTATATATCACAATGCCATATGGCGAAAAAATGGGTGACGGTTTCTTCCCCTCAACGCCAGCACCACGGACAGCGACGAGCCCCGTTCAGACGGACGAGTCCATCCATGCTCGGAACTGAGGAGGGGGGAGAGAAACAGCCACGATGCGCTGTTATACTCCATGTTATCAACCATACCATTAACCGTGGTGTGAGAGGTATTAAGAGGCAATGCCAGCGAAAGAGCTGCGGTCTGAAGGTCACCGTAAAATGCAATTAATTAAGAACCAAAATGGTTTAAAACATCTTTCCAATGGTTACTAAGCCAGAATCCATCTTCTCGGTGGAAATTGTTTCTGTGCTTGGATATGTGGATGGCCTCATGAACGAATCTCTCATGGTAGCTGGTTGGCTTGCAAAGAACCTCTGTCTTGGAGAAGTCAATGTCATGTGACCCCACTGAATTATAATCCTCTTCCTTCCCATTTTATGAAGCTATTAAAGCTATGCACTTTTAAATCTAGATTTAAAACTAATTTCTTGATAACAGTTTTTTTGTGTTTAGTTTGTTGTCCTTCCCCCGCACCTCCAATTAGCATGGTTGGCTATATGTGGTGCGAAATAAGTTCAACATATATACCTACATACGTTCCACTCACTCTGCCCCACCTCCACAGGTGCTGATCCCCATCTCACTCTACGTCTCCATCGAGATCGTCAAGATTGGGCAGATCTACCTCATCCACCAGGACGAGGAGCTGTACGACCCAGAGAGCAACACACCCCTCCAGTGCCGTGCCCTCAACATCACCGAGGACCTCGGCCAGATCAAATACATCTTCTCCGACAAGACGGGCACCCTCACCGAGAACAAGATGGTCTTCCGCCGCTGCACTGTTGCCGGAAAAGAGTACTCGCACAGTAACAATGGTAAGTCAAACAGTTTGCCCAACCATTTGTATATCAACAATCGCATCATTATTGCACGATCAGAGTCATAGTGCAAGGTTTTATCAACATCCTCTTGGATAAAGTCCCCGAGTCAGCAGACGGTAACGTCATGTCATTGAATGGCTCTGACAGATGACGTGACAGGAAACGGCCCAAGAAGATGACACATCATACTCTTGTGTCATTTCAGCTTGCCTCTTATACACACACACGCAGATACAGACAAAGATCTCTGGTGTAGCCTTCACAGATTGTGAAGTGCTGTCAGCGAGCACCTATTACGACTGGCATGGTACACGAGGGGGTGGGTGGCCAGCACCACACCCAACCGCCTTTGTCTCCCCAGTGGCGATGATTTTACACACCGTAATAGGTACTCGACCTAGCGGAGGCCCAGGACCGGTTCAGATAATTGTCACTGGTCTTGGCCGTGAGCGAATATGGTACTCGGGTCACCGGGTTTGTAGCGCAATGCGCTAAGCGCTAAACTACTATTCTTCTCTTATACACACACACAAAGACACAATAGGCTGTGCTCCTCAGTGATCTTCGAAGAATCATGTGGTTGGGTTTTTATATGCAAATATACATCCTGGAAACTAAGCCAGGCCAACTGCAGTGAAAACCAGTCATCGTGCAATATTTATTTTGCATTCACTGGTGATCAGGCTTAGGTGAACAAACTCTGGAGACCGGGGAGCCACCTTTACGATATCTCATCATCCAGATGCAAATCCATGGTCTCAACAGGACAAAGGACAGTGGTTTAATGTGGACATTAACCCCATGTGACGCCTGTCCATCTCCAAAAACTCAAACTGTGGCTTGGACATCGCTTAATGCAATGCATGTTTGTGTTACTGTGAGCAGTAAAACGTTACAGAACATACAAGTAAGTTGTCGTTTTATTTAAATAATATTTGTGCTTTTTAAATCAAGATAAAAAATTGTGCACGCACTGTTAATTAACTTTCATATGCAGTCACAATCATTTATTTTTGATACAGTAATGTGTACATGCTTGGCAAACTCTTCCACACCTGGCCAGATGTCTTGGGAAGAGGTGGGGTACCCACACTTAACCCCACCGCACACGACCTCCTGACCGGCTAACTGTGGTTCTACCCATTTATATTGCCGGATAGACTGAGGAGATGGGGTCAATTGAATAAACTTGCACCATTGTTTTAACTGCTGTTGCCCAGGAGATGGAATAAATACAATCTATTTAAACTATTATTATTTTACCAGGTAAGGCCCACTGAGCTATATAGCTCTTTTTCATAAGCAACCTGCTCACATATGTTTGCTCAATGATGTGGCTAATCACATGGAAATGTCCAGCAGCCAAATACTCTAAATGCATGTTTCTAAATGTGGAGAGAAAAACTGGAGGACCCGGACCACGAAGGAAACATATAAACTCCAAATATACAGCATGCGTCAGGGCTGGGATCGAACCCATGACCTCCTGTATACCAGGCGAGGGAGATAACATTTCTCCACCGCGGCACCCCAACAGAAAAAACCCTGCCTCAAATGACTATTGCCATCTCCCAATGATGGTCCTTCGCTATTGTCCGATATTCCACTTCCATCGCAAATGAATTCTATCCATAAGATGACCACTGCACACTTCCCATGAAGTAGTGCTAATTTTAATGAATGACGGGCCGAATCCATCCTCACGACGTCCGACCTGCAAGCCCAGCACCCCGCTAATGCCCTGCGGCAGCTGCCACGCAGTGATGGCCGCACAATTCCCTCCATGCCCTTACTGTTGGACCCCCACCCTCCACTCCTTTTTCTTGTCGACCCTCTCAGCGCAGCGCCTGGCCGCCTACCAGGACTCGGAGTCCGACGGGGACGAGTGGGCAAGGGGCGACTCGCTCTGGCGGGGTGAGCCGCCGCCCCCCGTGCTGACCGCATCGGAGCGCGCATGCACCCTACCCTCACGCGCCGTGGGAGGGCGGCACGCGGGCAACCGCACCCAGCGGCACCGGCGCAGCCTCCGCAGGACGCCCAGTGCCCACTCTACGCGCTCCGCCCCCGGCGCCCGCTCCACACCCTGCCTGATGGGCCACCGCCGGCAGCCCAGCGTACTCTCCAAGGAGGCCGCGTTCAGCAGCCCCATGGTGAGTTGCGCGAGGGCGTCCGGCGCCGTGCGGAGGCAGCGAGGGTTGGTGGTTCGCGCACGAATTCGTGAAAGTCCCTCCCTACCCGCTTGGGGCCGTGAGGTCGCCACCTCCTGGCTTTCCAGGGTACGGGCGGTACAGCAAGAAGATACATTTTTATCCGTGTTCCATTTTACGAAGGTTGAGTGTTACCCACCCCCTCACACGCATGAGTTTTCCCTGGGTGCGCCGGTTTCCTCCCACCTGTATAACCACATTAGTGGAGCTAGCCAAACATCCCAATATAGGGCTACTTTGGCATTGGCTGTGGTTGCCTTTTTGTTGTTCATAAATCAGATCGATAATTTAGGGGATTTGGGGGGGGGGAGTGTGGATGACATGCAATTGGATGGTGGAATTATGTTTTCTGACATTCAGTCTTAGTCACACAAAATTATTCACACCTGAAGTACATTTATGGTTGATTGAAGCATGGTCACATCAATGTCTAACAATTGTATGGACAACACCTGATATAGTCACATATGCTCCAAGACCATGCAGAACAGTTGTGCCAACAGCAAATCTGGAATGCATCATGTTGCCATCCACTGCTATAATAATACTCATTCAGAGGTACATGATTGCTGTGGCTTTGCTCACTGTGTCCAACACATATCATTGTCATTACATAGATTCACTTTGGTTTTTACAGGGGATTGATTTGCTCTTAAAATGTGTTTTTTTTCCGTAGGAGAAAGATGTGACGCCAGATCCCCAGCTGGAGTCACGGGTTAGAATGTACCTCAAGAATCTCAAGTCTCTCCCCAGCAAAAACGGCACCATTGTGATTCCCGAGGACGTCGCGAACGTGGTAGACTTCTTCATCACGCTTGCCATCTGCAACACCGTCGTGGTGTCGTCTCCAAACCAACCACGCATCAAGGTCAGAGACTCGGCCCGAATGTAGCACGGAAGAAAACGATGCTCCTTTATCCGTTTAGTCAGTCCTGCCACATGAGAAGCGGTCAGAGTGATCGACTCACAATACCGGTCAGAGATAGACTCGACTGGTCATTTCACCAGCTTCATTAAAATGAGCGCTACTTCATGGGAAGTCTGTAGTGGTCATCTTATGGATCGAATGGATTTTGCGATGGAAATTTCGATCAATAGCTGAGGACCGTCGTTGCGATATGGCAATGCTCATTTGAGGCATGGTTTTGTCTGTTGGGGTGCGGGGGTGGCGAGATGTTATCTCCCTCACCTGGTATGCAGGAGGTTGTGCGTTAGATCCGACCCTGACACCTGTATATCCGGAGGTTACATGTTTTCCCCGTGGTCGAGTGGAATTTTCTCCAGATCCTCTCCTTTTCCCCTCCACATTTAGAAACATGCCTTTATTTCATTTGGCTGCTTCTATCAATTCCTATATATGATAAGTCTTCGTTGAGCTATCATTTGTGCCCAGGTCACTTCTGAAAACGAGCTAATAGCTCAATGGGCTTTACCTGGTAAATATTTCAGGAGGGTTCTTTCTCATTTTATAATTAGAGCCAGTGCAATGTTTAGTATTTTTTCATGTAGAAAGAATCTAGAAAATACTCAAATTTACAATGGAAGAGCACTCAAACACTGCACAAATGGCATGTTAGGACCCGACTTGATGTACTTCCTATTTTAGTTACATTGGAGTCTCGCAAACATGTTAGTTCAATTTCTGCTTGAATTAGAAACCTCGCTCCAAGGGAATGGATTACTGGTCTGCACCACAAACCGCATCCAAAGAATGTAATTTCTATAAAAACAAATATTGAATAAAGGAAAGCTCCTCTTATCCATGGCGCTAAGATGTATCAATGTCATGTATCTGATTATCCCCCTCGTTATCCATGATATTACTCGTCTTATCTGTGGGGTAAACACATCACGAATAGGACACATTTCCTGTGCAAATTCTCTAAGCCACAGAAACATTGTGAGTATAGGGAGCTATGCATCATGGGTAAAATCACAAATAATCATGGATAACAGGAAAAAATATGGCCGAGGCTAATAGGAGTTTTGCAGACCCTACAGCGACCATGGATAATAGGAGTCACATGTATTAGGATTGTGAATAAAAGAAGTTCTCTGTTGCAAACCTGCAAATTAGAAAAAGCTTGGTGCAACGTAAATAAAATACATATTGTGGAATGTATGTACCAATTGCATATCAATGTTTAATAGATGTAGTGCATTAATTGCTCAGCTTAACTTCTTTTGTGGGGTTGTTTTTAAATGTAATTCCATTTTAACGAATTGCTAAATTATCAGTCATCACGTGTAAAGCACTCTGAGATGCCTTGGTATAATGGAGGCCCTGTAAAATACAAATAATGTCATTATAATTATTTTAACACTCATTGTCACTTGAGTTTCAGTGCTTTTTGAAATCCGCTCTTGTAGTATGCTGTACTCCTCGCTTGTTACGTTAGTAATTTTGCCTCTATTGTGTTGCGTACAGAAGAAGAAAGCGTCAGGAGTAACATCACCGATGAAGAAACTTGAGGAAATGATGAAGAAGCTAACACCGCTGCGACTCAGCTCTGTGACTCCCAGCTCAAGCTTCAGTTTGCATTCAAAGGCAGCGGACAAGAGCAATGCCCTGTACTCCCCAGCTGCCTACCGTGACAACCTGCAGGCCAAAGCAGAGACGGGGAGGCCTGTGTCTCACCCACCAACCCCTTGCTCTCCGCTGGCTGCCAAATCACTGGCGGCTGGCACGCCTACGAGCCTGGAAATCCCGTGGCTTGGGTGGAACACTCCTTCCCCTACGCAGGAAGACGAGTGTCCTTTCCGGATGAGTAACGGGGTATTGCCCACGGCAGAGCTCCGCTACGAAGCGGAGAGCCCAGACGAGGCCGCGCTAGTGTACGCAGCGAGGGCCTACAACTTCACTCTCGTCTCAAAATCGCCCGACCAGGTCATCATCGACGTGCCGCACGTGGGGAGGTTGACCTTCGACCTCCTGCACGTAATGGCCTTCGACTCGACGCGCAAGCGCATGTCGGTGGTGGTGCGGCACCCCCTGACGGACGAGATGGTGGTGTACACCAAGGGGGCCGACAACGTCATCATGGACATCCTGAAGCCTTGCACCGGTGAGCATGGTGGGTGGCACTTACGAGCATCACACCTATTCAGGGCCGCAGCCTGTGGTCCTTGACAAGAGAGGGTGGGCGGCGCGGCAGTAATTAAGCAAAAAAAGGGCCCCGGGGTTCGATTCCGGACTCGGACGCCTTTCTGCGTGAAGTTTATGTGTTCTCTCAAAATGCTCCGTAAGGGTTTCACCCAGAGCTATGGATTCCTCCCATAGCTAAAAACTGCAACTGGTGTTGGCCAAACATCCCTGTGTTAAAAAAAATACTCATTTGGGTTTACACAACATCGCCCCTACTACAAAATAAAAACATGGCCTGACCCTCCTGAGTCTGTTAGGCAGTCCTGGGTAAACAACCATAAAACATTAAACTAATACAATTGTGTTTGACTGCATACTATGTAATAAGTAATTGTTATAATTAATCTGCCATGTTTCATTGGCAATTTCTACATAATAATTGAAGCTTAGGTTTACCGCTTTTGGTTAATCATTAGATCATACCGACATTTCACCTCTAAGTGGCGGTGACATGACTATGGCGGTTGCGCCAGGCTAGGTGCAATTTGAGGTCACGTGTCATGTAGAAGGGTAGCTGGCACGAGGTCATATATGTTGACATACAGTGATGCATGTAAAATACACACACACACACTGTTTTTGTTTGTGAATAAATGTGGCTTAAATAATTGTGAAGCATATAAGATGAATTTTAATCAAGACATTTCACCAGTCACTGACAAAGTGTCTCAATTGTAGCTGAGTGAATCATGTGATTTTTTTTAAAGGAATGGCAGTTCCTTGAGAGGGAGTGTTATATATGTTTTCTTCTCATAACAGGAAACTCTGACAAAGACAAAGCTAAAGCAAAAATGCACGCACGGACACAGGCCGACCTGAACCAGTACGCCATGGATGGACTGCGGACATTGTGCATCGCCAAGCGGGTAAGACTTTCAATTATTTTATATTATAATACAATGAAAATCGGTGGCAAAGACGTACAATGGGCAGGTTTAACTGTCGGTGGAACAATGCACTTAGAGTAACACCTCAATATGCATGTACAGTATTCAATTAACGAAGTTTCGGTATCACGATATTTAGATTTTTGTACCATTATTTTATGCAGTAAGCTCAACAAATATACACTGAAATTGATCAATAAATCGATCTACGATTCTGTAGAAATTAGAATAAAATTATATGTTTTCATTATGTTTCTGAAATTGGGAAGTTATTAAATGTTTATAGTATGAAATGGTAAGTTACGAAGGCTGGGAGCACGTCATCATAATCCTAATGTTATAAGTTATTGAGTGTACGAAGTTTAAATTATACGAAGCTCCAAAAACACATTTACTTCGTATATCCAGGTGTTACTGTCGTAAGGTTATAACATCCGCCCACCTTCCCCGGTCCTTTCTCTCTGCCTTTATTATATTTGTCTTGCCTCCAGTTATTGCCTCAGCTTCGTTTAACAAACATGTGCAGAGGTCGGAGAAGCTTTAATTCGATTTGGACAATTGAATTGTGATCATCTGGCAATAGCTTATTGTCTTGCTGGGCACCTTCTGTCCTCTGTTAATAGGCAGGTCTAGCACCAGTGACACCTTTGACCCCTGCCCATTACAACTCGAATATCAAAGCGGCAGATGTTTCCATGACAACTTGCTCTTATCTGTCCCTCTTACATTGTACACTATCGATTGAGGCCCCACACAAACACACCACTCATCTCTAAGCCCTTTCTACAGTGGATGCTTCACCCATGACGTAAATATATATGTATGCACTGGCTCACAATTTTGCTTAAAATTTAAACGAAAAAAGGAAGTTGTATGTTCCCGTACATACAAACAAAGATAAAGATCCCCGTGTAGCCCTTAACAGACTGTTGAGGCAAGCGCTGTTAGCGAGCACCTATGAAGGCCTGCACAGCACACGAGGGGTTGGGTGGCCAGTAAGACGCCCAACCACCTACGTCTCCCGAGTGGCGATGTTTACACACCGCACCAGGTGCTCAGTTGAGTCTGAGTCGAACTAGGGGAGGCCCTAGACCGGTTCAGATAATATAATCGTCCCTGGTGTTGACCATGAGCGGGAATGGAACCCAGGTCGTCGGGTGCGTCACACAACGTGCTAACTGCTGCATTACCGCTCCTCACAATGTTTGTACACGTGCGCACGCACACACACACACACGTAGTTAGGTACGCATGGCTACTTGTATGTTTGTAAGTGTAATGTAAGTAATCACATCATCAGCCATGATCAATCCACGGCTGGATTAAAGCCTCCTCAAGCTGCCGCTACCTCTCACAATCCTGTGATGTCCAGTACTAATCCACCTCGCACCTGCACGTGAACTAATTTCATTGCTCCATCTCTTCAGTATGCTCACATTCGCACACATTCCATTCCTTGGCTGCCACTCCAACGATTATCTTGGCCATCAGCCATCGCCCCATCTTGCAAGGGGTACTGCCCAAACCCCCTCACTTTTCTTCACATTTTGAATGAAGTCATTGACCACCTGCGGATGTCACCTGCGGATGTTCTCTAATCCACATGTGCCTCGCTCCATCTCTCAATGCACAAGCACGCATCTCTCCATGCTTCTTTCCACACTCTTCACTTTTTCTTCAATTGTGTCGTGATTGATCGTGCTTATGATGCATGTCACAGCTTCTGAGTAATAATCACACCGATACTTTCATCTTCATTTTTAAGTTCAGCTCTCCATCTTTATTTCGTAATTTTGATTTTGGTCCACCTTTAATAGAGCCCTCTCGAGGGTACTTGGCCTACCCTTCCACGCTGGCAAAACATCTTGGAAGGTGTGGGAGTACCCACACTTAAAAAACACAAGGTTCACGTTGGTAGCGGTGCTCTTGGACCAAACTATACATCAGCGTATGTAATGCATGTGTGTGTGCGTCACTATTTGTGGGGAGCGTTAGTATAGCAGTTAGCGTGCTGCACTACGAATCCGGCGACCTGAGTTCGATTCTGCTCACGGCCAACACTAGTGACGATTGTCTGAGCCGGTCCTGGGCCTCCTCTAGATCGACTCAGCCCAAAATGAGTACCTGGTGTGGTGTGTAAATATTGCCACTGGGGAGACATAGGCGGTCTGGCGTGGTGCTGGCCACCCACCCCCCTTGTGTACCATGCCAGCCTTCATAGGTGCTCACAAACAGCACTTTCCCCAACAATCTGTTCAGGCTACACGGGGGAATCTTTGATACAAGCACGCGCACACGTCTGTACACGGGCACGTATGTAGCGCATGGCGTAGCGCGCGCACGCATGGCAGCGCGGGTGAGCATGGAGCGTGCGGCTGCGCTGTGTGTCAATGCGCAGGAGCTGACGGACGATGAGTACGCAACGTGGGCCAAGAGCCATCTGGAGGCCGAGGCGGCCATCGACTGCAGGGAGGAGATGCTGTTCGAGTCGGCCCTGCGCCTCGAGAGGGACATGCAGCTGCTCGGTGGGTGCCCCCCCACTGTGCCCGCGCCACTCCACGCTCCCCGCGGGGTTTTTGTCCGAAGCAGTTGGATGAGTGCCACCCGTTAAAGGGGGAAGCCACCGACGAGTTGAGAGGTTGGGGTTTTTTTCTCATCTCAGACATCAGCTGTGCTAGGGACAGGGTATTGGTAAACACTTGTGGGTGTTTGTATGTCTGTATGTTGAACTTATTTCACACCGAACATAGTCAACCATGTTAATTGGAGGTGTGTGTGTGTGTGTGTCTTGGCATGCTGCACTACGAACCCTGCGACCCGAGTTCGATTCTTGCTTACGGCCAACACCAGTGACGATTATCTGAACCGGTCATGGGCATCCCCTAGGTAGAGTCAGCCTCATATGAGTACCTGTTGCGGTGTGTAAATAACTTCGCCACTGGGGAGACAAAGGCGGCCAGGCGTGGTGCTGGTCACCCAACCCCTCGTGTGCCATGCTGGCCTTTATAATGTGCTCGCTAACAGCACTTGCCCCAACAGTCTGTTAATTTTATAAGGGGGATGTTTGTCTTTATAGGTTAGTGCTTTGAGATGAGCAGTGATTAGCACATTGCTGATCACTACTCACCTGATGTGGGTTTAAAGCCAGGCCATGTCAGTCATAAAATGTTAATTTGTAAACACCTGCACCGGGGATACAAAATTGTGCAGGCATGGTGCCGATTAAGTCGACCGATTGCTGTGATGTGTCGATGTGGAATCATATTAAAATTCATGGACCGATTCATGGAAGTATGGGCCTTGAACACCAATGTTTGTCGGTAGTATTTGTGTCAACTGTGCAAACTCTGGGCCAGGTTTGAGCCCTCTGAGTCTTTTCAGGAAGCCATGGCCTTTTAAATAAATACCACTAGGCTGAAGATGCTTGACCTGTAGCAACGGCATTGCAAATACTGTACGTGGCATTAATTTAATAGGCTGCACCCTCCTGATGAGACTGCAATGTAGAAACGGATCCAGCATTTGTTTTTAAACAACGAAAAAATATTGGTCTGGAAGACCCAGTGGTGGATGATCTCAATGTTAGTTTATGATGGTGATGAAACCATTACTCTACCTGCTTGTCTACGGTGAATACTCACAAACGTAGGTTTTGCAACATGCAACAATCAGGTTGCAATTCTGTCTTAGGTTCATAGACACCTTGGGCAAAATGACAAATTACGAGTTAAGAGCCAGGGAAAACACGAGAATTATGATGTCAAACGGTGAGCATCGATGCGGCGATGTGCAACCGGCGTGCTGACGAGCGATGGTGCGGTGCGGCGCTGCAGGTGCCACGGGTATCGAGGACCGGCTGCAAGATGGGGTGCCGGAGACCATCGCCGCCCTGCGCGACGCCGGCCTGCAGGTTCATGTCCGCCTTGCACTCGCTTGCACGCGCCCTCTCTGCATAGGCCTCTTCACATGCAGTCACCGCTCATATCAGGCCAATCACCACTCGTCGGGCCAATCGCAGCTCATCGGCCAATCGCCGCTCATCGGCCAATCGCCGCTCATCAGCCAATCGCCAATCCCAAAGCTCTTAGTCTGAAAAGCATAGGAAGTTATGTAAAAATATATTTATTTTTATCTCACCAAGTTAATATGTTCCTATGACAGTTAATGTAAAAATAATAATAATAATAAAGTATGACAAGTGTAGCATTGTGGGTAATTAATTAAATCGATGTCGTAAGAAAAATATTACGTCTGCCTCATAACTTCCTAGACTTATATTAACCAGCAGCATTGGTTTAGGTAAACAATCACCTTCTGGGAATCTTCAGCAGAGTTTATATGAGAATGATGACCTTCATTTATCGCGAGATAAGAGCAAAATGAGGCCAGGAATCTCTTTTACAAGGGATACCTGTGGTTCGAGGCATTGCAAATAATATTCACTTCAGCGCTATTTACACAAATGATTGTTAGTCAATAGGTCAATGCCACTATATTAAGCAATTTTCAATCGCAGTCCGGAAGCAATGGTGTAAATTTCACATTCATGTAGGGGACCAGGGTATTCATTCGACAATGTGGTACCTATTATATTGGCCTGAGAGGAATGATGTGCTGAGTAGGGCGCCATGGTGGCGAGATGTTAACTTATTTGCGTGGTATACAGGAGGTCATGGGTTTGGTCCCGACCCTGACGCCTGTATATTTGGAGTTTGCATGTTTTTCCTGTGGTAACATGGATTTTTTTTCCAGGTCCTCTGCTTTTTTCCCCTCTACATTAAAAAAAATGCATTTAGAGTATTTGACTGCTATACATTTCCACATTATAAGCCACTTCGTTGAGCGATCATTTGTGGCTAGGTCGCTTCTTAAAAAGAGCTATATAGCTCAGTGGGCCTTACCTGGTAAAATAAAAAAAAAGTTTTATAGATCCCCTTGATGATGATTTGAACTCATATCGTTCACAGTGTGAAAGGGACACTACCACAGCACAACACTGCAGGTCACACTCTGGTTTGGAGTTGACGACCCTAAGTATACACTAATTAGTGATTATGGATTAGCAGGAGTATCGTCAAATAAATATCCGAACTGCAAAAAATATTTTGGTTACATTTTTTAAACAACGTACCCAAGGCATTCTATGCGACTTCTACGTGTGCTGTTACTCAGCTATTGTAAGAATCACCTGTATTTACTGTAATCCATATGTAGGTGAAAAGATGGACAATATAACACTCTGCATACATTCTTGAATTGCTGGCATTCACATTTCTGATTACACAACAAAGTTTCTTCAAAGAGAAAAACATTTGTGCGTTTGGCATTGTACGATCAATGCACATATCAACCGTATGCCTCTTTCTGTTGCTATCATGAATCTACGATAGATTTGGGTGCTCACAGGAGACAAACAGGAGACTGCCATCAACATCGCGTTCTCCTGCAAACTTCTGGATGCCAGCGACGAAATCATCACTCTCAATACAGAGAGCCTGGTGGGTACCCTCACCAACTCACCAGCCAGAGGTGCCACGACTTCCATGGCAGTTCTAAAGAAATTAGTTTTCAATCTAGATTTAAAATTGCATATCTCCAGAGGCTTCTTAATGTCAGAAGGAAAAGCATTCCAGACGGCCGCAGAAGCGCGCGATGCAGTGAACGTCCTTGTCCGATGAGGATGACCGGAGAGGATGACCGGAGAAGCAGAGGGCAGCACCGACATCGAACGTTGTGCTCGCTCGCGTCTACAGGTGGCGTGCGACATGCTGCTGAAGCAGTTGCTCCAGATGATAGAGAACAAGAGCTTGAGCGTGGGGGACGTGGCGCTGTCATCTGCGATGGCCGGTACCGTGGTGACCACACGCCGCGGGCTGGTCATCGACGGCAAGACGTTGTCGTTCGCACTCAACAAGGACCTGGAGGAGAACTTCCTGAAGCTGACGCGCCACTGCCGCTCGGTGCTCTGCTGCCGCTCGACCCCGCTGCAGAAGAGCATGGTGGTGAAGCTGGTGCGGGAGAAGCTCAAGGTCATGACGCTAGCTATCGGTAAGCGCGCGTGCGCACTCCCACGCCGCTGCGATGTTGAACATAATGACGGTGAACGGGTCAATATCAGGAAACACTTGGTTCTTGCTTATTTTTAACAAAAGTTTCAGGGCCGGATTTCACTTGTTGGCAGTAGATGCGCCTTGATCGAAGGCCGTCTATAAATATAAGAAGAAGGAAATGACAATACAATATCTGTAGAAAATATTCCAGAGTAATTTGCCTGTTTTACAAATATACTGATTGGAATTGCCACTCAAACTACACATGAGTTAGGCTATGGGCTATTCAATCAGAATCGTTTTTTTTACAAATTTATGAATGTATTACCTCCAAAAATCAAAATGATTCTAAATCTCAGAAAATATATACGTTTTAACTTTTTAGGATTGAGCTGAAATGTTTCCAATTATTGTGTCTCCAACCTACCAATCTCCAAAGTTTCCAATTCTCCCAGGTTGTAGTTATGGCATTCAGCTCGATGATAGGTGTAGCAATGTAAACTGACTTTGACAAACGGGGCAATGAATGTCGAACTTTATTAAGCGCTACTTCCACAGCATTTAATTTTGCTATGAGGGTGAATAACGTACGCATTTATTGTACCCTGTTTAACACCATCTTGACCATTGCTACATCAACTCCTTCCACTGCCCCGCAGGGGATGGAGCCAATGATGTCAGCATGATCCAGGTGGCCGATGTGGGAGTGGGAATCTCTGGTCAAGAAGGAATGCAGGTTGGTGTGAAGTTTGCGAAGAAGATGAGCTGTGAATGTTCAAGGAAATGCTGCGTGATATGCTTCCAAGCCAAACACAAATGAGCAAAGCGTAGCCGCTCATAATCTAATTTAAATCGAATTTTATCATCTTCTGGTGGTCTATTACATCTGCAATGGACTGACATTTGTTTTCTGGATTCAAATTGGTTCATTTGAGAAATAGGATGTGTACATGCACAGTCCTTTTGCTCTTTCACTGCTGGATGAGGGCCTCCCCACACTATACAAGTCATCAGGGTTAATTGGCCATACTTCACTATGCTGGCCATTGTAGGTTCATGAAGGCAGGGATCATCGTGCAATACTACAGTGGATATTTCTGCACTGCTGTCTGCTGAAAAAATCTCTCTGCATGGTGGTCACCCATCCAAGCACTGTCCAAGCTCAAAGCTGCTTAGCTTCTGAGATAAACTGAATGATGTTTGTAATAGATTTAAATAGGAAAGATTTTTTTTTATGTTGACAACTATAAACCTAGGCTTACCAACTACTGTTGTGTATTTGTGGGTACACATGAACGTGTGATTGCTGCAGCAATCTCTGTTATTTCAAACTCCTTGGCTAAAATGAGCCACCTTATGATTAATTTCCCAACAGGCGGTGATGTCAAGCGACTATGCCATGCCACGTTTCCGACACCTTCACAAGCTGCTGCTGGTGCATGGACACTGGTGCTATGACCGTCTGGCCAACATGGTGCTCTACTTTTTTTACAAGAATGCGGTACGAGCTTGCCCACTCTGCACGTGCACACACACACGCACTCTCCTGGTACTCTGCAGGATCGTCCTCTCACCAAGGCAGCTTCTGGGTGCCACAATAGCGAGATGATAACTGCCTCGCCATGTATATAGGAGGTTGTAGGTTCGAACCCAAATCAGTTGCGTGCCAATACACCACTCAAAAGACAATGCATTTACATGCATGTTTCCCGTCTTCTGGTATTAAGACAGCATACAGTATATCCCACAATACATCCTGCTTTGTTTTGTACCTCAGGTGGCAACCCTAATTTGCACACAAACTGATTGAGCGCCCAAGTTATGAGTTATTCCCCGCTCCACAAGAGGTAGAAACAGGCTGATTTTACTAGGACAATGAACTGGATATTACCTCAAATTGCAAAAAAAAGATAAATATGACCAGTGATATTCATAATAAATTGAAAACTAATTTCCTAACTAACTTTCTAATTTGAACTACTTTTTTTGTCTAGTTTGTTGTCCTTCCCCCGCACCTCCGATCACCACGGTTGGCTACATAGAGTGTGAAAGAAGTTAAACATACATGCATACATAATCGTGCCAGCATGTCATTGTAGTGAGTGCTATGCTTCCTCAGTAGCAACCGTGTATGTATGGAATTGGCGTGGGTTTAACGTGTGCGCGTGCGTTCCCCCTTCGCAGGCGTTCGTGACGCTGCTCTTCTGGTACCAGTTCTTCTGTGGCTTCTCAGGCTCATCTCAGATCGACCAGTGGTATCTCATGCTGTTCAATCTGCTCTTCTGCTCGCTGCCGCCCCTGGTGACGGGCGTGCTCGACAAGGACGTCTCTGCCGAGACGCTGCTGGCCAGACCCCACCTGTACCAGAACGGCCAGAACTCGCTGGTGCGTACGGCAAACACTGTGCCACGGCTCTCCGGTGCGTTCGCGGGTCTCACGCCGTACATCCTTTGGCACGGTGTCCGACACTTCGCTGTACGTTGCCGAGAACTTCCTCTGGAACCGAACTGGCATTTGGCTCCGCACGCTGGGTGCGTGTTTGGTCCCTAAAGAGGCTCCCCAGGGCGTGGAGCGGAACGGCGGACATCGTGCCGAACGACGCGCAGCAACGACGCAAAAATGCACCCGAGAGCTACAGTAAATGGCACGACCACCAAAACCTCCGCAGTACCACGCGGCGTTGTCTGTAGACGTGTGTAATGACACATGAGGTGATCGAGTCTCATGCTCATGATATACGGCTCGAATTTGTGTGCGTTAATAAAATAGTGCAATGGTGGATGTGTAATTGATATGCTAATGTTACACTTACGCTGATTGAGCAAAATAAAATGTACAAACAAAACCACGGAGATGTGCCGGAGAGGCAAGAGAAGGGCAGCCCTCTCCGACCCTCGTGAGGCACTGACGACACGCGGGTTTGTGTTTGCCGGGCTCCCTGTAGGCGTACCGACCAATTCTGTTCTGGGTGACCATGATGGATGCGCTGTACCAGAGCATGGTCTGCTTCTTCCTCCCCTACTTGGTAAGCGTTCCATTCGCCTGCTAAACCACCAGCACCACCACCACCACAAGTTTCTTCAACACATCTCAATTACACCCACTGCTCAGCGCGACAGCATTGTTCAAAAGTGTGCTTCAACAGAATTCGACGTCACGTGAAAAATCACGTGTATTTTTTTCTTGTGTGTTTCGTATGATGATGACCATCAGTTTTGCTTACACAGTGAAAATAATAGGATAATGTAAATATACATTATTAAAATGTATTTGATACTTTCTGATATTAATAACGACTTTACGTGCAAAGTTTGACTTTCTTTTAATGGGAATTTGGCAAATGTTTTTAAATTATTCAATCTTAATTATAATGCACTGTCGTGACAAATGGTCAAGTTTAGATATGTTTAGCCAAATCATTACATTCCTAAAACATTCGGATACATGCTTATACTACCTACTAAAACAGTCCACTCCACAAAACATTCAGTAAACTTTTCGCCACATTCATAAAGTAGCTTCTTGCTCAAAATGAGCATGGGCACGTGCTCATCTCTGTTGGTGGCCCTAAACCAGTGGTTGAAACAACTCCACATTCCTATGACCAGGACCAGTATTTTCTCAAACCACTTATAATTTTCTCACAAAGTGGTACTAATTCAATAGTCTTGGAAGTGTTAAGACTGATTGCCTACCAACCATGGATTTGTCATTTGAGTGATCTACCCCAGGATGGCTAGGTAGAAGATTTGTTCGGTAAGGGAAAGAGAGTTAATAGGTGTGGGTCACACAAACGACTGCCCTAACTTTCGAGCATCTCTTTGTGTGTGTGCGCTGTTCTCAAGGCCTACCGTGGATCCGACGTTGACATTTTCACGTGGGGAACACCAATCACCACCGTCTCGCTCTTCTCCATTCTCCTGCACTTGGCGATCGAAACCAAGACCTGGGTACGGCCCACGATTGTTCATAGTTCGTGTTATTTGATGGCGGATGCTCAGGAGTTTAATTCCCCGAAAAACTCGAAAACTAAACAATTTTTTTTATTTTACCAGGTAAGGCCCACTGACCTGTATAGCTCTTTTCAGAAGCGACCTTATTACGTGGATATTTCTTACAGACAAATACGCTAAATGCATGTTTATAAATGTGAAGGGAAAAACCAGAGGACCCGGAGAAAAATCCACGCGACCATGGAGAGAATATGATAAATCCACATATACAGATGTCAGAGTCGGGATTGAACCCACGACCTCCTGTATGCCAGGCGAGGTAGTTAACATCTTGCCACCGTGGCGCGCACAAGGGGCTTCATGATGATAAGTGACGAGTGTTTCCGCACCTCCGATCAGCACAATTGGCGACGTACGGTGTGAAAGAAGTTCAACATACATACATGCACACACTGGAAAGAGTGAAATGAGGCTCATGTATGTTGTGCCCCGTGTGCCTGCAGACGTGGATTCACTGGGGGAGCATAGCCCTGAGCTTGCTACTCTACTTCCTGTTTGTGCTCGCCTACAACGCCATCTGCATCAACTGCGCCGCTCCCTCAAACCCCTACATGATCATGGAGATACTCATGACGCAGCCTCTCTTCTACTTGGTCTGCGTCGTCACACCGTTGGTCGCACTGCTGCCCAGGTAATCGCCCTTTACTCGCCGCACCCTGCAGCTTGGCCTCGCACCGATAAATAAGCCCTCGTTTTTTTTTTGTTAAAAACATTTTTACACAGAAATTGTATGAAATACAGATAGAATGGCCTGTGTGCGTGAGAATCAATAATCTTTAAACCGTATAGCTTGTAATTGATTAAAGCGATCCCTGCAGCCACTACAGACATTACATTGCACCACAATATACATATACAGTATTAATGAATTCACTAAATCTGATTGTGGCCCTGGAATCGCTTGGTGGTGTTGCATTGTTGCACACCTAATTTTTTTTTTATGAACCCCAGAACACGGACATCACAGAGAGAGATTAAAATGAAGAAAAATACCGAACTCAATGTTACACCCTTAATATTTAAGGCACGACCGTGTATCTCACCGACTTCCCATTCCTCAGGCTTGTCTACCGGACACTGGAAGGCTCCTGCTTTCCATCCGAGAATCTGCGCGGGCGGCAGCTGGACAAGCTGCCCGATGACATCCGGCAGGGTGTGTTGCGGGCCGGTCTTGACCCAGACCCCGGACCCGCCCCCGTGCCCCTCGGGGCCCTGATGGGTCGAGCCCAGTGCGCATCTCCCATGCTCTCCCCGACTGCCGCCGACTCGGGCATTGCGCTCGATGACTTGTCCGTCAGAAACAGCCGGTGCGAGGCCGCCACCGCCGCGAAAGACTTCCTACGGTCGCCAAGCAACGACTGCGCAACGCTTCCTGAGACCGGCACGGCAAAGCGGCCACAAGCGCTGCAAACGGTGTGGGACGTGCAGTCCTCTCACCACCACCACAGCTACTTGCACTCCGTCAGCACCTCTGAAGCCGACTCGGGATTTCAGAGCCCGCCAATGAGCGAGGACACAAACACATTGCCAGGAACCCCTCTGTCGGACACAGACACTGTCACGACGCAAACAACCGATTCGGCGAGGGCTTCACTGCGCGGGCACAGAGGCAGAACGAAGGAGCAGCTGTGCCACGTTGCCAGCAATGGCAGAGCGACTGAGCCAGGAGACACTATCGCCATGTCTAACTTTGTGAAGCTAAACACGGGGAGCCCAAAGCGTAAGGAGGTCATTCTCGATCCACTAGGCCTGCCCGAAATGCAAGAGACTGTTGTTTATTTGGATGAGAGTATTTATGAAAATGTGTCCACTTCAAAGCTGTAGTATCGGTGAGGCTTTAAATGTGTTTACACGAACAAAACACCTGGACAAAGCTTGCTGATTTTATAAACAAAGCCATTTTATTAGCGTGACACATCCAAATAAGGCAAAGTTGTTTTCGTTATAGAAAGGCAAACTGACTGCTTTACATACGTGCAGTGGTAAAGAATGAGGATTTCTGTCATTTCCTAGCACAGCGGGGCCAAAGCATAATCTTTCCAGATTTACAGCATTTATTCATCAAATTAATGTTGTCTGACCAAACTTAACGGAAATGCTGAAATCAGAAAAATAAGTGCCTCTGTATTTCCCATATCACTGCACCTTTTAATAATAACATCACACAGCTATGGGTCACAGTTTATCAGTTGAAGTGGAATGCGAAAGTGGCGACTGGATGGGGTCAGTAACAAAGCAAATGATTCTAACTAAAGCAAAATTGCAGAAACATTTCGTGAAATTGCAAAACGGTAATTTGCATCAAAGCTGAGCTCTGTCGTGTTAAACACAGCACTGCGGTGCCCATCACTGTACCACGAGTTTGTCTTACAGGAATGTTTCGTACCTGATGCTAGGAATATTTATATTGTAAATGCAATGCCTGCTTTGAGTAAGCAATGTACACGTTGGCCTTAATTTACAAGCAGATGTCGTTTGGCCAAAGTGGTCGACATTTAGCAAAGAGAATGGAACTCTTTGCTACGTTGTGCCTTCATGCAAGGCAAATTTTAAAAAACATTTTTTTTTTTCATGGGTAAAGCAATATGCAATCAAGAATATTTTCATTGGAAGCCACAAAACCAATCTAATACAAATGTTCTTGTGAATTTTAAATGTTTTATATGTGACTGTACTTATTTAACTCATACGATTTCCACGTGCGTGGATAAGAATGTTTCATCTTGAAAAGAAATCTGATGAATTACCTCATCCTTTCCCTGCAAAAACAGCGTCCTAAGGTGTTGTGGGGTAACATACATTCAGAATGTGCTCCTGCCAGTGCACAGGTTGCACGAGTCGACCACGTGGTATACTTGGGATAACCTTGCGCTCTTGGCATTTAATATTAAATTCACAAATTAAGTAACACAAATATCATTGCGGCCACAATCATTCACCCAATGTGCATGTCCAGCTGTTTTGTCATTCACCTGCTGGATGTGGACCTCTCCTTGTTGCGCAAGGCCATTAGGGGTCATCAGACAACACTTCACCATGTTTGTCGGTTTGAGTTGGAAAATTACGGAGAGCCTCGGTGTTGGAGTAGAATATGGTACAACAAAATATTTTGTTGCACTGCCATTTGATGACAATGTGGCCCCCACTGCAGTCCACAGCACCTGTTTTGTGCCAGGCAGGCTCACTCGTGCTTTTTGCTTCCGAGACCTGACGAGATGGGGCTCATTTATCCGTAACCCCCCGTGTATTTCAGCACAATCCAACTTGCAGTTACGTACCGTTTAGCGCCCAATCTGTATTGAGCTTGAATACATTTACTCGTCGCACTCCAACTGATAAGATGTGATTTGAAAGACGAACAATCACTGATGTGGATTAACTTGCAGTGTATTCTATTTTGTACAAAGGGCCAAGTACTGGCTGTCCCATTAGCCCGGTTCCACTCATAGATGGGGCTTGGACACAGCTTCTCCCGCCACGAGGGAGACAATATTTCCTAACAATTACTCAGCATATGTTAACATTTGCGCGTATTTTTTTTAAATTGATCAGCAACATTACATTGTCTGCATTTTTGAAAACCCACCAATTGAATGTCCATTGGTATATTTTTTATGAAGCTAGGTCTATGTTGTCACTCGTCATAGCTAGAGCAGCTGTTTACGGAGACGCTAAAACCTCGACAAGTCTGACTGGGCGGAGGGAACTTCAAGCTATGGGGATGTCAGGAACGTGCTACAATATTGAAAATGTGTACAGTATATTGCACATTACATTCACACATAACACCTCACACATTTAATTGCGCTCAATAACTAGATAAGCATCAACTGAATGTATCCAGTTGAATATTCGCAGTTAAATAACACCTAAAAAGTTACTAATGTACAGGTTAGTCTCAGTCACTTCCCTCCACCATCGAGCAGAGGATGATGGTGAAGACTGAGGTTCGCTGGATGGGGGAAGGCTGAGAATATGAGCTTCAAGAATGTTTTGAGTTTATTTGCAAAGTAAATAAATACAGATGTTTAAAAGCCAGAGAGAGCTCTGTCAGGGCGTGTGGATGACTGGAGGCACAGGTTGCACGAGTCTACCACGTGGTCTATTTGGGATAACATCGCACTCTTGGTATTTCATATTAAATTCCCAAACAGATGAAGTAATTTTTTATATCTGTGAAAAATATTCCTTTTAAATTAAATACTTTTTTTATTAAAGGATAAGGAACAAAAAAGAGAGTGCAACTCTGGAGGAGATTTGGTTTCCGAGCTATCTTATCGATTTATTTCGGGGCTGCCTTTCCGACTGAACTCGAATAATGGCTCAGTCCGGCTTCAAGAGGTTTTACTGCACATTCTGTACGCAACAATATGAGGGAAGTTCATTGCTTTTATACATACAATATTTTTAGTTTTGTTTACCATTGGCAGACGTTTAATCAATGGGCAGTTCCCCTTAAAAAAGGTTTAAAATTGACAGCATTGAAATGATAGCGTTGAACACCAGTGTTTGGTCATAACATTACCAGTTATAGCGGGACATCTATGGACTCCTTGGGATGATGATCCCCAGTCAGGATAGGGCCCAGGTAACATAGATTATATGACACTAGTTTATAATATATAGTACGGATGTGCCTTAGCGTTTTCCGAATTGTAATGTTTTCTAAGGGTTATAAAGAGGACACCTATGCAAAATGTCCATCCGTGTTGTGGGACGATTGAAGCCATGCTATTTATAATAATCTGCTCTGTTAGAATTAGAGTTCTTTATACAAAACAAAATGTGCATTACAATATGAATGCTTTAAATGCCTAAACAAAATGATAAGCATACGTGTTTGATAGCAGTACCGAGAGTGGTAGTTGTCGATGTTTTGTTGGTTTTAAAGAAAATTATGCAATATTTCAACATGGGATCAAATATTAATTTTATGTGGAGGACTTCTTTGTATATTTGTCACTGTGATTCATGAAACCGCCAATGGTGGTAAAATGTAAAAACAAGTGTTCTGGTGCATTTTAAGCTTCAGGATGCTTATGAATAATGTTTACAATTAAGAATTACTGTTTGTGTAATATTGTGCTTAAATGAAACAAAGTTTTTTAAACAATATTAAGGGTTTCATATGAAAATGAAATTGGCAATATGTTGGGTTGTCTGTACTGAAGATTTGTTGACCTTTATAAACACCAAGTTTACAAGGAAAATGGTTTTACAGTCACTGTTGCGTTAAAGTAATTTTATGGAATGTTAACTGTTGATTCAAAACTGGTTTACGCATCCAAATCTGCATGTGTAATAAAAAATAATATATTTTGTAGAATAAAGTTGTTTGAATGTTTACACGCGCTTGTAATTTTATCCGTGGCTATTTGTGACGCCATGAAATTGTGGAGCTTCAGAAGCACGTGCTTAGTGTGGACGAACATAAAATAAACGTGAGCATTTCCTGTAAAAAATAAAAACCACCAGTGAAGAGGACAACACAACCCGCCGAGCTCCTGCGCTGGCCTCTTTACGGCAGCACAGCAAGAAATTCGTGGAGCAAGCGGTACGGATTCTAGCGTGTTGCCCGCGTGTGCCTGGGCGTGAGCGTACCCCAGTTTCCTCAAGTGAAGCGAACACCCAAAGCGGGGCCCTCCTGAAAAAAGCCTTGAGAAATGTTGAGGTGTTCCTGGATAAATAAAGGGCATTACTACTATTATATGAAAGCATATATGTAACTTATTTGGTGCGGGCAACAGCACACTACGCATATGTATACACGTGAAAGGACGGATGCTATCTCTCCGTTTAAGCGTGTACATTCTAATCGCATGGAAAGGGCCTGTGTTATGTCCACATTCCAACAATTAGGAGACTTTACAAGAGTTCATTGGAGATTCGGCAACGATCCATATCTAGCAAGCAAGCAACAAAAATCGGTGACTTAAAATGCTCAAATTTTTTGCTAAAACTAATACACCATGAATTATTATTTCCAATATCTCACTTTTATTTCGCTGGGAATTTTGTTAATGATATATATACAGTATCTTGAAATGTGGTTGGAAACACACTATTACTTTATTTATAAAAAAAGATTACATATCATCGTACAATATTTAGTAGCTGCCATGACAACAATTATGTGATCAATGTTTGTATGTATGTACCTTAATATAAGCTTCTCTAGGCGCATTCCTTACAATAAACCATCTCATTCCATGTCTGGCTCGGTGCCATCGTTGATTCATACGTCATCAGGTGACGTGGGGAATCTTTCATCCAGCAGTAGATCGAAAATGGCTATCAATGATCAAATATCGTTAGATACTCGGCTGCGCGTCCAGCTAACCGCAGCGGCACACTGCGTCACCTGCTTTTTATATTATTATTTTAAAATTGAAAAGCCATATCCTTCAAACAGTTTTTTTGTGTTTTAGTTTGTTGTCCTTCCCCCGCACCTCCGATTAATCACGTTTCGCTGCGTACGATGCAAAATTCAACGTACATATATACACATACGGACCCGAATCAACAGCCATAACAGAGGGCACACGAACATTTCAGAGTATGGCTTGCTGTGTGTCCAGGAATTGCGCCCTCTGGATAGTCCTTCCTCCCTAAACGGGGGCTAATTGCGGTGTACCAACCGGGTTCCTTCTCTAACAAAGGTGTGGGGAGGGGGGATATGACGAAGATAACGAGCGAAATAAAAACAAAAAACTTGAGGCCCACAGCAGCCGTCATTTTTTTTTAAAAGAAAGTGTGCAGGAAGATGTGCCTCTCGATCCAGCCCAGGAGCTGCGTCACGTTGGTGTAGACGCCCGGTCCCACCGACTTGGAGGAGCACACGGAGCCCCACGAGGTCAGGCCGTACAGTGTCCAGCGCCGGTCGGTCTCCTCGCACACCAGTGGGCCCCCGCTGTCACCCTGCCACAGCAACAGCCGCACAAAGTTACACCGGCGGCGGGAGCAGATGCGGATACTTGAAGCGGAAAGTGAAATCTCCCCCGTCGTCAGCGTGCGACTGTTTACCCAGAAAAGACCGTGGAACATATAACGACGAAGCAATGCCCGACTCACAAATACGAAGGCGGACGGATCATTACGGCGATGCACCACTCTGCTGCTCCTGAATCATGCATCTGCCTAAACCGCCTCAATGATGAATGGTTTCAAGCTCAAGTTTACTTTGTTTATCCAGGTGAGAACTCGAGAGATGAGGATGAGTCCCATTTGCAAGAGTAACCTTGGGTCGATGGAATAACGCAAAGTGCTCGCCACAAATTAACTACAATACCTTGCTGATCGCGTCAAGGACCATAAACCATCACACGAACTCCAGTCATCTTCGCAGCGGCTTTTGGTTGGCCATCGAACAAAGATGGTTACTATATTGCGCACTTTCAGATGCACTTCTGCGGCCCTCTGGAATGCTCTTCCTTCCGGTTTTAAGAAACCACTGCAGCTGTACACCCTTTAAACCCAGATTGCAAACTCATTTCTTTCGAACTGCTTTTTTTGTTTAGTTTTGTGTCCTTCCCCCGCACCTCCGATCACCATGGTTGCCTACGTACGGTGCGAAAGAAGTTCAACATACAATACTTGTAATAAAGTATAAAAGCATTCGTGACTGCATAAAATTACTCATTGTTTTTTTCGGTAAAGTCACGTATGTAGAAATACAATAAAATTATATTAAAACAAAAAACAATCACGACGTTTCGATCACAACGCAAGCGATCTTCATCAGGTGTCAAGAACAAATCACGGAGGTAAATACAACAAAAATATGAGAGACGAGAATTCAACAAACCTGAAAAAACATTATGTGAAGCACATCCAGTCAGGCCAACAACACAGACTTCCTGGCGAACCACGAATTTCAGAAGAGTGTTAAATTTCGTGTTCAACCTTTGGATTGCACATACCAGCATAGATAGAATGAAAAATATGAGGTACACGGTCGGTAGAAATACATATACAAGTCCACCAAGAGGTAAGGAGGGAGGAAAGATGGACAGGGAGGCAGAGAGAGGGGGGGGATGAACAGAAGCTTAAATAGGAAATACGGTTGGAGGGGGGGAGGGGCCAGAGCGAGAGCGGCAGCTCAAACACGTACATCTTACACATACAAAACGGCAGCTCAAAAAAGGACCGCACCTTGTAAATACAAAATGGCAGCTCAAAAAATGACCACCTCTTGTAAATACAAAACAGCAGCTCAAAAAAGGTCACATCTTACACATAATTACAACGGTAACTTCCCCGTAGAAGTGTGATAATAAAGTATAAAAGTCAAAGTATAAAAGCTTTTGTGACTGCCTAAAATTACTCATTGGTTTTTTCGGTAAAGTCACGTATGTAGAAATACAATAAAATTATATTGAAACAAAAAACAATCACGACGTTTCGATCACAACGCAAGCGATCTTCATCAGGTGTTAAGAACAAATCACGGAGGTAAATACAACAAAAAGATGAGAGACGAGAATTCAACAAACCTGAAAAAACATTATGTGAAGCACATCCAGTCAGGCCAACAACACAGTTAAACACTTCCTGGCGGACCACGAATTTCAGAAGAGTGTTAAATTTCGTGTTCAACCTTTGGATTGCACATACCAGCATAGATAGAATGAAAAATACGAGGTACACGGTCGGTAGAAATACATATACAAGTCCACCAAGAAGGAGGGAGGAAAGATGGACAGGGAGGCAGAGAGAGAGAGAGACTTGTATGTGTATTTCTACCGACCGTGTACCTCGTATTTTTCATTCTATCTATGCTGGTATGTGCAATCCAAAGATTGAACACGAAATTTAACACTCTTCTGAAATTCGTGGTCTGCCAGGAAGTGTCTACCTGTGTTGTTGGCCTGACTGGATGTGCTTCACATAATGTTTTTTCAGGTTTGTTGAATTCTCGTCTCTAATATTTTTGTTGTATTTACCTCCGTGATTTGTTTTTGACACCTGATGAAGATCGCTTGCGTTGTGATCGAAACGTCGTGATTGTTTTTTTTAAATATAATTTTATTGTATTTCTACATACGTGACTTTACCGAAAAAACCAATGAGTAATTTTATGCAGTCACGAAAGCTTTTATACTTTATTATCACACTTCTACAGGGAAGTTACCGTTGTAATTACGTGTAAGATGTGCCCTTTTTTGAGCTGCCGTTTTGTATTTACAAGAGGTGGTCATTTTTTGAGCTGCCATTTTGTATGTACAAGGTGTAGTCCTTTTTTGAGCTGCCGTTTTGTATGTGTAAGATGTGCGTGTTTGAGCTGCCGCTCTCGCTCTGGCCCCTCCCCCCCTCCAACCTTATTTCCTATTTAAGCTTCTGTTCATCCCTCCGGCCCCCCCCCCCTCTCTCTGCCTCCCTGTCCGTCTTTCCTCCTTCCTTACCTCTTGGTGGACTTGTATATGTATTTCTACCGACCGTGTACCTCGTATTTTTCATTCTATCTATGCTGGTATGTGCAATCCAAAGGTTGAACACAAAATTTAACACTCTTCTGAAATTCGTGGTCCGCTAGAAAGTGTCTGTGTTGTTGGCCTGACTGGATGTGCTTCACATAATGTTTTTTCAGGTTTGTTGAATTCTCATCTCTCATATTTTTGTTGTATTTACCTACGTGATTTGTTCTTGACACCTGATGAAGATCGCTTGCATTGTGATCGAAACGTCGTGATTGTTTTTTGTTTTAATATAATTTTATTGTATTTCTACATACGTGACTTTACCGAAAAAAACAATGAGTAATTTTATGCAGTCACGAAAGCTTTTATACTTTATTATCACACTTCTACGGGGAAGTTACCATTGTAATTACGTGTAAGATGTGCCCTTTTTTGAGCTGCCGTTTTGTATTTACAAGAGGTGGTCCTTTTTTGAGCTGCTGTTTTGTATGTGTAAGATGTGCGTGTTTGAGCTGCCGCTCTCGCTCTGGCCCCTCCCCCCCTCCAACCGTATTTCCTATTTAAGCTTCTGTTCATCCCTCCGGCCCCCTCTCTCTGCCTCCCTGTCCGTCTTTCCTCCCTCCTTACCTCTTGGTGGACTTGTATATGTATTTCTACCGACCGTGTACCTCGTATTTGTCATTCTATCTATGCTGGTATGTGCAATCCAAAGGTTGAACACGAAATTTAACACTTCTGAAATTCGTGGTCCGCCAGGAAATGTCTAACTGTGTTGTTGGCCTGACTGGATGTGCTTCACATAATGTTTTTTCAGGTTTGTTGAATTCTCGTCTCTCATATTTTTGTTGTATTTACCTCCGTGATTTGTTCTTGACACCTGATGAAGATCGCTTGCGTTGTGATCGAAGCGTCGTGATTGTTTTTTGTTTTAACATAATTTTATTGTATTTCTACATACGTGACTTTACCGAAAAAACCAATGAGTAATACAATACTTGTCTCATGACTTGCCCGACTGTGAGCTGTGCATCGCTCAGTAGAATTCCTCAGCCACAGAGCTGCCCGCGCCCGTCTTGCCGGTGCACGCAAAGCGGTTGTCCGGAAGCGCCGCCGTCTCACCATGCAGGAGTCGACGGAGCCCGCCTCGTAGCCGGCGCACAGCATGCGCGGCGTGAGCGGGCGCAGGGGGAAGAAGCCCTGGCAGGTGCTGGGTGAGATGATCCTCACTTCGCCCTCCTGCAGCTTAGATGGGACAACTGGAGCAGAAGCAGGCGCGTGCACCACGGCAGGATTTCACAGTCACGAGAGATCCTTCGCATTATTCTACAGCAAAGTGGCATTTGTGGGCAGCCGATGAGGCATTCAATTAAATGCCCCCTTTACTTAACCAGCTAGGAGCCCGTTGGGATACAACTCTTCAGAATGTAGTCACTGGCTGCAGATTGGTATCTATAACGTTGCATTTTTTTGTACAATTATTTGAAATGTTTATGTAGAAAATAGTCGCCGGGTCTCAAGATTATTTTGTAGGAGTATCCTGCTCAAGTTGTTTGACTAATTTCCTCTTGTAAGCATATCTGTTTATTGAAAGAAAGAAGTAAAAAATACCTCTTAATATGCACGACGCAAGGGGTGGGAGATTTAATAAACTTGCCCGTCGTTTCGACTGCCATTTTGTGAGGTCAAAGCAAACAGACGACCTGTGCATTGCAAGTCCAATGTGGTAGCAATACTGTAGTGGTAGCACATTACAGGTCTGCGCTCGTTCAACAGAGGTGCGAGTAGCAAAGCTACACGAACAATCGCCTGAAGCCTTGCCGTGGCGAGCGGACCTCGACATTGGCATATCAGCTCCTGAAGAACGCGATGCCATCTTGCGCAATGCCATGTGGTGCACACGTGTATGTGCTCATCCAGGGTCAGAATCGTGTAACTCTCTGGAGAACAGCACGTATGTGTGTATGTATGTGTTGAACTTATTTCGCACCACACATAGCCCACCGTGCTCATCGGAGGTGTGGGGGAAGGACAACAAACTAGACACAACAAGCATTTCTCAAGGAATGACTTTTAAATCGAGATTGATAAGTGCTTAGCTCCAATGGTTTCCTAATATCAGACCATTATGTGATTGAATTAAATGAGTGGTAAAGTTAGTCTGTGCAAGGTTATTGAACCAGAATTGTTGAAGTCCTTGGTTAAAGAAGAGAGCTGGTGGATAGCTAGGGAATGCCCTCACCTAACCATTGATGGATTATGGATGATGATGATGATGATGATGAATAAATTTATTATATGTGTACCCTCACCCCGGACGACTACAGTGGTTCAAGGAGAATTCCTGGCACCACCAACACCAGCACCTTCTCAGTGCAACTTTGCGGACGGGCTGCCCGCGAGAAACGCTGAGCTGCATCCCCCGTGCTCACCCTTGGCGCTGGTGACTCCCCAGCCCGTGATGACGCAGTAGGTGTCATCTGGCACGCCGACACCCCTGTGCGGGAGGCAGGCGGGCTGCACGTGGGGGTTCTCCCACACCTCCTCCCGCAGCTCCACGAGCGCCACGTCATAGTCCAGGGTGCGTGCGCTGAAGCGCTCGTGGCGGATGATGCGCCGCACTTTCCTCTCCTGCCGGAATGCCGACAGGTGCCCCAGGTTGTTCACCCCAAACACGGCCGTCCAGGCCTCCGGGTCGTCTTGCCTAACAAGGGCGGAGAACTGCTTCAGAAGCTGAAGGTGGGCCACACGAAAGTACCGTGATCCACCTTGAGATTTTGCGCATGCTCTCTAAGGGCTCATGTTCAATCCTGAGGCTCAGTGAATGCCAGCGTCCTTCGGGTTTAAACTTACCCAGCAAACAATGCTCTGTATTGAGCTACATCAGAACATTGTGTGGCAGCTGCAGCTATCTGCTCCTCCACCAATGGACAGTTAAGATTATCTCTTAGTGTGACTGCAGTCACCAATCTTATGTTAACTACCTCGCTAAGTATACAGGAGGTCGTGGGTTCAATCCCGACTCTAACGCCTGTATATTTGGAGTTTGGATGTTCTCCCCGTGGTTGCGTGGATTTTTATCCGGGTCCTCCGGTTTTTAACTCCACGTTTAAAAACATGCGTTTAGAGTATTCGGCTACTAAAAATGTCCACATGATGTCATCACTTATTTGTCCGATCATTTGGGGCCTGGTCGCTTCTGAAAAAAACATCTGTATAGCTCAATAGGTCTTACCTGGTAAAATACAAATAGTTTGAATAGTTAGATATTAATCTCAAACCATGGGCTTCATAGTTATGCCACTACCCTGCTTCAATCACTTGCTGGCAAAATTTCTGTTATTGAGCAGTCTACTGCGAAAGCCATCCGTTGACAGGCCCACCAACCTCAACATAAAAAAACATGAACTCTGCTGATGTAGTCGGTGTGAGCTCGCCTATGATGAATCGCACGTATGATTGAGCACTCTGCTGGTTATTATAAGAAAAGGTGATGGTGATCAAGGATTGGACCCCAGGTGTGACAATACATGAGTAGAGTATGAGTCACGCCCCCAATTTATATTTGGGTGGACTTGGTGCTGAGGAATTTAGAAGCGGTGTTGTGACGTGGAGGGTGTTTCTGATCAATATTGCAGATATGCAAATTTCCCTACTGAGGAACACATTGAAATAAAGTTTCGCCATTTCACAAACCCATGGTGCTCAGCTGTTGTGGAGTCGCCCACTTCTCCGGAGGACAGAACACAACGCAGGGTCTCTACGTCTCCGAACTTTCTAATTTTTATTGTTGCTATTTTCGTCTGTTTCGCCAAGCTGTCCCGCTCGCAAGGATTCAGGAGAGGGACAGGGCAGACCAGCTACACTGAAAAACTCCCCATCATAACAAAATAAGAGGACTAAGATGACAATCTGCTGAACCGAGTGTGTGTGTCACGCGAATATACTCTAAGTATCTTTATGCTCAAATGAGCATGGGGGGGGTACTCATCTCTATCGATGGCCCCTGGACTCGAGGTGGAAATTCCACATTCCTATAGCAGAGGACAATCGATGTTCACCTCCAACAAAGTGGTACTCGTATTATTCAGGGATGATGGCCCGAGTGAAATACTAACTCGTACTGTTCTCTTCTCATTTGCAGATACAGTGCTCTAACACAGATGTAAATAAAATGTAAAAAAAAATCGTCCTCATAGAGAGACTGGCCACTATCAGCATACAGTGACCTCTGGGTGTAACGCACTTTAGATGTCTACATTATGATTATTCAGTGAAATGGGCATCACACCAAACTCTTACATGCAGAGCCCTCTTGACGTTGCGTTGTGAACCATTAGATCCTCAGACAGTCAGTGAAGGCACTTAATTTGGCTTCCCCTGAGGTTGTGCTTCAGCTCTCAGACCTGCACATGGACTCACGAATTGCCATACGAAGCCGTACCGCAGAGCTGTAGTATGAGCAGTGTGTGAGCTCACTTTGGGACTAAAACCCCATCAGTATCTGCTTGTTTGATCATCAGCTTCGCAGATATACTGTGGGCAAGACAGGAACCTCCGCATGGCACCCCCGCTACGCGTCACCCAGTCATCCTCTCGTCGCGTAACTCATCAATGCGCGATAAGAAGCGGCGAACAAGCCATCGCTTTGACGTCCATCTACCGGGGGCACGCTCAGCGTCACAGATCTTTCATCACCAGTGTAACCCCACGGGCGAATGTGTGTCCGCGAACCCCCTCACCGCGTGAAGCAGTGTGCCCCCGTGAGCGCCCATCTGCGGTGGATGAGCGTGCAGCCGCAGGAGTGGGGCCTCAGCGCGGTGCGCAGCGAGCCTTGCCACGGCCAGCGCCCCTCGCGGCTCACTCGGCCGCCCAGGATTCTCTTGCTGATGCGTCGCGGCGGCGGGGACGATGAGCGCCGGCCACAGTCTGCGCGCACATCCCGGGCAGGGGAGCAACGAATGGGGTATGTGTGGCAGCGTTTATGCGACGCATAGCGGGAACTCCAGTCGGACACAACGGGCCCCCCGAATCAACAGGTAAACAAGTAAAAGAAACGTGAAGAAAATAAAAAAATACATGAGAACAATAATACTGTGTTTCGTTATAGTCTACATGTTAATGTATATGGATGAAAAACAACCGTGGTTATTTCATTAAAAGTGAGTTGGGAGAAAGGAGGGGGGGGCCACAGTCGTATCTTGCATAGTCCCGTTGAAATATGTTGTTGCTCCCCTGCGTCCGGGGATGGATAGATGTGGGCAGAAAGCATTTTGTAACTGGTTAAGAACCCCTGTGAGGACAAGATGTATGCGTGTGGCAAATAGCAAACAAGTGTGAAGTGAGCTTCACCAATTCAGCATCACTCATACCTCACATTGCACAAATGGTAATAGTGTACTCAGATTTATGTTGAGTATGTAGTAAACTCACAACTGCATGCCTTTTTAACAATTACGTTTTTAGGCAGATCTTGACATTTTTTTTCAAGAAACTGAACTGCAAGCTGAATTGAATAAGTGTGTTAATATTCAAAACAACCTCTAGGTATGTACTGTATGAGCCCTCCACAAGCACCACGAGTTGAGCATTTCTATTGCACATGAAATATTAAGAGTAAAACAGTGCCTACATGTACATGATTACATTTTTAAACTCACCATTTCTGTGGCAGATAACAGACACTACGCTCTCGCTGTCACATGGAACCCTAGGGAGATAAAGGTGGCAATTGAAATAAATCAGTAATATTTAAAAATACTTTTTTTTCAACATGCTTTAATGAAATGTACCGTACGAGTAATGGCAGAACTCCACGACTCCAGGAAGTGGCCCCGAAGCTTGCCACAACGTAAGGGGGCCGTGGTGATTTACAGCCAACGTGAGTTGAGCGTGGACAATTAGACCCAAGCCGAAACATAAGATATAAAAAAGATTGCTTAAAATATATATCTTTTATTTTTTATGATAGAAAATAGTATTGTCATCAGTATGACATACGTATACCAAGTTTGCAGTCGATACGACATTGGGAAGTGGGTTAAAATTGACTTACAAGATTTGAGGATGATACAACAACAGACAGAGTTCTGATTCTGAAATAAATCCTAGGATTCCAATGCGCAATGCATGAAAAGCAGGGAACAAAAACAGAACCAGGGGCAATCCTCCAAACTAAAGAGGGAAGGCCACAGTGAAGAGATGGGTTTTCAAAGCAGGCTTGAATATATCTACCGATTCCGATTGCCTGATTTCAAGTTTTGGGAATGATCTTTCTCACAAATATAAAATTCTTCACAGCAACAATGTTTTATTCTTATTCTTATTTCTAAATATACAGCTGTATACACAGGCCGAGATGTGTGAATCTGCGAGTTTCTGCATCGAGTGATGGAAGCTTACGCAGCAGGTGAGTGGAGCACCTGCATTTTATGCCCAGAGCAACCACCGGAAAATTGTACCTCTGCAATATGAACACATCTGTAGTACGTGCCGTTTGTCATTTGCTATTTATCTGTGGGAGTGTACGCTGTAGAAAGATTTGTTCCTCTCCATTGCATATGCAATTTTCACCAATGGTTCAGGGTCGGGAGTGCAGATAGGAATGACCAATTGCTCATTTGGGGATGGTGACACTTTGACTGCCTGCGAGATGTTAACTACCTCGCCTGGTATACATTATGTCGTGGGATCGAAACCGACCCCGACGCCTGTATATTTGGAGTTTGCATGTCATCGCCGTGGTCGCGTGAATTTGTCTCCGGGTCCTCCGGTTTTTACCTCCACATTCAAAAACATGCGTTCAGAGTATTTGGCTGCTATTCATTTTCACATGATAAGCCACTTTTTGGTCTGCCTGCAACCAGGTGTGTGAGCAAGTTAGGCAACCAGAGGCATGGTGATACGTTTAAAGCAATATGGCACGGGTGGTTTGGAAACGAATGCGGGGTCACCTTGCCTTCACGCCCGTGCGTGGGGAGGGGCTGCATCAGCAAATACTCACCCCTCTGCCAGGGCGGCCTGAACGGTGCTGGTGTTTGTCTGATGCCATCCAGGTGTCAGGTGCAGAGGAGGCAAGAATTTCTTCCTCACTGCCCTTTGAAGGAAGCGGGTGTCTGCCTCGCCCCTGGAAAACAACAACGTCAACAGAACAACAACAACAAAATACCAATCAATGCTATTTGAGATATCAAACATAACAACTTATCGTGTTATCGGATTCACAAGATATATGTCCACAGCTTGACAATCATAATATTAATATTTTTTGGTAATTTTGAGGGAATTTGAATGTAGATTTTAATTATTATTACTTGGTATTTGGGCTATGCGATCCACACACATTGGTCTGCCCTCATAAATAATGGTTAAGGGTCTTAATGGCTACAGTGCATGGCTTACTTTAGCAGTTTCCTCTTGTAATGTAAGTTACAACTCTCCATGCTGTTCAGCTGTGCCAGCATTAACAGGCTTGCACTTTGCACATTTCAGACACGAGTGTTGGCTGTGGTCCAGCAAAGTGTAGAATATTGTGTAGGAAAAAATAGCTGAACAAGAACGTCACATTTTTCCCACATGGTTATTTCCACAAGACAGCTGCACTTTATACGCTACGTCAACTATACTTAGTGTTACGTGCTTAGAGCTTTCAACTTTAGATTTTGCACAATATAATCTAGTTGACCAGCACAGTCACAGTGATGATGTGTCTACAGAATTATATTTAGAACTGGCAGCTATGGATCAAACGTGATTTTATAGAGCCCGTAACATATTTGGTAGACAGTACACACTGCATCAGTTTCAGAGGGACAGGAAAAGAGGCTTTGTCAATTGTAATATTGTACTACACTGACAACAATGTCACTCTTTAGCCCCACGCTCAGACTTGCCAGGCAGAACCTGCTGTATGCAGTTCACTGCAGCAGGATTTACAAAAATACACCGTACACATGTTTTAAATGATAGCAGAGTGTGAATCACATGTTAATGTTGAATTTAACATTGGACTATATTTACGCCCAAGAGCTTTTACGAAAATGTTTAAATAATTGTATCTGCTTGTGCACAGTTATATTTTACCTGGTTATATGTTTCTATGGAAGAGGGGTGATCGAGGGGTTCTCGAACAAAGGGTGAATTCTGAGTAAAGAGAGCATTTATTTTAATGATCACCAAATCTCAGGGAGATTCATTCTGTAACTTAATAAACAATGTTGACGTAATCGCATTGTGTGTTCTCAAACAAATTAAGAAATTTGAGCTGAAAACAATCATGAAAACAAGTCAAAGCAAGATATGACTCGACAATAATTGCTACTGAAATATACTCTTTAAGACCTATATAGTCCACCTACTGAATGCCAACGGCTTAGATGCCTATACAATCAGCTATTTACCAGTCTATGTAAAGTCTCTGTGTTGTCGCTGTGTACAACAGACTGCCGGGCCACGTGTGGTTCTGCCCCGTCCCGTTTTCACGTTGCTTGGATCTTCCCGCTCGCCAGTCAGCCTACGCTGAAAGACCGAGCTGCGTGTCATTTGTGTTTAGCGATTTTTTTTTAACGTCTGGATGTGTATGTGTGTGGAGTTGCTACTCGCTAACAGCACTTGCACCAACGTGGGGGATATTTGTCTGTGTGTGTGGGGAACGGCAGTGTAGTGGTTAGTGCGCTGCGCTACGAACCCGGCGACCCGAATTCGATTCCTGCTCACGGCCACCAACCATGGTGACGATTATCTGAACCGGTCCTAGGCCTTCCTCCCCTAGGTCAACTCAGCCTCAAATGAGTGACTGGTGCGATGTATAAACATCGCCACTTAGGGAGACAAAGGCGGCCGGGCGTGGTGCTGGCCACCCACCCCCTCGTGTGCCGTTTCAACCTTCATGGGTACTACAGTACTTGCAAACAGCGCTTGCTCCAATATTCTGTTAAAGACTACAAGGAGGATATTTCTCTTTATGTGTGTATGGGTGGGTGTGTGTGCGTGTGAATCGGTGTTGCCGAGTCACCAAGTGTTCCACTCTCACCAGAAACCCATCTGAGCGCAGGCCAAGTGGCTGAGCGCCGCACCCCACCCGTCCGAGCAGACCAGGCGCGACTGTGCGTGTCTGTGGACGAGCAGCTCGCTACGGGGACCAGGCGTCACCTCTGCGTTGTGGTCCGATATCCCCACTGTTCGAAACATCACAGATTGCACGAGTTAAAACGTTTTTATTTTCCTGATAAGTTATACTTTTTTTTGTTCCACTGTTGGTTTTCACATCCACAGACAACTTGTATAGGTATTCCGGCACCCGTCTCTTCTGGTTCCACTCTTACCTCTCAAGTGGCAGCTTCCGTGATCCCATTCGAGCACAGTCTTCCTCTCACAAACCTCGGCACTGGCAAAGGTGTCCCTCAATGCATGTCATGTACACATGCCCACAGTATCTACGGCGTCTTGAGATACGTTCGCATAAACGTCCGTGTTAAACGGAGTTTTATTATTGTGTATTACACAATAAGCACGGGGTTGTAATTATCTTCTGTTAATGGCCCAATGAGCGATGCTGGTGTTGGAAAGATTCCTAGGATGGGGGCGAGATTGTCGACAGGGCAGCCAGCGTGAACGTCCCACAAAATAAATATCGTTGTGTTGACCCCAAAATAATTAGTTGACCTCCAGTGGGATTTAAATTATCAATCTTCCCATTGCAAGCCATATGCCCGAATCTCTCCACCACATGCCTGAACCATGGCCAATTAAAGCGTTTACAAATAACACGTTCATCAACGATTAATGCAGCGCTTGGTAATCGTTTCTGCCGTTAAACAAACGTGATATTGTTCAATCAGTGTATTGGCACTGGCAAGTGTTTACTGTTGCTGCAGTAATGGAATGGTGACAAACAATGCATACGCAATCCATCAGTACCGTGCCACAAGGGGGCTCAGGCACGCTAATGTGGTTATTAATTGGCGTAGCAGCTAATGTGCACGCTGGCCAAGGCAGAAATAATTTTCATCGCTTTCCGCATGAAACATTATTGCGCAGTGATGTACGCCGCTTGCGCAGCAGCTATGGATTTGAGCGCTCGCTCCCCAGATCGTTGTACCAGAGCCAACCACGGTAAAATGTGATGTACCAATCGTAAAAAAACACACAGCAATGGCCCGTATTTGTGGCATTGCACCGTATTTGTGGCATTGCACCGTATTTGTGGCATTGCTATATTCGTAGAAGGCGCTGACAACAGAATGTCGGTGGAAAAAACTTTACCCAAAATTGGTCACGCGAATGAGAAATAGACGACATCCGATTGTCCCACGTGATCGTCGTGTTGATGGACGGGGTGGCGTGGCATCTAGTTTATGTCATCTTGCACATGTTTAAAATACCGTAGAGCCTACGAGGACGTCAGTTTTTGCGAATGTTAATTGGTCTCTGTAGGCAGTGCGGCCCTGTCTAACAGCTTAAATTAGTCTGAAGTGAGCAACTCGTACCATGTTTACAAGCGCTGGGAGGACAAGCAGCCACCAGGTTTGTATTAGCCCACTTGTGATTCACATTGAGCGAAAATAATTTTACTAACCATTGAACATTGTATGAGTTGCCGATACATTGGACATTAGAATTATAATTTGGACAATGCAATTGCAGGCAGTCCTCGACTTACGAACGCCCAACTTACAAACGACCGTAATTACGAACCAGCTTCCATGAAATATTTTTCAAAAATGACTTAAAACGCGAACTTGCAATTGCAAACTGAACCGCGGAACTATTTTGTTCAGAGGAGCGATCCTCCGCGAGATGTAATGAGTCGGCCTCGCGCGATGAGTCAATGTCTGTGTGTGTGGGGAACGGTCGTGTCGCGGTTCGCTACGAAAGCACCGACCCGAGTTCGATTCTTGCACATGGCCAACACCAGTACCTGGTGTGGAGTGTAAACATCACCACTGGGGCGTGAAAAGGCGGCCGGGCGTGGCGCTGGTCACTGACCTCCTGGTGTACCGTGCCAGCCTTCATAGGCGCTACTCGCAAACAGAACTTGCCCCAACAGCCTGGTTAAGGCTACACGGAGGATCGTTGTCATTGGGATGTGTGTGTGTCTGTGTGTGCGCATGCCCCGTGTATGTGCAATGGTGGTGACTCATTGCCCCCTTCCGACGACAGTACAAGCTAGCATCAGGACCCAGGGTAAGTGAAAATATAAGTTTTTACTATACAGTATTTGTTTTATATTGTTACACTGACCGTATGGGCATTTAAATAGTGCATTACAGTATTGTGTCCAGACTTACGAACCGTTCGACTTACGTACGGGTCTCAGGAACGAATTAGGTTCGTAATCCGAGGACTGCCTGTATATTATACCAATTCAGGACTTGGTGCATTTTAAATAAACTATATCTCACTGCGAGCTCGTCAATGAATATCAATGTATATGTACAGGGCAGCAGGGAATATTAATACTCATGTAAACAAGTTGGGGGCCCGGGCGTTGGGGAACCAACTTGTGACTAGAGATCATTCTGACTCCAACAAGGAGATTATATTTATCATTGGTTTGGAATTTTCCCACCACGTGAAGAAAGCCTTGAGTAGAGGCGCCCATCAAGGGGAGGCTGAGCGCAAGGTGGAGTTATGTAAACACTACTCGCATAGCCTGCTGCGGTCAAAATATCTAATGTATTACATAAAGTCTGGTGTCATAAGAATGTGTTACCGCTTACCTTATTTATGTAAAAATGCCTGAGGTTTCCCCACAAAGCCTTTATGAGAAAATAATGCTTTTTTATGGGTATTAATTTTCTTAATCATCAGCGGTGTCATGTTAATAGCACTTACTAAGGGTGTCCCCTCGCATGTTGCCAAAAGGGAATTTTTCGACTGTCGTTTGACTGAATGAAATGGCTAAATTGATATTTTCTACCTATTTGGCCATTTTTTTCCAAAAGTTGGCAGACAATTGCACTCTATAACAAATGTATCAAGCCCCGGTGTGCAAACCATGCAATTTAAAGCAACATCGCCTCAGACTACAAAAGCTCCTGCACATTTCTGTCAGTGGGGCTCCTTTAAGATTACTGCCTGGAATAGACCAAGGCATCCAAGGAGAGACTTCAAGATTAGGAATAACGACAGAAGCCATGCCAGATTTTTTTCTAAAGTTAAAAACCTCACAGGGGAGTTGCGTTTGGATAGTTTCAAAAACAGAAACCACTGTCTTACTGTGCACACCTAAAAAGACATGGTAGCTCAGATGATACATGATACACGTTCACATGATACGTTCATTGGCCCCGAAACACCACCATTACAGTAAAAGTAATTGGCTTAACAAATGGGATTAATGTGGTCCATGTGACCCACGCAACCATGTTGCCCATGCCACAGCTCCTTAGGACACAAAGTTGATACCCACCACAGTCCCATTCGTCAGATCCGTCTGCACAGTGTCTCTCGCCGTCACACCAGGCCCTCTGTGGGACACACTGGTGGTTCAGGCAGGCCATCTCCTCCACCTCACATTGGGCTGCAACACACAAAAGACCGGCGTTGGTACAACAGCGAAGCACCGCATGGTGGCCAAGCGTGGACCTTGGATGTGTCACAAACATGCAGTCAATCATTGGGTGTTTTGCTGTGTTCACTCCAGATCCCTTCTGTTATTCTTATAGTATGTATGTTGAACTTGTTTCGCACTATACGTAGCCAACCTTGACAATCGGAGGTGTGGGGGGAAGGATAACAAACTAAACACAAAAAAGCAATTCCAAAGACATTAAGTGACAGTTAAAAAGAATGTTTCCACCACTGGCGAGGGTTTGAAAGGCATTGATATGTCCACGAGTTGTTAAGCCAAGATCGGCCATGGTTCGGAATCACACGATTCACTGGGAATGCCTAAGATTCAGAGAGGCGAACTAAGCCATGCATTATGAATTATGAGAGCGGGAGGAGTCCAAAGCTGGCCAAGCACGCTGCACTTTTGTGTTTGGTTTCTTTTTCAATATCAACAACTCCTTGTTTATCACGTATTTATACATCCACTTGTAATCTAAGCATCGTTTTCCAGTTTGTGCGATTTTTCCATTCCAGAAAACCACATGCGGATTATTACGTATATGTATGTTTGTTGAACTTCTTTCGCACCATACGTAGCCAACCGTGCTCATCGGAGTAATATAACAGAATTGTTGAAATTTCTTACGAGTGGGCAACATCGTTTAGTCGTTTAATAGCCAGCTACTGACAAAAGCAGTGTAGAAAAAAATCCAGAGATTTTTTTTTTATTCACATTTATGGGGAGACCTAGAGATCCAATATCTGGTACAAATCTTGATTTGAAGCTTTCGTGACTGCAGGAATCCATACTCTCTGGTTCTTTCGGTAAAGTCACGTAAAGACGGCCGCTTGTGTAACTGGTACAACTGTCACGATTGACTTCTAACAACATCTTAATAAAAAAAATCCACATATCTGTTTCATTTCGTACACCTCCAATTAGCATGTATGGTGTGAATTAAGTAAAAAATGCATACATACATTGCAATGTTACATACAAATATTAACAACAATATTAACTGCAAGAAAATCGCTGTATTAGTTTTTTTAGGCATGTTATTCAACTTGTCAGTGAGCTGCAGTAATAATAAGAGTCTCGTAGTTAAACCCTTGCAGTAAATATTGTTGGCTACATTGGGTGGTGAAAGTCTTAACAACACAAATGTTGTCAGATCATTACGTGGCCTAACCGAAAAATCATGTATGAATAAATTTAATATTCGTCTTTTTTAAGTTATTACATAAAATGCAATGTCTCCCAATGTCTACAATCAACCACGTTCAAAAGGGGTTAATGGCGATGCAGTCAATGACACTCAATTATGCAACAAGACTAGCTTTAATGCACTGTGGTTGCGTTGAATGAAGTGCACCAATTAATTGCAGCTTCTTTAACGTATTGACCTCATGTGAAATATAATATTCAGAGATAATATTTAATTATGCTGAACAATTTTTTTTAGGCGTTTTGATTATTATTTTTACAATGTGAAACAACTCTTTGCAAATTGTGGCCGACAATCGAATGCCAGAGCAATGATGCATGTGGGGGGTTATTAATATTGTGAATATGCACATACAGTATCAATATACAGCTCAACACACGAGTATTTGGAATCGCCTTCAGAAACGTGACAGTAATACTTTAGTGTAATACATCAACAACACAAACCTACAGCAAAATTTCTCATCTTCCTCATCCCGGCAGTCCGGGAAGCCGTCGCAGTGCATGTCGAGATTGATGCAGCTCTTGTCGGAGAGGCATTCCCACATCCCTCTCTGAGCGCACTCTATAGTAGAAACACAATAACGGTTGCCTCCGTTAGTGTACAATGTCCCTTGGGAGTTCCGTGGCAAAATTCTAAAGTGAAGTGTATTGCTTTGTCCTCATTTATATGCTTGCCGTCCCGGACAATCCTCGGCTTGTGAAACATGGGCCGCCACGTTGAGGACTTCCTTTCATTTGGATGAACGCAGCTGGAGCATACGCAGCGACGCGGAGAGTGGGTATTCCGAAACACTGCTTTATCCATCAAGGATATTCTGAGCTAACCGCTCAATCTGTTACGCTTGAAGTGAAGCCTGCAGCTTCATTTATGAGAACTTCAAACTCGTATAAATCCGCACAAGACAAACTTTATTATTTACGGCAACGCAGAGATGGCTCTACACGTTTCATAATTGCACAAGACATGAAGGCATGAAGGAGCTAATATCTTTAAAACACAAAGTTTTCACTCTAGATTTATTCGCAGCATTCAGGAGTATATTATTCTGAGTCGAATAAGGCATTGAAACATTATTTACACATTTGCAAATACAATTACAGTACTGTAATTAAAACGGTCATATTTTTTTATTCACGTGGGATTCTTGCACTACTTTGTGGATATATTTATTGTTAAAATCAATATAGAGCACTGTGGAGCATTGTCACTGCTTTTGATGGTTCAAAGGTAATAAAGATGGATGCTTTATATCAATCCTTACCACAGTTCCCTCCTCGGAGCATGAGAATTTACCTCGGTGAGTTTATATTCCTAAAAATCTGGCACAGAATTCATGTACAGATTTATTTCAGCTGCACGCAAGGGACCCTAAACAAACTAAAATATTGACAGTTGATATTGACACCCAAAATGCATTTGAGCTTCTAGCAATCAATGCCTTTGATCCATTTCATTTGATTTTTCAAATGAATTTTCTGCAGAATTTGTGTTGGCACGTACTGTCGTAAAAGTGGCAGGTTTAGGAATTGATTTCTCATTATTATATCACTTTATTTTGAACTTGTGAATATGATTGATGTGACTCAATAAAGGCCGTGGCTATTGTTATAGCATTGAACCAGTTGTATAAATTCCACATTCCTGTAGCAGGAACTTGACAAACACCGATTACTTTTCACAAAGCACCACTTATGGTATATAAACTAACCTGGCCACAAATAATAGCTAAACGAAGTGGTTTATCAATATTTGACTGCTATAAATGTCCACATGATAAGCCACTTCGTTGAGCTATCATTTGTAGCCAGATCGCTTTTGTAAAAAAAACTACACAGCTCAGTGGGCCTTACCTGGTAAAATAAAAATAATTTATAGGATTTTTTAATGTGGAAATGTATAGCAGCTAAATACTCTCGACGCATGTTTCTAAATATGGAGGGAAAATCCGGACGACCCAGAGAAAAATCCATACGACCACGGAAAAAAACGTGCAAACTACAAATATACAGGCGTCAGGGTTGGGATAGAACCCACGACCTCGTGTATACCAGGCGAAGTAGTTAACATCTCGCCACCGTTGTATATCATCGATGGAGGATGCGCTGAGTGAAGCTGTTGCTGATGGTGGTGGTGTCCCCACTACAGGAGAGAGACTTTCAAATCAAGAGTTTGCTTGTAGTAGAGTGTGCCCCCCTTCCCAGCGACTCCGATGTAGCAACAGTGAGCGTTGCTGCATAGCGGGCGTGGCACGTACCGCAGTCCTGCTCGTCGCTCGCATCGTCGCAGTCGCTGCGCGAGTCGCAGCGCCGCGCGGCGGACACGCAGCGGCCCGAGGCGCAGCGAAAGTGCAGCAGCGGAGAGCACCGGGCTGAAAGACACGCAGGCGCCAGGCACGGCTCGCTCGTCGGGGACGAAGGGGGGGGGGGGTGCTGGCAGCACATCGGTCTCTGTGTGTGTGTACGTCACAGGGGAATTGTGCCACTGTGCGTGTCCCTGTCATCGTCGTTATCATCAGTCACAGTTACAGAATGGCTTCCTCGCGAGAGAATTACAATGTGACATGCCGAGTGATTGGGGATGGGAAATGGTGGCAAGATTATATGAACACAAAGACAAAGATTCCCCGTATAAACTGGAGGGGCAAGTGCTGTTAGCGGGCACCTATGAAGGCAGAACGCAAGACCCCATAAGCACACACGAGGATGATTTCGGAATCATCAAGTTCAGGGTGATTCGGAGAATCCACGCTATTACTGCGTTCTATATGATAAAAGTGACACTCCTCTCGTATAATTAAGTATCTTAAATCCCCTTCCTGCCTCTGTTCACACAGCGGAATAAACGATGAAAACATTTTCAAACTTTTCAGAAGCCACCTGGCCACAATTGATACCTCAATGAAGTGGCTTATGTTGGGAGCTATAGCAGCCAAATACTCGAAACGCATGTTTCTTAATGTGGGGGGAAAAACCGGAGGACCTGGATAAAAATGCACACGACCAAGGGGAGAACATGCAAACTCCAAATATATAGGCATCAGGGTCGGGATCAAACCCACGACCTCCTGCATAGCAGGCGAGGGAGTTAACATCTTGCCACAGTGCCGCCCGAAACGTGTACGCCAGTTCGTTGATGGGCAGGTCACGTGTGGTGAGGTCAAGTGTAGGTGCTCCCACCTCTCCCAAGACATCTGACCAGTGTGGAAGAATAGGGCAGAATACCCTACAAAGGGGTTTTTACATATAGCCCTCTCCTGGAGGCCCTTCTAGCAGCAGAGGCATTAGCAGGCATTTGCAGGGGGCACCTCGCCATAATGTCCAAAAATCCAACATTCCCTCATAACAACTGCGTTATTATTCATGAGTACAATAGGCTATTTACCACAAGGTTAGACTGGACCACCCTTTAATATTCAAACATACGTATGTTTAACTTCTTTCGCACAGTACGTAGCCAACCGTGCTCATTCAAGGTGCGGGTTGTGCCTTCAATTTTATGAAATCCAGAAGCTGTCCCTCCTGCAATGCTATGGTATGAGTTACAATGGAGCCCGCAAGCAAGCGTGAGTATCTTTTATGCTCCTCTGTGTAGCAGCATGGATTTTCTGGGAAGCCACACCGCCTAATAACTGACATATTTCTTGCCTTGCATATGGGCGTTGAAACGTTAAGCTCATTATTAAAACCTGGTCAGAGCTTGCCAAGACAACGTGCGAACACATTGTGCAGGGCCATGGAAGGAATACAAATGTTCAATGCCAAAATGTGAAAAATATTAATCACATAAAAAATGTAATGAAAATGCTATAAATTCAAATAATAATATCAATATTCTAACAGCTTACATATATCACAAGCTTAAACGTTGTATCTTTAATTTTATAACCGGTCAAATAGTATTTTTTAAAGCATGAAATACGATACTACTCTTATCTGTTCACTCCCTTATCCACAACTATTATTATCTGCGAGGCTGAACCGCTCCACAATTATTTCCCTTACGGTGAATTGACCGCTCCAGTTATCTGCAGTCACATAGAGAGGAGTGGGCTGACAGAGCCACAGCTGGGTGCGAAATCCCAGGGGAGAAGTGGAACACCGTGGACATTTCCGCAGGCTGTGATGCCGCAGACAAAGAGCAGAGAAAAAAATGAAACTGGGCCAACGCTGCCTTTCACAGATAACCAAATCCCCATCCCTCATCCATACCCTTGCATAACTGTAATGTCCATAAAGCCAACATTCCTTGATAACACTCTTTATATATGTACTATATATTTACCTACAACAGCACATTCGAGTATTAATGTTGCGAGCATATCACTGGGTGCATCTATTATACTGCCTTTTTAAAGACGAAGACATTTAATTCTAGACACCGAAATAATTAGAATAAAAATGTTTCCCCTACATTGTTAGCAGATATTACTACAGAGGCATTCGAATGACAACAGAGAAGGTATGTATATTGAGAAACACTTTTCAATAAAAACAAGACGATGTGCACAAAAAAATGTGCCACCACGTCAAATAAGTATGCCGTGTGTGTAACACCTGCTCGCAACTCAAGAATCCACGTTTCCTGAACGACTTTACTGCCATCTCTTGACCATGTCTGTTAATGCATCGGGACCCCTTGGTAGCTGGGCCGTTTGAACCGAAAACGTCGCAGCCTCCATTAGCAGACGTGTTCTGACCCAATGGAGTTGGTTGCTCGAATCGTACACCAGGCGGCCATTCGTTCACATTTTTACGTTTCGGAACTGCGCTATGCTCAAAGATTCGCTTGTCAAAGAAGGCCTGTGCAGGATTTATGAAGAAGTATTACCCAGGAAGTCAGTAAACTTTGGCTTTATTGCCGGAGGATCTGAAAACGTGTCGTCAGCAGAAAGGCTCCCTCTGGCACCCCTTGACCTCCCCAGTGTGAACAGACTGCATACAGCAGCAGAAATGCGATGTTAAAACATAAATACAATAAAACTAATATGCACTAAATATTCAGCGCTGCTATAATTCGCCGTTTTGCCAACATTGCACATCCATGTGAACGTTATTCTTTAGAAGTATAACGAACTTACTCAAATTATACCGTGTTTTGCTGTTATGTATAACTAGTTATGCATGAACCCATATGAGTACATAGGCCAGGCTATTCTAAAATCCACAGAACTACAACAAACAATGTGATTCATGTAACGATTCCAAAATACATTGTTTTTTCCCAAATACAAATCTCAATGAATTGTTTTTCTCAAGCGTTCCATAGTTCAAAATCACAGAGGTATATGGCATTTACATGTAACCTAAATGTCAGTCCTGTTTTGAGTTTTGAGCTAATAAACGACTACTTCTATCGATCAACGTCACAGTTCATAGCAGGTGCAGAGCATACAAATAAAAGCAAATGATGAGATCCATTTTGATTTTGAGCAAATCTGTATTGTGTTGTGAATGTCAGTGCCCCGAATAATGCAGAGGCTGCTCTATTTGAGCACGGTACGATCCGGCAAGGATTACGCTGTGGATATTTCTGGCTGTGTGGTAGCAGAAAGGCAGCTGAGATAAGTGATACAGAAGTTCAATGAATTCTTCATTGTAAAGTGATTATCAAGGTCAAAGAGCACACTGACAGAATCAAGAGACAACAGCTTGTGGCACCTTTGCCTGACCTTACAAATCAATGCAAACAAATATGTCAAACTATAAACGACATTTATTTTGCCAGGTGAGACCCACTGAGATATATAGCTATTTTTCAGAAGCCACCTGGCCACAAATGATAGCTCAACGAAGTGGATTATCACGTGGACATTTCCAGCAGCCAAATACTGCGAACTTGAAAAATACAGGCATCGTCAGGGTTGAGATCGAACCCACGACCTCCTGCACAACAGGCGAGGTAATTAAGATTTCAACACCGTGTATGATACATACAACTATATTTATGCTTTGTAAGATCACTTTGGCTTAGTTTGTAAAACATTTCCCTAGGGTGTATCTGGTATGAATGCAAGAGCTTAACCCAACTCCTGTGCTCACGACAGATTCATCTATTCGATTATTTATATATCATACACATTATGCAGATTTCTCATTTAGGGTAATGATCAAAATGAACTAGACAGGACAAAAAAGGACTGCAGACTAAAAAAGTATACAATGGGAAAGGAGAGATAAGACACAGCATATACAATACAGCCAGTACAGGGACTTGAGCAAGATAGTAAAGTCTAGATTTGAAGCTTTCGTGACTACAGGAATCCATACTCTTTGGTTCTTTCGGTAAAGTCACGTAGGTATAAAATAAAAATAAATCACGACGTTTCGGGCGCAACACAAGCGTCCGTTATCAGGTGGGAAAGCATGGTCTGCTGCTGAGGCAGATTGTTTTAAAAGGTTTGAAATGGGTGTAGCCCAAGGGTCATAAAGAAGTGTGAGAGATTAGCATGATGTTAATGTGAGAAATTCGCATGTACCTGTAGAAAAGGAGGGTGAGGATGAGATATCTAAGAGAGAGGCATACGGAGAGACACACAGAGAGTCGGAAATAACAGCTGACATAGGCAGGTAGGATGGAAACATCAGTCAGTTAAGACTTTACCTGGTTAATAACGTCCTTCCAATGATTTCTAAGTTTGTACCCATCCTCTCGGTTGAAGTTGTGTCTGTGTTTATACATCTGGATGGCTTCATGAACAAATCTCTGAAGGTAGCCGGTAGGTTTGCATCTACGTCCTTCCTTGTAGAAGAGATACATAGATGACATGTTCGTCATCTGGCCACATGGCCTGCCAGCACTGAACCAATTTCTCAACCACGTCAATTCCATACACCCGTCTATCAAATTCACCATGGAAGTGGAAAAGGATGGCAAGCTACCATTCCTGGACGTTTTGATCGAGAAGAGACCTGATGGCTCGTTGGGACATTCGGTCTACAGGAAAGCCACCCACACAGATGCCTATTTAAAGCCTGACTCCCACCACCATCCAGCCCAGAAGAGTTCCCTCATCAAAACACTACATCATAGGGCCCGTTACATTTCCGACCAGCACCACCAGGCCAGTACACCAAGCCCTCAGGATGAACAGATACTCGGACCGTACAACCCGCAAAGCTGTCTCCCCAGCGATGCGGAGACAACCTTCTGAGGATCCAACCAAAACCATCACTTTACCGTACATAGCAGGGGTTACCAAAAATATTTCAAAAAATCTTAAACAAACACAAGATCCAGGTTCGTTTCAACACAGTACACAAAATCCGTGATTTAATCCCATCTGTACAGGATGTGATTCCTGACATGCAAATACCCTGGTGTCTACAAACTGAGTTGTGGTTGCAGCAGCAGTTACATTGGGGAAACAAAACGACATGTCTCGGACCGCGTTCGTGAACACAAGGCAGATCTGAAACACAGTAGGACCAATACCTCTGCTGTTGCCGATCATTGTTTTAATGCTGTGGGCTCACACGAAATTGATTTTTCCAAGCCATCCAGATATATAAACACAGACACAACTTCAACCGAGAGGATGGGTACAAACTGAGCAATCGTTGGAAGGACGTTATTAACTAGGTAAAGTCTTAACTGACTGATGTTTCCATCCTACCTGCCTATGTCAGCTGTTATTTCTGACTCTCTGTGTCTCTCTATCTATGCCTCTCTCTTAGATCTCTCATGCTCACCCTCCTTTTCTACAGGTACATGCTAATTTCTCACATTAACATCACTCGCCCCGGCCACTTCTTTATGACCCTTGGGCTACACCCATTCCACACCTCTTAAAAACAGTCTGCCTCAGCAGCAGACCATGTTTTCCCACCTGATGACGGACGCTTGTGTTGCGCCCGAAACGTCGTGATTTATTTTTATTTTATTTTATACCTACGTGACTTTACCGAAAGAACCAAAGAGTATAGTAAATATTGTTCATAGAGTACATGCAGTACGAATGAAAGACACAATAAAAATTAGACAGAATAAAGACAAGACACTCAATTAGACCATGAAAACAGTACAGATATGAAAGGCGTTAAAAATGAGACGGTACCGGTGAGACGGAGGAAAACTGTGAAACAAGACAGAATAATCAATTGTTGAATGGAGGAGACAGTTGAATCACCGCACGCGTAGTGTAGTATTTAGTTGGGGGTGCCGTTACTACAGCGAGAGGAAACCACAGCGAAGCTAATTCACTCGCGTCCACCCTCGGCTCCCATCACAATCAGAATCAGAATCTTTATTTAAGCTGGAGGAGGAATCAATCCGATGATCGACGAAGCTCTGTCATAGGGAACTTTTTTGCCAGCATCAAGTATGAAAAACATAATACATTTTACCCTTTCATGCAATAAAACAGGTGTTAAGATATCACAGGACAGTACAGATATGAAAGAATAAGAATACGTTATACCCATTCTGGCAATAAAACAGGTGTTAAGATGTTCAAACACCAAATAGATACCTTTTTGCAAGGAATAAAGTCTGCATGAACCACACAGTACTTGTGGTGAGCATGCATACAAACATGCTCTGATAAAATATGGCATTGTCTTAGTTTCACCAGTGTCAGACCAGAGAACGCCAAAAGGCGAACAGTACAAAGACAATGCCACTTTCAGGGCATTTACAGCGAGGGAAAAAAGTATTTGATCCCCTGCTGATTTTGTACGTTTGCCCACTGACAAAGAAATGATCAGTCTATAATTTTAATGGTAGGTTTATTTGAACAGTGAGAGACAGAATAACAAAAAAAATCCAGAAAAACGCATGTCGAAAATGTTATGAATTGATCTGCATTTTAATGAGGGAAATAAGTATTTGACCCCTCTGCAAAACATGACTTAGTACTTGGTGGCAAAACCCTTGTTGGCAATCACAGAGGTCAGACGTTTTTTTTTGTAGTTGGCCACCAGGTTTGCACACATCTCAGGAGGGATTTTGTCCCACTCCTCTTTGCAGATCTTCTCCACGTCATTAAGGTTTCGTGGCTGACGTTTGGCAACTCGAACCTTCAGCTCCCTCCACATATTTTCTATGGGATTAAGGTCTAGAGACTGGCTAGGCCACTCCAGGACCTTAATGTGCTTCTTCTTGAGCCACTCCTTTGTTGCCTTGGCCGTGTGTTTTGGGTCATTGTCATGCTGAAATACCCATCCACGACCCATTTTCAATGCCCTGGCTAAGGGAAGGAGGTTATCACCCAATATTTGATGGTACATGGCCCCGTCCATCGTCCCTTTGATGCGGTGAAGTTGTCCTGTCCCCTTAGCAGAAAAACACCCCCAAAGAATAATGTATCCACCTCCATGTTTGACGGTGGGGATGGTGTTCTTGGGGTCATAGGCAGCATTCCTCCTCCTCCAAACACTGCGAGTTGAGTTGATGCCAAAGAGCTCCATTTTGGTCTCATCTGACCACAACACTTTCACCCAGTTGTCCTCTGAATCATTCAGATGTTCATTGGCAAACTTCAGACGGGCATGTATATGTGCTTTCTTGAGCAGGGGGACCTTGCGGGCGCTGCAGAATTTCAGTCCTTCACGGCGTAGTGTGTTACCAATTGTTTTCTTGGTGACTATGGTCCCAGCTGCCTTGAGATCATTGACAAGATCCTCCCGTGTAGTTCTGGGTTGATTCCTCACCGTTCTCATGATCATTGCAACTCCACGATGTGAGATCTTGCATGGAGCCCCAGGCCGAGGGAGATTGACAGTTCTTTTGTGTTTCTTCCATTTGCGAATAATCGCACCAACTGCTGTCACCTTCTCACCAAGCTGCTTGGCAATGGTCTTGTAGCCCATTCCAGCCTTATGTAGGTCTACAATCTTGTCCCTGACATCCTTGGAGAGCTCTTTGGTCTTGGCCATGGTGGAGAGTTTGGAATCTGATTGATTGATTGCTTCTGTGGACAGGTGTCTTTTATACAGGTAACAAGCTGAGATGAGGAGCACTCCCTATAAGAGTGTGCTCCTAAACTCAGCTCGTTACCTGTATAAAAGACACCTGGGAGCCAGAAATCTTTCTGATTGAGAGGGGGTCAAATACTTTTTTTCCCTCATTAAAAGGCAAATCAATTTATAACATTTTTGACATGCGTTTTTCCAGATTTTGTTGTTGTTATTATGTCTCTCACTGTTCAAATAAACCAAACCATTAAAATTATAGACTGATCATTTCTTTGTCAGTGGGCAAACGTACAAAATCAGCAGGGGATCAAATACTTTTTTTCCCCTCACTGTATAGCTCGGGGTGAGCAGCTCCAAAATGGGACCTTTCTTGTCAGTATTAAAGTATGAAAAAATAAGAATAAGTTTTACCCTTTCTGGCAATAAAACAGTTGTTAAGATGTTCAAACACCAAATAAAAACATTTTACAAGGAATCAGAAGGTTTCTATTTGGTTTGCATGTTCATCAGAAGTACGTGTGGTTAATGCGAACTCGATTCCTTGCAAACGGTTCATATTCGGTGTGTGAACGTCTTAACACCTCCTGTTTTATCGCCAGAAAGGGTACAACCTATTCTTATCTTAAAAGCTTTACGAAGCTTTTTTTCTCACAGACGTCCAGCAGCACGCACGGCGCCCCACCCCCTCTCACCGTCCGCGTTGCTGGCGTCCGGCAGGAGGCACGCGTCCGGCGGCCCCCACTGAGACAGACGCCCGCATTCGGCCTCAGGGGGCCAGCTCAAGCCGACGTTCAAGAGGTGCCTCTCGCAGCTGCCTCGCACCTCCTCGCACAGGGACCTACGCACAGAGAGGCCTCCGTCGTGAGACCGGCGCCCACATTAGTTTGTGGACACAAGTTGCATGTGTGTTACTGTATGTTGAACTTCTTTCGCACCGTACGTAGCCAACCGTGCAGGGGGGGGGGGGGGACAACACATTAAAAGACAAAAATAAGTTCTAATGAAATTAGTTTTCAATCTAGATTTAAAAGTGCATCGCTCCAGTGGCTTCCTGATATCGGAAGAAAAAGGTTCGGTGCTTTACACACCAATATTGTTAATTGACGACAGAAGAGATTGGTGTCAGAAAGATGTGCACTACTTGAGCATATTGGCACTAGAAAGAGGAAAGTGGAAACAATTACGAAATGTGTAGTGGACACCTACGGGCTATCTGCCCATGGATCGTGATGATGATAATCGTTAATTATACAGCAACTACTATTATTATTATGACCTCGTCACAGGTGACACGTGGCAAAGCACTTAACTCACAATCGGGAGGTTGTCTTTTTGAAACTTGGCCGTGATAGACTCAGACCATTATCTCTTCAGTGATAATTAACATGGGTCTAAATCAACAGCGGCTGTCCTATTGACTATTTCCTACCATAGTAATGTGATATTTCCACCACAGGCTGAGGGTCACCAATAAAGATGAGTATCAGCTCAAAGACCAGATTTCTGGTACACCAATGTTCCTGGATGCTGTGTTATTGTGAAGGTTTTTTTTATTGGCCGCGTGTCAGGTATTTTTGACTGAGGGTGCTCGATTCTGTTTCTCATCAAAGTGTACACTCGCGTTGCTCATTCCCATGGTGCCTGAAACAGCTTAGCATGAGCGCCGCTGCTGCTTCCAGATCGTTCCTGCAGGAGCCATAACCAAACGTTCCGTCTGCTTCGCGGTGAACGCGATAATGATCCCCTGACATAATTTGTAAGAAAACGGTTCATATTTGGTGTTGGCGTCATTGTCAAACGTTGCCAAAATCGAACATTACCCGCAAATTACTCAATTGGGATTACACGTAGCAGCAATCATACCCCCACCCCACACCCCTTACTGGCAGACTAATGCCTCAGGTCACTCTTGCAAATGAGACTATGAGACTATCGTGGTCTCTTGAGGTCTCACGCTGGGTGAAACTAAATAAAATAAACCTCCCAGGCAGAGGTTGAGTCAACCCCAAAATGGGATTTTAAAGTCAGGATCTTCCGATTGTAAGTCAGGTGCTCTGCTTAAATGCCAGCTAGATAAACACATTTATAATCTGAATATCTTACATCATCATCCATGGGCAGATATCCCATCGGTGTCCACTGCACATTTTATAATTTATTTCCGCTTTCCTCTGTCTTGTGCCAATATGCTCAAGTAGTGCCACATCTTTCTGGCACCAATATCTTCTTATGTAGTCGTCAAACCATTCTCTATTGAGTCTTTCTCTCTTTCCAGTTCCTTACATTTTTCCCAACAACACACTTTTAATTCCCCTGTTGTCCATCCTAAATGTATGTCCAAGTAGTTCCAGTTTCCTTGTCATCATTGCCTGCATCAGGTATTCTTCTATGTGCAACCTTTTTCTTACTTATATTTTAGAGTCAAACATTAAATCGATGGAGCACCTGAATAAACAAGGCTTGGTGAGGGAAAGGATTGGTGGATCATGTACATCGGTAAAACTCTCAAATCTCCTGGTCTGCAAGTTTGCCAGGAAATAACAGTACAGCCAGTGAGCTCCTGACACATCCTTGCAGACTTTTCATAAGGACATCACAAATATGTTGCTTAATAGCATTTTCCATTTTGGACAAAAGCTATGCTATTAGTGTGAAAAGTACACGAGCTCAGAACCGTCAATTTTACGTCTGTAGCTCGCATATATTCTCGAATCCAAGTGTCCATCTATCGGTCTATGAGTGTAACTGCAAGCATACCCATTCGCACGCATGCATCTCTCAGCATTTTTCAGTTTTTGTTCCATTTTTTTACTCTAATGCCCATATTTACGATCCATATCAATGCAGATTGTACGCATTCATTAAACAATCATATACCCCCAAGGACAAATTGACATTGCAAAGCGTTAAAGGACCCATGCGCGTGGGTGACTTTTCTTCCTTGTTTTTTTATCAGAACGTGACGTACAGTACATGTCCTCAAGAGACAGTGCATCGTCGCTACAAATTCTAATAAACTTTTAGCGCATTACTCACAAGTGACAGAGAGGCATTTAAGAAACACGTTGAAGGTCAACAGTTCCAAGGGATGCTACGTAGGTTTGATTCTAATTTTGGCCGAGGAACTCCCGTCTCTGATGCGGGGGAGCGGGGTGGGGGGTGGGGGGTGGAGGAGGGGAGTCACGGACCGGCAGGGAAGTATTTTGTGGCTGGAGTTGGGCTTGCATTTTGGCAGGAGCAGGGCGCAGCTGAGGAAGGTCATGTGCGGATGGCAGGCGGTGTGGGTTAGGGCCTGCAGAAGCTCGGCCTCCCAGCTGGCAGCAGCGGAGGCCTGCGTGCCGTGGCCCAGGGCGTTAGGGAAACCCGTGGCGTTATACGGCTGGTTCAGGCACCACTCCAGGGTGATTGGTTCGCACAGGTCTGAAAAATAAAATGAAACGGAAAAATGAGCGTGGCATGTAGGGGAGACGCTTGCCATGGTGAATTGCTGAGCACACCGGACTTGTGATATAAATACGTGCGGTGGGGTGAAGTGTGGGTACTCCCACCTCTTCCACGACGTCTGGCCAGTGTGGAAGAGTACACCAAGAATAACCCCTAAATCAGTGTTCTTCATTGCAAGGCCCACGGGCCACTGCGGCCCCTGGTGGCCTTTAGTGCTGCCCTGACGTGCAACCGCCGACAATTCACAACATGTGAAAACAGCCCCCATCGTCATCGTGCTGTCAAACACCAATGGTTTCAAATGTGTGGTGACCCTCACACTGATGTCTTATTGGGGAAAGTGCCCCCCTCACTGCTCTAAGAGTAATTGCAGGGCTGCACCTTAACTTTTTAATAGCATGTATCATAGAATTATTGTCGACATGAATCAATAATGTTTTTCTTAGCCACCGAAAAAAGCTGTTATGGCTCACATAGGATCGAAATGGGCATGCCTCCATTTGAAATCAGTGGCTAATCTGCGTTCCACAGGGGTACGCACTAATTGCACATTGATGCCAGGCACATAGCTTTCAGGAGTACCACCCTGTACACTGGAGCAGCAAATTTTTAGAAGATTAACATTTTTTGTTATGGGTTATCCTTGAACTTAAAACATGTTTACATTTTTGTTTACATTTTAATATTATTCTTTAGGTTTTTTTTTTTTTACCAAATATCTCTTTACAAAACCAACTACCTATGGGGCAACGTTTTGTGTTTCAATGTCCACAGTATATTGAAGGCCGCATATTGTAAATGTTGTGGCTATAAATATGGACCCCAATCTGTTTACGTCCCTGTCTTTCTGCCCTGAAGAAGGGCCATTTACCAAAACACTAGCCTGTGATATATAATTCATTTACATGAGTGTTTGTTCGTATGAACATAAAAAAGGAATTTGTACCGAGGACATTACGGAATAAGTAGTAAAGTCATCCCATTACTGTATATGCTTATGTACATACGCAGGAGCATGACCATTCAATGATCCAGATTAAAGCCCAGTTATGTAATAGCTTAGTGAAATAACTGAACTGCTGAATGAAATTCTGTCACAAGCAGGGCGGCTTATTGGTAATTAGAAGTTAATCTATAGGTGTAACAATTCCCACCTATGCAATTCCCACAATGCTACTCATCTGTCACAGATTGCCGTTTACGCGTGCACCGCATGAGGTCTCTTACTGCAGTCGAGCTCATCCCGCATGTCTGGGCAGTCTGGAATCCCGTCGCACAACCGGCTCTCGTGCGTGCAAGGTGACTCTGCAAAGCAAGAATACGTTCACAATCACGTGGATCCATTTTGTCGAGATACTGCTGATTAGAGGCCTTACTATGCCATGACCCGTACTGCACCACACTGATCAATGTGCAGTCCAGATATCACTGACTTTGGCAATGGCTGGGGAGTCAGTGTTGCCTGTTCATATTAGAGCAAGTGAACTACTGCAGCATTCCTCCTGTCAATAGAATATTAATCCGAGCAACTTGAGGACCCTTTGTGGACCTCCAATTAGCATGGTTGCGCGACGTACAACGCCAAAGAAGTTCAACATACATAAGTACAATCCATTGTTGAATGATAGCCTCACCATGCCATGTCAATAATGGTGGCTGTTTTACCATACAATAAACATTCTTAACATGTTTCTTCTCTCCTGGTATTGAGAAGGCAGTAGGGAGGTGTTCATATTCTTGGTTCTTTCGGTAAAGTTACGTTGAAGGGAAACAATACAATAATAAAATATATATAAAACAATAAAATTGTCACGACGTTTCGACTGCAACACAAGCAGTCATCATCAGGTGTGAAAACCAACGGCAAGAACATTTGAAAGAAGTGGCGGTTTGTATTTATTTATTTTTGAACGTTAGCACCACGGATAGCGATTTGACAGTTTGTTTAGATGGACGAGTCCATCTATGTTCGGAAAAGAGGAGGGGGGAGACGAAAAATTAATGTATGCTGTCTGAAAGCCACCGTAAGCGTGAACAATCAATTAAGACCCGAAATGGTTTATCAAATCCTTCCAATGATTGCTAAGCCAGAATCCATCTTCTCGGTTGAAATTGTCTCTGTGTTTGTATATGTGGATAGTCTCATGAACGAATCTCTCATGGTAGCCAGATGGCTTGCAAAGAACCTCTGTCTTGGAGAAGTCAATGTCATGTGAGCCTACTGAATTATAACAGTGATCTGCCACGGCCGAGGTGTTGGTCCTACCGTGTTTAAGGTCTGCTTTGTGTTCACGAATGCGGTCCGAGACATGTCGTTTGGTTTCTCCAATGTAACTACTACCACAGAGGCAACTTAGTTTGTAGACACCAGGGTACTGTATGTCCGGAATCACATCTTTTACAGACGGAACCAGATCACGGATTTGATGTAAGTTACCTCTATGGTAGTAGTTACATTGGAGAAACCAAACGACATGTCTCGGACCGCATTCGTGAACACAAAGCAGACCTTAAACACGGTAGGACCAACACCTCGGCCGTGGCAGATCTCTGTTATAATTCAGTAGGCTCACATGACATTGACTTCTCCAAGACAGAGGTTCTTTGCAAGCCATCTGGCTACCATGAGAGATTCGTTCATGAGGCTATCCACATATACAAACACAGAGACAATTTCAACTGAGAATATGGATTCTGGCTTATCAATCATTTGGAAGGATTTGATAAACAATTTCGGGTCTTAATTGATTGTTCACGCTTACGGTGGCTTTCAGACAGCATACATTAATTTTTCGTCTCCCCCCTCCTCTTTTCCGAACATAGATGGACTCGTCCATCTAAACAAACTGTCAAATTGCTATCCGTGGCGCTAACGTTTAAAAATAAATAAATAAATAGATGCGAAACCGCCACTTCTTTCAGATGTTTCTTGCCGTTGGTTTTCACACCTGATGATGGCTGCTTGTGTTACAGTCAAAACATCGTGAGAATTTTATTGTTTTATATATATTTTATTGTTTCCCTTCAACGTGACTTTACCGAAAGAACCAATAATATGAATCACTGCAGTCACGAAAGCCTTAAATCAAAATGTAGGGAGGTGTTGTTTAATTGAGCCATGTTTACAAGATTCAGGATGAATTACCATAAAACTGGCATACACTTTTTTTCCAGTCTCGACCATTCCTTTCAGAATAATATCGTATAACATGTCGAAAATTCCCACCGACCTAATGTCAGGTTTATTTTGAATCCTCAACCGTGAGTGTATATTGAGTGCACATCTATTTAAAAGACAAAGTTTATGCATATGCAAATGAGCATCAGGTGATCCTCATCTGCATAGGTGGTCCTAAGCCTGTGGTGGACATTTCACATTCCCGTGAAGCAGAGACCACCATCTACACAGAACCACCGCTGCTGTAGCTACATTAAAGCAAACTTACCTCTGCTTTCAAACGGGCAATGGGAAGATACCCATCTCATCTTCATTTCCCACATGGGTGGGGTTATTATTTCGTCTCTGGAGAAATCGTGGCACGAGGCAACCCCTGAACAGGATTTAAACCCGCATCCTGCCAATTCAGCGCCAATTGCTCTGCCACAGTGTCATGGTTGGCTACGTATGGTGCGAAGAAAGTTCAACATACATCCCCAACTGGATGAACTCAAATCAAAGTCTTTAACCAAGGGAACTGATATATGTATGTTTGTTGAAATTATTTCACACCATACGTAGCCAACCGTGCTAATCGGAAGTGCAGCACCTACCCCTATATTTGCACGACTGAGGACACATTTGTGTAGGTAAGCAAAAGAACCAGAGGCTCACCTGGACCACAACCTTCCTCATCGCGCCCATCCTCACAGTCCCTCTCTCCATCACACAGGTACGAGGGAGGGATGCACAACCCGCCATCACACTCCTGCATGCCATGGCTCTTGCACGCTGCACAGGTGTCATCATCATATTTGGTTAGAAATGTCTCTCATTGGTTTAGTATAACTGGTAGAATTCAATGTTTATATGAAAAAGATAGTAACATTTTTTTAAATTTAATTTCAGATGTAAGCTTGTTCAGTGTATGACAGGTATTTTACCTTCCTCCAGTTTAACAAATACCATTGCATCACCGCACCACAGTCCACCGAATGCTTATCAACGTCCATTCAAATGAACTCTGATGAGTGGTAACTTATGAACTTGCACTGTGGCGGTAAATGAGGACTGGTGTTTTGGCAGCCCTCCATTAGCCATTAGAAATCATACAATAGCTCAGCCCACACACATTATAGTCATGTTGAAAGCTCAATAACAGAATTCTCCACAGCTCAATAAAACATGGGCTAAATTTGAGGAATCGTTTGATCCGAGACAGTGGTGCATGGTAACGAGAGAGAAACCTACTGCAGTTCAGCTCATCGGATCTGTCGGAGCAGTCGGCGTCACCATCGCACACCCAGGCACGGCTCACGCACACTCCGTCTCCGCAGCGGAACCACACCGCGTTGTCGCAATCTAAGGATGTGCACGGAGGTGAGGGAAGCGCACAGCAGCAACGTCGGTCTCGGGCCCATGTAAGGCTTTCGTGAGGGAACTGTAGCCAACATAAACGTTGTCCTTGTCCGCATCGCATACCAAACAACGACATTATTTCTTAAAGGGTGGGATTTTTGCCCAAGGATTCGATACATTGTAAGATAAATACATTGGGCTACATATTCCCATATGACATAATATATACCACAGTGTCACGACTATTTCCACAGGTTGTAAAACAGTCAACAGAGCATTTAAATGTGTAATTTTGAAGAAACATTTACACACATTTCCCCGAATTGCAAAGACTAGTGAAGACAAAAGAAGTCATTATGATCTGACACCCCAAGATCAAGGGCTGGCGTATGCAGTATTACAGGCCCAACAGGATGCTTGATTAACGATGAGGAGACCACAACATTCACAGTGATCGTTGCAAACAACGGGATCGTTGCAAACAACGTGGTGAAGAAAATAATGTGAGGGCGTTATGAAAGTGGCTTCTTATGCTGAACACGTACACACTTGGTGATAACAAAAGTGTAGCCCTGCAACAGGGGCAAGACCTCTTAAAGCGAATGTCCCTCAAGAGGCGGTCGACTTAAGAGGTAGAACTGAGGTCATGGGTCCCAAATGGCTTCTTGGAATGCACGGTGGTGCACGTCCAGCAAATATCGTGCATTACTGACCCTTGGGTGTTGGCCTGAAAACATCCCGCCCTCCCCCCACTGCCTCCCGCATCAGCTATCGGCTATTGTGCTCACGGCAGGCAGCCTCGTCGCTGAGGTCCCCACAATCGTTGAAGCCATCGCAGCGCTGGGAGAGTGCGACGCATCGTCCCGTGCCACAGCGGAATTCTCCGGCTCCGCATGCTGCAGCCCCCGGTTCACCACCGGCGCACAGCGCGAGCCACGGACATGCACACCGCATGCAAACAGCGGTTAGCAATGCATCCGTCCGTCAATTACATTCATTCGCAACCAGATGAAAGGCCATTGAAACAAAGGTCACGTTTGTAACGTGGGCCTTGAGGACAAATGCAATAAGTGTTTACAAATAACATATGTATACGCCAAACTTGTAGTGGTGTTTATGTCAGGAAGGTAACATGCTGAAATCTTGACTTAAAGCTTTCGTGACTGCAGGAATTCATATTATTTGAGTCTTTCGGTAAAGTCACGTAGATAGGTTCAAAGAAAATAACAAAAAAAACTATGACGTTTCGATCGCAACACAAGCGGTCGCGTTGCGATCGAAACATCGTAGTTTTTTGTTATTTTTGTGATTTCCTTTTAACCTATCTTTGTGACTTTATCGAAAGACCATGCTGAAATGTCTGAGAAATATCATCTTTAAGACGAGGAAAATTTGAGCAAGAGCTGAAAAATTCTGCCGAGACAGAAAGAGGAACAGATAAACCGAAGGAACCAATGAAAATTATGTACATCCCATTGACGCCTAAGCAAAGTAGGTATTGCCTAAGGGCACATACTTTTATGGGACAAGGCTGGTAATGGGATGGCAACAAAAACAGGAAATGCACCAAAGAAGGATAAAATCATGTGGAGGAGTGAGATAATGTGTGGCACCACAGGTCCACAGAGATAACTAAGATATGGTGGGGGGGATCTTAATCCAGTATTGGTTGATTCGTGGCTGGTGATGAACATGACGACCTGAAATTTTACATATATTTTGTTATATTTCCACTTTTTATCGTAATGCATTGTTCCACAAATATTAGGCATGTGTGTCTCCACTGTGTTGCTCACAACAGAGCTTCTCATCACTCCAGTCACCACAGTCGTTGTAGCCGTTGCAGACCAGCTTCTTGGAGATGCAGAGCCTTGAACTGCACCAGAAGCCCCCCTGTGCAAGGCACGGACCCACTGCCCCATACACAACACCACAATGGCACCGGGTAAATGTTAACTATTTGGAGAGTGGAAGATGAGTCTTACATTAACGTAACATCACTAATACTGCACCACAAATATGATCGATTTGTGTTCAGAACATAATCCGCAAACATTTTTTCTAAAATAAATTTCAATTGTAATGTATATTTGTTGTTCTTTGTTAACCTTTAAATAAAACATACCTTCATTTAAATATGAAAAAAAATGTTTTAGAGTAAAATATATCTGTGGGATTGTCATTCTCCCTGTAAGTCTGTGTGACCCATCACTGCAACACGCAATTCAGCAGTCGAAGATAAAGAATGTGGCAAATCTTTCAGGTACAGAGCTGTCACTGCAGAGTGTATCAATTTTATGGGAACAAAAATACGGTATTTACAATCACGGGCTTCAAATAATAGTAGCGTCATCAGCAAAGACACTGGTACTATAGATAGCTGTACGCAATTTGCACATCCCGCAGGGAAGCACCACTTTGGTGGTGGGTCACAGTGTCCCTGTGTTTTCTTTGCGGTCTGGTAACACTTTGAGCTCTTCAAGACATCAATTTAAAGTCAATTTCTTGTTTTACGTTTAGTTATTTGTGCCCAACAATGATTCAAGACACACCAGAAATTGAGGCGCTTGTTTAGTTTGTTGTCCTTCCTCCGCACCCCCGATTAGCTCGTACAGTGCGAAATAAGTTCAACATACACACAGGTGGTTTTAAACATTAGCACACTTAATTGATCTTGCAGTCCAGTTTCTTGAGATAATTTTTTTCAAGATTTGCCACAAACTGAATTGGTGAAGGCCTGCAGTTGTGAATTCATTGCATACTCACAACTTAAATCTGAGTATTCCCATTTGTGCAATGTGAGGTATGAGTGATGCTGAATTAGTCTAGCTTACTTAACACCAGTTTGCCATTGGGGAAAAGTCTGCAATCTGTACTTGAGAAACTTGAGAATATGATGATTGAAACTAAGAATCCCTTGTGATGGTTGCCTGCATTTCCTGGACTAGAAGGAAGAATGGGTTAGTTAATATGACAGCTTTATACGGTGTTGCATATAAGAATTAAAAAGTAGAGGACAGTTGTTTTGGAATGAAGATGCTCTGTAAAATATTTGGCAATCGGTTAACATTGCCATGAGCAGACTGACCAAAGGAGATAAACAGGCAGCAAATCTATAACTAAAAAAAAATCGATTTAAAGCTTTCGTGACTGCAGGGATTCATATTCTTGGTTCTTTCGGTAAAGTCATGTAGAAGGGAAATAATAAAATAATACAAATAAAAATTTTAATTCTCACTACGTTTCGATTGCAACACAAGCAATCGAATTTTATTTTATTGTTTTATTTGTATTATTTTATTATTTCCCTTCTACGTGACTTTACCAAAAGAACCAAGAATATAAATAAACAAGCTATTTTTCTACCATTGCGATATCAAAATTACTTTGTGATACACTGTCTTAAATGGAAATATTTATTTAACTGTAATTACATGAACATGTTTATGAACTGGAAATAAGTTGTTGAATATATGTTACAATGCTGCAGCTGAATGTATACAAAATGTGCGTGTAATTCGTGTTTTTCCTGTAAGTGAACGGATGAGGCTGTTATTGTGGTGACATTGAACCAAGCTTCATGAATCTGATATATAGCAGAGTTAAAATATAGGCATTTGCTTATTTTTTATGTTAGTAATATCTTGTTTCACAGAGGCCTGGATGTGACAGTCACATCTGGTTATGATCTTTCTGGATCAATAGCAAATGCTGTGAATTAAATGACTAAATTCATCACTTGCATCCCCTCAGAGTGAGCAATCCACTAGATCATAGCAGTAATATGAGCACTTTCTATTTCCATAGTAAGCATCGAATTTCAGATGGCGACGGCGCATTTAATCCCGGCTGGAGGCAAACCATGTGTGTTTGACAGTGGAAAAATCCTTTGGTCGTCAACTCAGTGTGCTATGTGCACTTCGGTTAAATCTAGCGAAGCGTTAACCACTGTGCAAACACACTTTTCCAAAACCCAAAATACTCTTTCGCTGATTTGCCTCGCCACTTTGAACCTACGTTTCCTCGCAACATTACCCTCGTCCTGATTCTCGCCGATCGACGGATTAGCGATCGACGGATTAAGGCAGGCATGAGCCGGTGCCTGGCAGCGCCAAGGTGGCATGCGTGTGGCTTGGCAAATTTCACAGTGAAATGCTTTGGCTTGAATACCCCTCGCACTCAAGTGGTAACTTGAATACGACTGGATCTCACTGTTATCTGCCATTCAACACCTTGTCTTTGAACGAATGCCATGATGATAATAGCCACGTTTTGCCTCATTTACTTTGATTTTTTTACACGCCATTTTATTTGTAACTAGACGGTAAAGTCGATGCTGCAGTATTTAATAGGTCAATTAAAATTATCATCCTTACAATTACAGCTGTGAGAGTATTCTGCTAGTACCATGTGGCCCAGTATGGAAGGTATTTTATAAGATCTCTTCAAATTAAGCTGCAATTCATGCCAGTCAATGCAGCACATTTTAGAAAATAAATTCCTGACTCTACAAGGGAGTCGGGAAATTAATATAACAGCTGACGAAGCATTGCTTAACACCCCTATGGCATTTTTTCCGTGAGGAAAATTACAAAAAAACTGCTCCACTTTGCCAGTGCATCAGCTACTATAAGGAGCTATATTTGGAGGTCTGCTGACGTCAGCCGCAATTAGGGACTAGCACCTGTCTACTCTGTCCACAGACATCCTTGTAATGACGTACACTTCAATTCACACGCTTCTCCCAGGGGAAACTATACATTAACCCAGGGCTGTAAACAAATGAGCAAAATTTCCACACATCACAGTATTAGAAAAGATATTTTTTCCAAAACCGGGGGAGGGGTGCGAATGTCAACATGTTTTCATTAGTGTGTTATTCCCACGACACTGATTGCAGGCTAGGGTGATCTGTATGACATATCGAATGTGGCCACACCAGTCATATGAAACATCTGTGGTGTAAAACAAACCTTTCAAAGGCATTCTGTTGCTGGTGAGGGTCGTACCCAAGTTATGCTCATTGTCTCTTTTTTTTCTGCAAGTTATCTTAACATAAAATTAAGATTTATAATTTACAGACCTTTGTCATTCCATTGGTGGATGAGGGGCTGCCCATGCCGTGTAAGTCATGGTGGAGTATTTGGCCATGCTTCTTTCTTGGTCATACTTATTCGGAAGCCACTGGAGCTATGCACTTTTAAATGTACATTGAAAACCAAACAAAATTTGAACTGATTTTTTTTTAGTTTGTAGTCCTTCCCCGCACCTCAGATTAGCAGAGTTAGTTGCTTACTGTGCAAAAGAAGTTCAACATACATACTTCACTTTGCTGGCCAGCACGAGTTGGGTAGCAATAGATGCGCATGTGACTGATTTAATATCTAAATTAGCTTTCATTCTCACACGATAATTTCTGGACCTATCAACTAACAAAATATTTTTTTTTTTAAATAAAGCATGAGCAAAGTCCAGGCAAACGAGTTTCTGCGAGGACAGCATCAGCAACAATGCCCGTATACCTTCCTCGCTGGCTTCTTGAGGGGCAGCCAAGCAGGCGTTGTGCTCATCAGCTGCGCCATCAGCTGCGCCAGCAACGGAGCTGTCATTGTGAAAGTGGTAGCAGCTGAGGAACTCTGGCCACCCGAGCCCAACTTGAGTGAAGGCCCCCTCGCAGCTGGAGCGGGCGGCGTCACAGTAGGACATGCAGGGCAGAACCGGCAGGCTTGGGGTGGCGCGGGTGGAGAGTAGCACAAAGCAAGGCCGAGTCAAAGTGTCTCCCAGCTCTTTACACTTTTTCAACTAAATTTTTTTTTTTATTTTACCAGGTAAGGCCCACTGAGCGATATATAACTCTTTTTCAGAAGCGACCTGGCCACACGTGATAGTTCCACGAAGTGGCTTATCGGGTGGAAATGTATAGCAGCCAAATGCTCTAAACGCGTGATGCTGATTCTAAATGTGGAGGGGGTAAAAACGTGCATTGCAGCGACGCCCATCTCAGTTGGCAAGCACTCAGCCAGCAGTGGAAGAAAACGCAATAGAATTGGTGATAAATTCGTAATAAGTAAAATGATCAAATGTAAATCTTACCCATTGTGCAGGGAAAATCTTAGGAGTGATTGACAAAAAAAACTGTTGATTAGAATTGTTTTTGAAAAAAAACCGAATATGGTATTCCTGTGTTGTTATTCATGTATTTCGATAACAGTTACATTTATGTGTATATAAAGCATAAGTACTGTTTTACCCATTCCGTGCCATATTATTTTTTGTATATATAGATGTGTTAGCCAACATTTAAATCACGTAAACATTTTAATACGTTCAACTTCAAATATGTCACTTTTAGGGCATCAAGTTTGAATCCATTGAGTTACAATGTTCTATGTTGCATTTCGCTATTAAACATATCACACTTAGTCAGTTTTATCGCCATTTAATTTATGACAGCTGCTGTAAAGAATTATCTTCTGATATTGGCTTCTATTGTCTCCCTCCCTGAATTGCACTATACTGGCCGCTGTAAAAGTTACAACTTTTAGTGCCGTGTTCCTTGATACTAAAACAAGACATTACTAATATTTACACTCTTAGGTTATGTCGGTAAAGTCACGTAGATAGGAAAATAAATAATAGATCACGACGTTTCGATCGCAACAACAAGCGATCGTCCTCAGGTGAAAGAGAGAAACATGCCTCAGTGACGAGGCATTATATAGAGGGGGGAGGGGGGAGGGGAGGCTGCAAAGGGGCAAGAGGGTGGGGATACAATTCAAAGAGGGCTTGGGTTAAAGAGAGAAAAGAAATGTGACAAGGAAGCTTAGATATCAAACTTAACAAAATGTAGAAATGTAATGCAACTCAGAGAGTCGGCTAACACAGCAGTTAACACTTTACCTGGTTGATCAACGTCCTTACAAAGATTATTAAATGTTGCATCCAGCTTCTCGGTTGAAGTAATGTCTGAGTTGTGTGGAAAACCTCCCCGTAGAGGCGGTTTAATCTTGATTAGAAGCTCTCGTGACTGCAGGATTTCATACTCTTAGGTTATTTCGGTAAGTCACGTAGATTAAATAAATAAATAATACCCACGACGTTTCGATCGCAACAACAAGCAATCGTCCTCAGGTGAAAGAGAGAAACATGCCCCTTTGCGGCCTCCCCTCCCCCCCTCTATATAATGCCTTGTCACAGAGGCCTCCCCCCCCCTCTCCCTCCCCTCTATATAATGCCTTGTCACAGAGGCCTCCCCCCCCTCTCCCCCCCTCTATATAATGCCTCGTCACTGAGGCATGTTTCTCTCTTTCACCTGAGGACGATCGCTTGTTGTTGCGATCGAAACGTTGTGAGCTTCTATTGATATATTTATTTATTTATTTCTATCTACATGACTTTACCGATATAACCTAAGAGTATGAAATCCTGCAGTCACGAAAGCTTCTAATCAAGATGATTAATATTTATCTCGGACTGCAAATAATCATTTCGTTCATGAAGAATGTATATGAAATTAATTCAACGTGATCCCCTTATGGTTCAGATTTCAAACTCTGCTTGGCACCATAAAGATAAATGGTAAGACTCCAAGCATGGTTTAATATTTACTATCGCCGATTTATTAAGTCTCAGTTCAAATAACTCGCAATGCAAATGTTATAACCTGCATCTACAAAGTTGTACATTTATCCCAATAACCTTTAATTCATCGCAGGCCTTGGCTTTCTACATTTCTATTTCAATTTAACCAAGGTTAACCGTGGCACAATATTCTATTAATAATGACAAGCAAGGCTTTGTCCATGGGGAAATGACTGTTGGCACCCCATGCACCATGGGGAAGCCATGACCAGCGGTATCCTTCAGCCCAATCCAAAAGCGTGCAACTCAATTAAGCAATTCCCACAACAAGCCCCTTCCCCGCGTATGCTAATGAAATGTATCAGCCAGTCCCTACGCATGCCACTGCAGCACACAAGGCTGAATGCAGTTCTTCACACTGAGACTTCTCATGTCCGTGTCTGTTGAGAGTTGGAGGACATCTCACGCCGACTGTGCCCAAACGCAGACCGAATATTACGTGAACATGCCTTTTAAAAACAACTTTTTGCCATCATTCAAATCGCAATTTTGGTCAACATCCCACCCTCTTGTTGGAGGAAAGATGGCCATGTTTGTAGAAGATTGCCTTCACCACTTTTGGCGTGAAAAGCATGGATGTGAACATCATGGATCAGTCCAAAACAAAACGTGTCTTGATCAAATTTTGATTTAAAGCTTTTGTGACTGCAGTGATTCATATTCTTGGTTATTTCGGTAAAGTCACGTTGAAGGGAAACAATAAAATAACAAAATATATATAAAACAATAAAATTCTTACGACGTTTCGACTGTAACACAAACAGTCATCATCAGGTGTGAAAACCAACGGCAAGAAACATTTGAAAGAAGTGGCGGTTTGTATTTATTTATATATTTTTAAACGTTAGCACCACGGATAGCGATTTGACAGTTTGTTTAGAAGGACGAGTCCATCTATGTTCGGAAAAGAGGAGGGGGGAGACGAAAAATTAATGTATGCTGTCTGAAAGCCAAATGTTTCTAGCCGTTGGTATATATTCTTCGACCACATCAATTCCATACACCCAGCCATCAGATTTACCATGGAAGTCGAAAAAGATGGCAAGCTACCTTTTTTGGATGTCCTAATAAAAAAGAGACCTGATGGTTCAATGAGCCACTCTGTCTACAGGAAAGCTACCCATACGGATGCTTATCTGAAACCGGATTCCCACCACCATCCATCACAGAAGAATTCTCTCATCAAGACTCTGTACCATAGAGCCCAATGCATATCCGACCAGGAACACATAGGCAGTGAACTCAAGCACATACACCAAGCTCTTAAGGCTAATGGTTACTCCGACTATACAATCCGCAAAGCTATCACTCAAACCATGAAGAAGGACCCTCTTGAGGAGCCTTTCAAAGCCATCACTTTACCCTACATTGCGGGGATCACAATAAAGATCTCCAAAATCTTGAATAAACACAAGATCCAGGTCCGTTTCAACACATTATATAAAATCCGTGATCTGGTTCCGTCTGTAAAATATGTGATTCCGGACATACAGTACCCCGGTGTCTACAAACTAAGTTGCCTATGTGGTAGTAGTTACATTGGAGAAACCAAACGCCATGTCTCGGACCGCATTCGTGAACACAAAGCAGACCTTAAACATGGTAGCACCAACACCTCGGCCGTGGCAGATTATTGTTATAATTCAGTAGGCTCACATGACATTGACTTTTCAAAGACAGAGGCTCTTTGTAAGCCATCTGGCTACCATGAGAGATTCGTTCATGAGGCTATCCACAAATACAAGCACAGATACAATTTCAACCGAGAAGATGGATTCTGGCTTAGCAATCATTGTAAGGATTTGATAAACCATTTCAGGTCTTAATTGATTGTTCACGCTTACGGTGGCTTTCAGACAGCATACATTAATTTTTCGTCTCCCCCCTCCTCTTTTCAGAACATAGATGGACTCGTCCTTCTAAATAAACTGCCAAATCGCTGCGTGTGGCGCTGACGTTTTTTTTTTATAAATAAATACACCTTTTATAAATAAATAAATTAGTGCGAACCGACACTTCTTTCAAATGTTTCTTTCCATTGGTTTTTTCACACCTGATGATGACCGTTTGTGTTATGGTCGAAACGTCGTGATAATTTTTATTGTTTTATATATGTTATTATTTTATTGTTTCCCTTCAACGTGACTTTACTGAAAGAGCTCAGAATATGGAAAATCAAACTTAATAAGATAATCAACCCATTACCCTTCAAAAACGTGGTTTATTGATTGAGGTGGAGGGGGGGTGCTGACCATTATCAGTCGACGTGCTTTGCAATGCGAACTCTACCTTTGAGGCAAACACTGTGGATGCACCACTGCGCAGCCGAAAGACAGCATGTGGCGGTAGCATCCCAGCTGCTGCAGATCCTGGAAGAAGGTGATGAGGAGCCTGAGGTCGACGGGAGGCAGGGCTGCCATGATGGTTTCCGCGTAGGGAAGCATCCCACACTCGCTTGATGTGATTGGAGTGCACACAACTGGATGTACAGGGTTGGGAGAGCGGGTGAATTTAAAATAGTGCATCGCACTCTTATTCTGTTGTGCATTTGCAAGAGACATATCTGAAAGATTATCTCAATGTGTTCAAATTGACATTGAAAAAATACTACTTAGATTTTTTATATACAGTATTTTAATTCATATTCTTAGTTTTTTCGGTAAAGTCACGTTGAAGGGAAACAACAAAATAATCAAATATATAAATATGAATTACTGCAGTCACGAAAGCTTTAAATCAAAATTTAGTATTTTAATTGTTCTGCCTCACAAAATGCCAAATTAGCATCTCATTTTTGTGATGCAACATTAGAGGATTACTTGAATCCTCAAAAACAGAAATTTAGTTAACAAGTCTGCAGGTGTTTAAGCTGATATACAATCGAGTACCATGTTTCTTTTCAGATACAACATCTAAAAGTGAACCAGGTTGCTCAGATCACAGAGCCAGTATCACTTATGGAACGTGTTTAAACCGGGTTTTCTCGTGTAGTGAGTCGATGGTTTAAGCCCGGTCACAAAAATTACTGCACGTAATTTTTTTAAAATATATAAATTCGTTTTTTTTACTTAATTTTCCGAATTTCCATCTCTGAGAAATATGTTAAAACACAGGTTTGACTGTCGTGCAACATGCTCATCGCATAGTGTATGGGAAAGTGCAATCCCGATTTTTGTAAAGCGATAAAATCCCTCTACATTAAGATATTTCTGGGAGAAGTGCTGCAAAAAAAGAAATGTCTTCCACAGCCATTCCCAAACACACCGGGGTGCACGGCCCTGTGACATTTCTGAATGCGTCACCTCGTGACACAATGCCATAAGCACTAAGCGAATGGATTGAGGAGGGTGGGAAAGGTGCAACATTGAAAAGTCTTCACCCTGGCTTCTTAAGATTGGGGGCTAAATCAGGCTGCTGTGCAAATTATTTTTTTTCAACTTTGCTGGGGTATTGTGGTTTAAATTCAACGATGCTTTGTGGAATTACACCTGAGTATGTGTTACGTAGCATTCACTAGTTTTTTGTATTACAGTATGTGGTTTGTAAAATTGTACTAAAACAAATGCACCATGACAATAACATTCACCTTGATAACTCTTTATGAAAAAGGGCTTTTCCGTTAGCAGAGATGCAATTATCTCTGGAATAGAAGGAAATGCGGTGGTCCATGCATTTGTCGATGTTGGGGCCACACTTGGCCTCACATGATCCACGTCTTCATCTAGAGCCTCTAAAGTCTGGGGCCAAGGGTTCATGGCAGGGGTGCTCTCTCGGTTCCGAGCATCCAGCAAAGGTGGGAAATGCTTTACAGGCATTGATGTTGAGCTGTCAAATATTTCATTAAGACCTGAAACATCGTTTACGTGACTTGATCCTTCAGTTTCCACGACGTGAGATTTTTTACGATTCATAAAGTCAGGCACAAAAGGCACCGCCACGTTTTGTCTCGTTATGCTGTCAAAATCTCTTATTTCTTGGGTCTCACCATCAGGAATGTCTTCAGTCTCATCGTGAGCGTCTCCTAAATTTTGGCGCATATGATAAGAGTCGTCGTCACCGAATTGTGTCTCACTTAAAACGTAGTCACTAAGATCTATTTCCCCACTATATCCAAAGAGTTCATCGCTGTATGGAGCATGAATTTCATTTGAACCTTCGAATAAAACATCGCTCATTTCTCCAGAATAAGTCTCCTGTGAAGAACCTGAACCATCTACATCGGCGTTTTGAGCTAACGAGAGTTCTGAATCTCCTGTGGAATGTAATGTTGCTATTGCAGTTTCTCTCGACATTAAAAATGTGTCGGAGGTCCTGTTAGGGACAATGGGAAGATTGAGACCGTCTCCAGAATGAAAGTCAACACCATCGTCTGCTCTGCCATCTTCCAGTCCTGACTCTCCTTCACCACTCCAATCCGACTCATTGTCCTGAGTTTCCAAACCACCGTTAAGTGGAGGGGCGATCCAAGAGTCCTGTCCTTGCTCCGTATCACCGTTTGCGCTTGTGATACTGAAACCATATTTAAGAAAATCTTCATCCAGCAGACCTGGGTGGAGAAATACGAGTTATGCAAATTCAATTTTCAAACACTCTGTTTTAGCCAATGCGCTATTATATAACTGATAATCTGGTTCGAATTTTTGCTACACACTTGGACAATCTGTTGTTCCACATAGTTGTAGCTACATTGCATAGCACACCTAATGCCTCCATTACAATCACTAATTTACAACAGCCAGATCCCAGGAGTTTATTTTTGCCAAAATTAAACTTAATTACAGAAAAAATTATACCTCTGAATACCAAATTAATTTTGAAATGGGTCTATTAAAAAACACGTGACCTGTATAGATCCCTTCTCTGTACTAATCACCAGTGGGCAAAGGGGTGCTGGTCAGCAAAATATATCTGACACAAGACATGAGTGAAACATACTTACTCGTGTATGTATTTCCACAGCCCCTGTCAACAAACATGTTTTCCAAAGAAAGTGATGGGGGCAAAGCTCCTGCAGTATTGACTAGTGTTACAAGGCCAATTGCGTTAATTAGCCAAAGAGCAATGCTATAATTGACACGCTACACAACATTCATGGCATATCAATCCACCACTGTTTCCCTTCTTAATTGTCATTTAACGTGTAATCAGAGCATAGAGTATGATATCATAAGCACTACGTTTTTTGTACATATATAAACTGTTCCAGTCTTCTGCTCGCAAGCTGAGGCTGACTGGAATACCATATAAATACACAAACACAAGATGGGAGAAATGTGTTTTATATATATACATTTTAGATCGTGACTCTAATAATATGAATGATGGCAATTTGTATTCTCCGATGACACTTTCTCTGACTCTGACCCGAAGCCATCATCAACGTACATTTCCTGCAGCCTTGAAGACAAAATATGCAGATGTAGCTACTCCAACATGTGGGGTGTTCCCTTATTGCTTTTATGCTGTGCTTCTAAAATTATAAGTTACTTAACTAATTTGAAGAAAAAAACATTTGTTGTCATTTCTTGACTTATTTATCATATCTCTGGAAACCCAGTGCGAGTAGTTTGAGTTTTCTTCGTTGCACATGCGGGTTTTTCTCTCGTTCCACCCAATTAGGATCTGATCCTGTACCAGCATTTGAATGAAAAGGGGACTTGGAACACATTTAAGCTTTCCCCAGGACACAACGAAATTATGACTGCACTCTGTAGGGTGACCATTTTTCTCACTGTAGACCAAACTCAGGCACATTTCTTAGTCAGCCCCGGCTTAACCAATACCGTGCAGTTTACTGTTAAAACAGTTGAACACAACACCGGTACCAGTTCTCGGTACAAATCAATTCCAGCCACCCAAACATCTTGCCAACTCCCGAACTATGCAGGTGAAATCCAGACAGGTGGCAACCCTGGCACTACTGCATAACATAATAACAACAACCGTAATAATTAACACAACACTTGCCTGTGGTTGCGAAGAGCAGTAGCAACATGCATGTGAGGCAGGTGAAGAAGATACCCAGTGACGACACCAGGTGACGCCGTTTTACAGAGTCCCCTTGCTCTTCTTGGTCATCCATCACTTCACCATCGGGGCATATACTAACACGTTCACATCCTATGCGAGGTTTGACATTTAAGGGGTTAAATTATGAGCACGCATTGTATGCGGGCATGAAAAACAACTACCCGAGGTGTATACCATTCCATGTTTTATTAACGACAAATGTGTTGAAGAAAATATAAAATAGGTGACTCGGTTATATTTTTACAACGGTGCTTATTGATCACGTCTCACAGTAGGTAGTCCACAGCGGTTACAGTATGTAAGCACATTGCTCTCTTACTTCACATGATCAAGTTCACCCCTGATTTTGTCCACCTCTTTAATTAGCCCATGAGGGCGTTGTTTGAATAGTAAATTAAATAGTAAATAAATCGTGACTGATATTCACATGGATTTAAACCTCAACGTTGTACTTTCAAAATAATGGGTCAATTAAACATTATTAATTTGTCAATATGCAAAAAACACGTTAAACAGCACTTACATTCCTTATATAGAGGCGTAGATGTGGTCACCACGTCTACGCCTCTACATAAGGAACGAAACAGGAGGACTTCTCCACAAATCTGGCTGTCGCCTGAAGCTAGTTGTAGTTACTGGCGAAACGTCGTACTCAGATTGTAAATGTTGTGGCTTGGCTCTCCAACACACCGGTGTGCTGTACTTGTGACGAATTGCCATGTTCAGTTTACGTGACAACCCTTACTAGTTGGCTGTGTCGGGTGGTGGCGGGTTTTAACGACACATTTATATATTTAAGCGATCTAACCCAAAAAAAACCTATATTATCGAAGACATGCAGTAGTTGTAAAACTAAAGTTACAGGCGTATGCACAAGTTCTCTGGAAGCACAGAAGACACCACTCTGTCGGCATTAAATATTTAACACACCACTTTGGTCTAAAGACAATTAAATAATCAAACGGCAAGTACAGTGTCTGCTACTCACGATAGGATTTTAAGAGATAATTCGTGCAGTACTCACATGAATGTTTTAAACTTGTCACGGGCCATCTAAATCCCCTCTGTTCGTGCGTGCTTCACATGTGAGTGGTGGGTGTTGTGCATACGAAGGAGTCGAGCCGATTGGAATGATCGGTGGGGTTCCCGCTGCCTTGGCAAAGCCGGGCTATTTCAGGGCCAGAGCAGCTGTCCCCTTCACCGCATACCGACCCCCCCGAAACAGCCTAAACTTAGCCCCCTGTGACATCACTGGAAAACACACGCCGTGCTTGGCATCCCCCTCCACTTTGTGTGTTTAGTTCGTCCCCTCCAGCACCTCCGATTTGCACGGTTGGCAACGTACGTTTGCGAAAGAAGTTCAACACACGTAGATTACACACTTTGTTTCATCTGCTGGGTAGCTCTTAGCCTCCTGGGCAGAATCACACCGAGGCATCCAGCGCACGATGCCCCACACGCAAGGTGGCAGCGCCACCTTGCTTATCGGAAATGATGTTGACGGATTAAGCTCCCGCTCGGCCACCTCGTGCTCTTTCAAAGAGAAGCTTCGTGGCTAATTGTATCCATTCCTTGATGATGTACGTGGTTTCCAAACGAATATTATTTGTATATTTAAACAGTATTAAAACATATATATTGTTTTCACAGCCCTCCGTCAATCAACTGCATGCCACGGTGAATTTGTGAGAACACCGCTACTCCGATGAGCACGGTTGGCTACGTGCGGTGCGAAAGAAGTTCAACATGCATACGTACATACAACACCGTTTTTGCAATCGATCACCCGTTCCGATAGTCAGCAACTGGCTACACTGGTCGTTCGCAGTGGAATTCCGGTATGTACGGCGTAGTCGTAAGCCTGTGTAGCAGTTGTTGTAGAAGTTGGTAGTTACCGTGGCGAGTTGCAGTGGCTGTTTTGTAGTTGTTCAAGGTGTGATTAGTGCAGTTTTTTGTGAATAGTGTCGTTGTTTTAGTCGTGTTTTAGTGTTCCGTTGTAGTCGTGACCGAAGTTGTAATTGTTTTAATCGGTGTAGTCGCGTAGTTGTAGCTGTTAATTCGGCTGCTGCGCATGCGAGAGGTGGTGCAGTGGTTAGCGCGCTGCGTGACAAACCCGGCGACCCGAGTTCAATTCCCGCTCGAATATTTGAAGCTGTCCTGAGCTCCCTTAGGTCTATTCGGCCTCAAATGAGTACTGTACTTGGCGTGATGTGTAGTAAACATCGTCGCTGGGGAGGCAACGGCGGCCGGGTGTGGTGTTGGCCACCTACCCCATCGTGCCGTGCCGGCCTTCATAGTTGCTCGCTAATTGCCCCAAGCGTATGTGAAGGCTATACGTTTGTTTTTGTCTTTGTCTTGACTGCTGCAGCCCCTGGCTACCGCGAGGTGGCGGTAGAAGCCGCGCAGCTCCCCGGCCGCGCAGTGGCGCCCGGCGAGCCTCGGGTCCCCTGCGTGGAGCGTTCAACAACACAGCGGGCGGTGCCAGGTGGTGAGCGGGCGGTGCCAGGTGGTGAGCGGGCGGTGCCAGGTGGTGAGCGGGCGGTGCCAGGTGGTGAGCGGGCGGTGCCAGGTGGTGAGCGGGCGGTGCCAGGTGGTGAGCGGGCGGTGCCAGGTAGAGAGCGGGCGGTGCCAGGTGGTGAGCGGGCGGTGCCAGGTAGAGAGCGGGCGGTGCCAGGTAGAGAGCGGGCGGTGCCAGGTGGTGAGCGGGCGGTGCCAGGTGGTGAGCGGGCGGTGCCAGGTGGTGAGCGGGCGGTGCCAGGTAGAGAGCGGGCGGTGCCAGGTGGTGAGCGGGCGGTGCCAGGTGGTGAGCGGGCGGTGCCAGGTGGTGAGCGGGCGGTGCCAGGTAGAGAGCGGGCGGTGCCAGGTGGTGAGCGGGCGGTGCCAGGTGGTGAGCGGGCGGTGCCAGGTAGAGAGCGGGCGGTGCCAGGTAGAGAGCGGGCGGTGCCAGGTGGTGAGCGGGCGGTGCCAGGTGGTGAGCGGGCGGTGCCAGGTGGTGAGCGGGCGGTGCCAGGTGGTGAGCGGGCGGTGCCAGGTGGTGAGGGGGCGGTGCCAGGTGGTGAGGGGGCGGTGCCAGGTGGTGAGGGGGCGGTGCCAGGTGGTGAGCGGGCAGTGCCAGGTGGTGAGGGGGCGGTGCCAGGTGGTGAGGGGGCGGTGCCAGGTGGTGAGGGGGCGGTGCCAGGTGAGCATCTTGTGCCAGGTGAGTCGGTGGTGCCAGATGAGTAGCACGAGGAAACGAAGAAAAATTGTATGGCCTCAATCAACTACATTTGTGAAGGTTGTGAAAAAAATCATGGTGGACCAAACATTAGCTCATTCAGATGCTCGTAAACATAAAAAGCTACTTAAAATAAAAATGAGTGAACAAACACGTTATGTGAAGTTCAGCTTTTATCGTCACAAACATGCTTATACGATTGTTGTAAAGACCGAATGGAGGTAGCAAACACAAACAATTGCATTTTAAAGCAGTCTTTACTGAGCTGTCAACAGAGAGCATGAATGACTAAGGACGATAGCTGAAGAAAACGAAAAGCATGGGTTCCAAAAGAAACACGACAAAAAAACACATGCTTGCAATTCTAACAAAACAATTAAAACATCTGTGGATATTTTCATATGCTTATTCCTTTGCACAGTTTAAACGTCCAGCTGTTTATCTAATAGCTTGTGTACGAATGTTGTTTGATGAATCTGCGTTTTGCATGTTTGAACACGAATAGTTTGTTCCCAATTTACTAAAATATAAAAATACAGATCGTGCACGTGGTGGAACACCTCTTATTCGCGGTGATATGGCGGGGGACCAATATCGCGATTTGCCTTGCGACTCTAAAGCATAGCAAGGGGCTCTTTGAAGCACAACGTATTTGCACACAAGTGTAAACACGTTTTGAGTGTACAAGGACTCCTCTACTTACGTACGAGTTAGGTTCCAGAGGTATGTTCGTAAGTCGATTTGTTCTTAAATCCAACTTTACTCCTGTCGATTCCAAACGTGATGTATGACATGTGCACTAAACACGGGGGATGGCTTTAAAAGTTGAATATTCTACTGTAGATGTAGATGCCACTGATTCTTCATGCTCTGCAGATGTAGATGCCACCACCGCCATCTATTGCGTGGCGGTTGAACTTGCGACTCTCAGTCCGAACAGGCAACTAGATATACGGACAGGTTTGTTCATATCTGTGCAAGTTCGTAAGTCAAATGTTCGTAAGTAGAGGAAGTCCTGTATCTCCTTGTGTCTCCGTGTATGTCTGCGTTCTCGTGATCAAAGCAAGTGCACGGCAGCTTTTTCAGTGCCTTTTTTCGCATGTTGAACTTCTTTCAAACTGTACTTAGCCAACCGTGCTAATCGGAGGTGCATGAAAGGACAGCATAAAATGTTGAGGATAACCCACGGATGTAATATGCTGCACGGTATCCTCTTATCCATGAAAAATTCGTGAATAATCGTGAATTATAGGTTGAGTCCTCACATTTTGCGCACCCTTCTGCTGTCGTGGATAATAGGATCACATTGTTGAGGATAACCCACGGATGTAATAATAGGATCACAGATCAAGGGAAATTCTGTATTTCGAAATGTTACGTTTAAAAATGAATTCCTCATAGAAGTGTATAGCTTAATATAACAACAAAATCGAAATAGGAACTATATTTGTACATGTATCAAGACTGCATAAAAATACATGCGTATTGTATCAACACTGCATAAAATGACACGTAATGTTTCATGTTTTGACAAGTTAGTTCAACAAAAACTTAAAATGTGTGAGACCACCTCCCCCGACCCCCCGTAAGATATAAAGTTACTGGAGACAGCCTACATGGCCTCGATTATGAGAACCCACCACCTGATTTTTACTACTTAAAAAATGTAGTGTGCCAGAGCAATTGATAGCACCCTTTAAGTATACACCGTACGTAGCCAACCGTGCTAATCGAAGGTGCTGATTTTTTAGAATTTATCCAGGAGAGCCACGTTGAGTCGTAGGACTCTTTTTGAGGAGGCTTCTGCATAGTTTTTATTTTACGATTTTTCCATCTAATTTATTAATGTTTGTTCAGGTGGAACGAATCCAGAGCACCCCTAGCAACATGATAGGGGAAACACTCTATCTCCGTAGTGGGAAACAGATAGTGATTATCATGGGGCCTTTTTTGCCAGTGTCAAAGTATGAAAATTAAGAATAAGTTTTACCCTTTCTAGCAATAAAACAGGTGTTAATATGTGCAAACACCAAAAATAAACCTTTTTTAAAGGAATCAAGTACTGCATTAACCAAATGTACTTGTGGTGAACATGCAAACAAACACTCTGATAATTATATGTATTGTCTTTGAAACTGCTCTGGATTCCTCGCAGTGCACAAACATTCGTAAAAAGGTCCCATAGATATAATTGCTCAACCCGAGCTATAAATGCTCTGATACGTACATTGTCCTTGTACTGTTCGCACTTTTGGCGTTCTCTGGTCTGACACTGGTGAAACTTGGCCATAAAGAAAGCTGTCTCTGGTGTAGGCCAATCAGTTTCAAAGACATGTTGTTTGCATGCTCACCACAAGTACGTGTGGTTAATGCAGACTTTATTCCTTGAAAAAAGGTATCTATGTGATGTTAGGACATCTTAACACATGTTTTATTTCCAGAAAGGGTAAAATATTATCTTTCATAGATAGTGATTAGTCCACTTGCTGTAATACCGTCTCCTAGCGAGCCAGAGTATGGCACCTCCACACCTACGGGAAGCGAGTTTCACAACATTTGTGCGATCGACCAAGCCTCACCTTCACAGTGCTGGGTTACATTACAGTTGTGCTTCACCGAACACCCAGCTGATGAAAAATAATTGAAGCTTATACGAGTTATTATTCACTGGCATTCCAACATTAAAAGGAAACAAAGAACATATAGGCACCAATTCGTTATTCGCATACTAGTGTGACAAAACGAATGCGTCCTCCTCCCGCACCCCTCAACGTTTTAATGCGAGCTAGAAATGGATGCTCTCCATGTAGGTGTCCCGCTGGCCTCTGAGACACCATTGTCGTAACCATCTTGCGGGTCTGCAGTGCCCTCGAAGTGCACAGTTTCGGCATCCAGCTCTACGAGGCTGTCCTCCGAGCCTGGGGACATACAAGCGCTCTCCTGTTACAAACAGGAACATACTGGACAAGCAGGTGTAGAGTGTGGCAGCATTCTCCTTAAACCATGAGATGTAAGAAATTCAATACTCTTCAACAATATTTTTTTTATTTTACCAGGTAAGGCTCCACTGAACTATACCTGTATATCTTTTTTTCAGAAGTGACCTGGCCACACATGATAGCTCAACGAAGTGGCTTATGTTGGAATTTGATTGCTAACAAATACTCTAAATGCATGTTATTTTTAAATGTGCAGGGGAAAAACCGGAGCACCCAGAGAAAATCCCACGTGACCACGGCGAGAACATGCAAACTTCAAATATACAGGCATCAAGATCGGGATCAAATCCACGCACTCCTGCATACCAGGCGAGGTAGTGAACATCTCGCCACCGTGGCACACCAATATTTGACAGGCTGATGGCACGCAGCTTGTATGAAATCTTCCTAAAGAAGACAGCTTATAGAAAATGCTTAGGCATGGTATACATTGCACAAAAGTAATATTTTCAAAATGGCAAGTTGTGGAATGTCCGACTAGCATTATCTTGTAATTGTTGTTACCATCCACAGTGAGACTTGGGGACATTGTTCATGGAAAAGGAAAATCGTTGACAAGAGGAATTTTTTATCCTCATATCCATAAATGTATATTTTATATCTCCCCAATGACATCCTCTGAATCATTGGCAGAATTTTCCCCATTAAGCTAAAACAAATCAACCAATATCACATTTGTTCATTTGTAATGTTTGGAAACAAATCTAAGTTGAAAATTACAGAACAATATTACAATGATTTTTATATTAGAATTGTATAAGTTACAAATGAAATAAGATCTGTTATAAAATATTAAATTTATATTTAGACTAAATTCAATCAAATATTAAACCTGTAATCTATTATTAGTAAATTGGCTAAGAGCTTAATGGGCAACATAAAATCAATAATGATATTCAATATTGAGATAACACTGCGATGTGCTACTCTAATATTGTATGTATTTATTATTCTGATAATTATGAATTGTAATGATTTTGATAAGTATATATCCACAACGTTCATGTTGCGAAAACATAATAAAAACAATAGTTTATAGCTTTCACAGTTTATGGGCTGTTATTGTAGGGAGTGAGAAAGGAAAATGTCTCACCGAAATGATAATATAATTCTACTTGTGATCGTCGTCAGACCCGTAAAATCCGCGGGTTAAGAATAAGAGAACTTAAACCAGAAATGAGGATGGGAAAAGTAGTGGTTGTGTAACCTTAATACTGCAGCATTATCATCTGAGCCACAGGGAAAGTAAGTGGAGCAGGTTAAAGCCCATTGTACACGGGGCCCTTCTACACCTGCACGGAGGGGTTACCTTTGCAGCTGAGGCTGCCCAGGGTGTTTATTGTTTGGGAGCCGCTCAGCGTCTCCTCCTTGCCGATGCCATCCTCGCTGCTCGACTCCCGGATCATCTGCCCATAGCCGTTGGGCGAGGATGCGGGGCTGCCGATCCAATTGTCATCAGTGCCCATGTCACCCGTCACCGAGCCCCACGACGGGGTGCGCAAGGCGGCCCGTGGCCCGCGGACGCTACAGCCCTTCCAGCCCTGGTACGCCAGCGAGTTGAGGAAGCCTTGCAAAGGATTTAAGATGCCCTGGAGACAGCGGTTTTTTTTGTATGTAAGTAACTTGTTGCATATTCTGTACATTTACATTTGTTTAGATCTGTTGTGACTGAGAAAACGCTACCGGCAAAACGTCATGGTATTGGAATCGTAAATGTTGTGTGGGTTTATGTGGTGCCACAACAGCGAAGCCGCTCCATGGGAGCCGTGCCTGCGGTGGGGGTGCTGCAGCAACGAAGCCACCCGGCTTCCGTCACAGCGCTTTCCGCACCACCCCCCACATGAACACACACACACACACCCACATAGAGCCCCGAGGGGAGGTCACCTGGCCGACAGGTTTTCACCCAGAAGCCCTCTCATGGGACGGAACTTCACGGTTTCCTGGGACCAGGGAATTGAGCGACCTCCCCCAAGGCTAACGTGCACCGCGGCGCCGTGACCTAGGTTGTAATTACATGGTCACGACGGGGGCTGAGACGGGAGGCAGTCTCCCCGACATTTACACTCCGACACACCGGTGTGCTGAAGTAGGAACTAATTGGCACGTTTTGTTTACGTGACAAACCTTACCAATTGGCTCTGTCGGGTGGTGGCGATTATAACGACATATTTATACTCTTTGTTTATTTCGGTAAAGTCACGTAGGTATAAAATAAATTTAACCACGACGTTTCGATCGCAACACAAGCGACCGTCATCAGGTGGAACAGATACAGCAGGAGAACTGCTGACAGGAGAAAGAGCTGCTGCAACAAGAGTTTATATCGGATAGTGTAAATGCGATAGGTATTACCTTATTCTTAGTTTTTTCGGTAAAGTCACATTGAAGAGAAACAACAAAATAACAAAACGTGACTTTACGTGACTTTACCGAAAAAACTAAGAATATGAATTACTGCAGTCACGAAAGCTTTAAATCAAAATTTAGGTATTACCTTGTTATCGCGGCATTTATTTTATTCCTACGTGACTTTACCGAAAGAACCAAAGAGTATGGATCCCTGCAGTTATGAAAACTTCAAATCTAGATTGACACATTTATATTTACACGATTTAACCCAAAAAAACGTTATTTTGGAGAAAACGTTACCAATTCGAAATTGAATAGGTGGCTTTAATTGAAAGTTCAGTCAAATACTATCTTATGTAACATGACAACGTACGCAATAATTGTCATTTTCAATCCACTGCTGGAAAAAAAGGCCTTTTCTCCATGCCGTGTTGTTCATGGGGATTGTTTGACCATACATCACCAAACTGGTAAGTGCTGTTTTGTGAAGTGGGAGAGTGAGGGGTGCCCAGGATTGGATCAGATATAAATCGCCGCTCATGTTAACCATGGCTGGGATTCAAACTCAAGTTGTACTTTAACCACTGTGCCACCGCTTCACTCAAGATATATATGTAATATAATTTTATATGCCATATTTCTGTGTCATAGAAAATATCATCCAGAGATTCCAAGTAATGTATACAATGTTAGCCAGCACCTACCAACAGTGGCTTTTGCACACGAGGTTGTGTGGAGTGTACATCCAGCACACCTATCTACCCAGTGCTGTTGTTTATATGCCATGTACTAAGTATTGGGTTATTCGGGATTCATTTGGACAAAGGGAAAGCCCAGACGACATTTGTATATCAATAGTGACTGTTCTTGTACAGAAATGTTACCCTCGTCTCTGATTTCGGAGAATATATTAAACACAATCTTATTGATGTTAAAGGTTTAAAACAAATTCTGCATCATTAGATTCAAACAGCATGATCGGATAATTGCAGCTTTTTCTTTTATTTCAAAATAAGAGACATATGTGTGTGTATTGTTGTAGCCAACCTGACAATTTCAATTCATGATACCCGAAAATCATATTAACAAATAAAAAGCATTCCCAACGAGTTCACTCCCTTCATTATGTGCACTGTACGAGCTGTAGGATCTCAATCCGTTCTTGATATAAAGCACACCACCACAAAGTGTGTCGGGTTCATAATAAGAGCACTGCTGTGTAGAGGAAGAGCAATGTTGTTCCATACCATCATGTACCATGTGATGAAGACAGTGTTCTTGATGTCTCTATTGGCTTTCTCACTGAGACCAAGCGAGAGTTCCTGCACAAACAGCAGTGCTTCATTTATAATGTTCGGAATCCAACTGAAAAAAATACAAATATAATTACTTCGATAAGCGTTATCATGGTCAATATGGACAGGTTGGCAAGTACATTTATTTTATAACATTGAGAATATAATTATTCATAATAAACGTTTTTGGGTTAGATCGCGTTATTTATACATGTGTCGTAACCCTCCACCACCCGAAACTACCAAACAGTAAAAAATGTGTCACGTTTACGAAAGACAAATAGTTCACTACTTTAGCCCACCGGTGTATTGAAGAGTGATTTAACATCATTTACAATTTTTGAATACGCCGTTTCGCTGGTAATTACATCCAGCATCATCGGGCAATTTGCCAGAATGGTGAAGTGCTCCACTTGCTCCCGGTCCTAAATAGAGCAGCAGCAGGGTGACGTAATAATTTAACCCATTCAGGTGAGTGATTTGAGGCAGAGGGGGGTATTGCAATTATATAATAGATTCGTAATCAGTCAATTGTTATGATTAGTAATCAGTTGCAGATTAGTAATTAGTTGTAATGCGTATTATTCATTAGCTTAACCCAATTATTATACCCAAGCAGGTGCATAAATCAGAAGGGGGTGGCAGAGGGGGGGGAGATGGTTATTGTAATTATATGCTACGTTAGTAATCAGTTAGTATGTGTTTCCCTTATAAGGAATTGTAATATGTATTATTTAATAATACGCTTCCAGGCCGCACTAAGCCTGTAGCTGTCAGAGCGATTCAAGTTATTTCTATTTCTCTCAATTTCAATGGATTCTCTAATTAGTCTTTGCCATTAATAATTAGTTTTACACAACACTTCAACGTTATCAAAATCAATTGAGTGTTCTTGTTGCCAAGCATGTTCTGCCACTGCCGACAGTTGTGTTTGAGATAATTTAATATTTCTTTGGTGTTCTTTTAGTCTTACGCTGATGTTACGTCCCGTCTGTCCAATATAGCATCTGCCACATAAACAATTAATCCGATATACACCTTCTGTTGATAATTTAGGTAATTCGTCTTTAGTGCAAGATACTAGTTTTTGAATTTTGTGTACTGTACCAAATCTTACTGTAACGTTTTGCTTTTGCAGTTACTCCTGAGTTACTCCTGAGATATATGGAATTTTAATTGTTTTAACAATCTGATCGCTTTCAGCAGTGTTGCTTTGCGATCGTGATTTGGCATTCAGTGCTCTGTTAATGTGAGCATTATTGTAGCCATTCTGTCGTAGTGCTTTTACATGTTTAATCTCTCTCACTAGACTTTCACCATCTGACACTGTTTTTTGCCCGATGTATCAGTGTCTTGATAAGAGAGGACTTCTGAGCTGGGTGATGATGTAAATCTGCATTCAGATAGGCATCCCTGTGCGTTCACTTTCGGTTAACGCTGTGTGTTTTTTTTGCCATTTAGACCATGACCAAGCAAAATATCCAGGAACGGGAGTGTGTTATTCACCTCCATTTCCATGGTGAACTGGATGGCTGGGTATTGTGCATTGAGGTGATTTAGAAAATCATTAAGTGTATCTTTACCATGTGGCCAGACAACTAAAGTGTCATCAACATATCTAAACCAAAAATATGGTTTTAATGTACTCGAGGCAAGTGCTCTTGTTTCAAAAATTTCCATGTACAGATTTGCTATAGCAGGAGATAAAGGAGAGCCCATTGCGACTCGCTCACTGGAGCCTTTGTGAATAGAAAAATCACATCAAAACTCATCAGAATGTCATTAGGGTTAAGTTTGATATATTTAATCACATTAACAAGATGCTCTGAATTTATTATTGACGAAGATGTCCTACCGATGTAGGGCTGTATCTGTTTAGTTATATATTTAGCTAATTTATATGTGGCAGAGCCAATTGTACTGACTATGGGTCCTAATGGGATACCAATTTTATGAATCTTTGGTAGCCCATCCAGTCTAGGTGGTTTTGAGGCCCTTGGCTTAATTTGGTATTGCTCATTCTTAGGAATTAATTAATTTGCAATGATTGCAGTAGTCTTATGTTCTAAAGTATTAGTTGGATCTCGTTTAATTTTAATGTAGGTACTTTCCTCTAGTAAATCTACAGTAGTGCGGCCTTTATCAGATACCAGGATTTGAATATCTTTATTTAATCGGAGCTCTCTTAAGGCTTTTGCTTCGTTCGAGCCAAGCAATGGGGAGGCTGTGGAAAGTTCCACGGACAACATGCGGCCCTTCCGTGGCTGCTGACAGTGCCATGGACAAAGTGCAGCCCTTGCGGAAAGCTGCAACTTTCTCCATTGTGCGATGGGGCCACAGAACGTGAATCCCACTTGTGAAGAATTCCGAGTTAAATAAAAGCTGGCCACTAAATTGCGCAATTACGCACGTATAAGAGAATGGTCACAACGTGGAACTAGCCGAATGCCGCATGAGAAGAATCATACAATATCACTGGATACGTGTGTAAACGTGATGATCATGGATGTGGGTGACTTGGAATATGGTGATGGAAAAAAGGAATGTCCCAACTTACAACTGAAATGCATGCAATTGCACAAGCTCCACGTGCATCATTGATTGTATTTGATAAGGGACCAAACACCTATCATGTAATATTAAAGGGGAGGTGTGGTGCTTTTTGTACCAGATGAAAAAGACCAGCATTATTTTAAAGAAGTGAGTTCGCAGTTGACACTCCAGCCTCCGCTCATTTTCAGTGTAAATGCCATGTCTTCCTTTCAGTAATGATGAGACTGGGGAAAATACAATGCAAAGTAGCAATTAAGTGACACATTATTAATTAACCTCAAGACTACATTTCAGCATGATCTTGCATTTCAGGATGATCTTGCTTTGGAGTGTGTGGTCAATTCTTATTTTGTGCCAATTGATACAATTGTAAGCTAAAGCACAATTGTCCACGTCACTTGTTGAAGTCTTAAATATATGGACTTATCCGGATTACTCACCATAGCTGGGCTGTCTGATTAATAACAGTATGAAATTAATTGATTTCAAACTATGGATTCGATTACCAGACTAGTCGAATTGCACAAAGACGGTTGGAAAAAAGTTTCACCGCTATTCCGATGTGTGTCACTGAATGGGAGGCGATGGATGTGGCTTGGTGGCATCTTCGCTGGGCATGGCTCATCGGAGGTTTCCCGCCTTCGGGAGGCAAGGTGTGGGGGACGGCGAACCTTTTTAAGGGACCCAGATGATCAATTAAAAAAAATAAGTCAATCACAATTTTTCGTTGAAAATCTAATTAATCTACTTATGATCCCAGCTCCTCTTTTCACCATCCCCTGTAACCGACCCCATAGTCTCAAATCTACAGTTACTCCACATGCAGCTCTAATAGCTCAGGGGAGGAAACGACTGCAAAATCCTCAAAGCTTTACTTTTACCCGCCGTGTCATGATGGAGTTATTGCGTTATTTGTCCCTTCCCTCGAGTTGTTTGAACAATGCAATTTATAACGTGCACAATATTTAACTGACATATATAACTGTTATTGTGAGGCGCTGAGTCAAACTCAGTGTCACTCATAAGTAGGGCAAGGGAGATGGGGTCTGTAAGTATCTCTTCAAAGTCATTGCAGAATGAACGCTGAACGTGCAGTGGGATGGCCTTGCAGATGGAGGGGGCTGCCACAGACAAATTATTGTTATCCCGATGGTGAAGTATTTTTAATTCTCATAGCTCAAAACATTTCTGAAGGCCCATTGTTTCTAGCCGTCACATGTCATTTTTAATAGCAGCACAATGTAAACCAATGCTCGCTCACCTGTAGTCACTGTCCGGGAGAAGAGGATTGGGTTGACAAAAAAACCCATGAACATTGGGATGTAGGTGCAGATGTAGTGTGGTATGGCATGCTCTATGCTCTGTTCGCACCTGCAATTGAAAAGAGGATTAAAAGATGTGTGTGCTCACACGTGTGCTTCCTGGGCTGAAGTATAACACACTCTACTTCTGTAAGTCGATAATGTACTTCCACACTACATGTATGCTCCTGCATATGCATTGGTATCTACAGTAGTCATAATGAAAATGTACACGAGGGTTACAACTGTCCAGGATTTAACATCTGTGTCCGGGTTGTAGGAATTTATTTGTATTGAGATCTAACGTATTGTTTAAGTTTAAAGCTCAACCTTATATTGTTTAGCAAAGTGAAAACTCAAGAAACTAGTCATTCGCAAGGGTAACCTTGGGCGATACTCTGCCAGTTGGGGGCGATGATTGATGATTGCTATGTAGTCCCAATCGAAAAAGCCAATATTAGGTCGCCCCTTGATGCTGATTGCCTTCCTTCTGCATTCACATAATTTATATTAATTTTGTTGCGGATACATTTTGTCCTGTTACAGCCCCACTGATGGGGCTGCGCAACCACCCAACTTCATGACCGTGTACTCCGACGTTTTCTTTAATCTAGGCCGAGAATACTCGTAGGTCTGGGTTGTCTGTGGAAAAACGTGACAACCCGAATATACACGTATGGCGCTTAACCCAACCGTTTGTGAGGATACACGGGAAATTTTCTGATATGCAATTCTTAAACTTTTTTTATTACACTCTCATGAGTATTGATAACCGCTTATTACAACATAAATTCAGTGCCGTGCATAAAATTTTCAACACATTTAAATACAACCACAATGTAAAGTGTTCATATAAAAATTTGAGATGTTTTATACTGGACATCTGTAAAGAAGAGCTTTATAAGCTCATCGGATTTATCCGGTATAAATATGATTTTAAAAATGTGCTTATGTTATCCCAGTGCTGGCGTGTGCGTGCTGACGTGCACTAACGATGAGCAGAAGAACACAGGACTCACATGAAGATGCTCGGGTAGTAGAGAGTGACCACCCCTTCCACACACAGCAGGCAGGCGAGACCCCAGGCAATAATATGGTACAGGGTCATAGTGCTGCCCACGTCATTTGTACAAAGAAAAGAACATACACGTTGCATTGTTCAAAATTGTACAAATATTTAAAGTAAATGTTTTAAAATGTTATATTTAAATGTTTTCGGCATCCAATGAGATGTAATGTAGCTTGAAGTCGATATTAACACCCTGTGTAAAATAGTCAAACGCACGTCTGTTTTTAAAATAATGTTGAGACGGCGTTTTTTTATTGTCACAATGACCAGTCCATTAGGTCAGGGCTCACCAGAAGGTGTTTTAAAGTTTTAGAGTGAAATTTTTCAGGAAGAACACCTCACGCATTTTTTAAAATAAACTCTTGAAATTGTGATTGTATTTAATAAGTGTTCGAAAATGATTATTAGTTAATAATATGTCATGTTTTGATTATTAGACATACCGTATGAGCATGTCGGTTTTATAATGCAATGTCGAGTGGCCATATACGTACAAGATGTTACCTAATCCGCTGATAGCGGTGGAAATAGTTAACGCACTGCATTATGAACTCAGCAACTTCAGTTCGATTCCTGCTATGGCTAACATCAGTGATTGTGTGACCCTCCATAAAGCCACATTGACCAGGGTGACAACGTATGGTCAAACTACCTCTACGGCAAGGGAATGGCTTTATCCAGCATTTGATTGACACAGGGCTGGACATTACAATTGTATGGTTCATACTTTGTGTTTTCCTGTACTTGTGATGTTACCGTAAATTGTAGCTTTATTTAATCAGTTATAAAAAGAACACGGTCCCTTCCAATTCAAATAGTTTTCTCCAAGTAACTAGCATCCATTCGGTAAACATTTAGTGCTGCTTAGTAAGATTGCAGCAGGCTCAAATTTGCATCTGCATTCATCATGAGGTTGATACAAATATCAGTTACCTTCTGGACTTCATGCCACTTGACAAAAGCACACATTGTTGTGCAAGATTCACTTGAATATAAAACATGCTAGCTTATACTGGTAGGAACCTCCTGTTTCCACCAGTCCACAGGGGATTATTGTGTCCGTCCGTCGTGCATCCAAAAATGGGAGGGGTGGGGCTGAGTGGAGAGGGGAGGGTGGGGAGGGTGGGGAGGGGCTGGGTGGGGAGGGGCTGGGTGGGGAGGGTGGGGCTGGGTGGGGGGTGGGAGGGGTGGGGCTGGGTGGGGAGGGGCTGGTCACCCCGTGCCGCCTTTATAAAACTCAACGTTTAACCTACTCACGCCGGCTTGTGCCCGCCCTCACAGTCGGGCATATTTGGGGAATACACCACGCCGCCGTTGACCCTGGCCATTGACCGAGCAACCCAACGTTCCTACCAGCTCCCTCCGCAGGAATGTGTTCCCTGAGATATTAAGCAATGTAATTATTGCACAGAAAAACGTATTGGCATTAAAAATGCATGATGCATTAGCTTAAACGATGATCTTGAAATTATTGTATACTACACTCTCTTGTTGCAGCCAATATATCCAGCCAAAAACTGGCTGGAGCTGTCTTAATTAAAACGCGAGCAGATTGGCGTCTTAACCAATGGAATTACTATCTATTTAAATTCGCAGACCAGATGTCATCTCGAGCCCAATCAGAACCCAGTATTATGACTCAGCAACAAATATGTTGGGAGGCTCTGGATTGGCGTGCTTTCAACGATCTGCATTTGTTGAGGATAGGCCTCGTAGTACGTTATTTTAACTGTGCGTGCGTTGAACTGTTATTCTTTGCAGAGAAAATGAGAATGAAAATGTTTGTGTGAAAGTGTAACTCTTGCCCTAGCGGCTAACAAGTGGCTGCAGGAGTGAACGGACCGATGTAATGGGATTTGTAGAGCCCAAGTGAGAACCATCAATGATACCTCCATTAAGTTGCACTCTTTCCTTATTGCACTGCAGTTCCTTAGTAAAACTAAAGAAGCCATAAGTTATATGCATGCAAAATGTTCATAAACGTACATTACGGTAATTAAATACATGCCTGCCCTTAGTTCTTCTATATTTCATCAGTGGTTGCAAGTTATGACTATGTATAAAACAGTTTGCAAATTTAATGGGTTTTTTTTTACACATTGGAAAAAACAAATAGACCCACCTGGAACCTGCAGCTCTCTTTGCTACCAAATAGGCATCAGCAGCAAAGCAAAAAGCCCAGAGGAAGTTGGCTGAATAAAATAGCTGTATCCAAATCTGTTAACACAGAAACAACAAATGTCTACATTTATCATATGTTAATTTGAATACAATTGGCATTTGTCATCAACACAAAACTTTAAATATAAACGTAGTCGCTCAATAAGAAGTAGTCTAATTTTTTTCGATCGTGGAAGGATGACAGTTGAGTCAACCCCCAAATCATGTGGCGTTGAGATTGGCAGCTCGCCGTGCTAACCGAAAGACCAATCATTGATTGGCTTGTAGTCGTTATGTGAAAAAAAATTGTTTAAACGCCTGTACATTATTTACATTTATACAACTATCAGATATAGAGACACATGGAGCTAGAGACAAGGGAGACCTGGAGGGAAATACGGAGAAACATGGAGCCACAAAGAGTGATAAAAGGATTTGCATTGAGACACTCGTCAAGTCTCACCTGAAGAAGCTCCATGTGCAGCTTTAGTAGCCTAGCAGAACAGGTGTTGGGCTACCATGGAAGCCAAACTATTGCTTTAATGTTTTAACTTAATCCTCGCTATGTGCATAATTACTCTCTGCCCCACTCCATTGAATAGCTTTAAACAATAATTTGAATATTTGACAAACTTTTTCCATAACTGATTACGTATTTTTTTCCACTTCTTTCGTATAACTGATGTAAATGCAGAGCAACAACTATAATTTTGCATTCAGGTGGTCAAGCCAAATACAGTAACCGGTTTGGGGTGGACCATGAGCATTCGTGGAAGTTAAAATCCAGGGAACCTTCTACGTTGGGTCTTTCACATGGTGTTTCTTTGTGAGTTATTTTTAACTTCATTCAGCTCTCCAAGCTTCATCGGGATTGAATTCGTATTATTTAATGAATATTTAGTTGACTGGAACACATTACTTTTTGTAGGCAAACATAGGGCCAACACTAGTGCATAGAAGCGTTGTTCCAAAATGGGTGTAGGAGCTCATTGTAGAAAATGGGAGGCACATTCTTCTCAGCTACTGTTACAAGTCATGTTGTGGTCATGGGAAGTTTGGAATGCCAAGCATGCTGAGTGTGTGAACAAAGAATGGCATTTGTTGTAATTTGAACCATAATGCATAAAATTAAGTAGCTGTGCTGGAGATTAAACTGTAAGATGTTTGGTTAAGAATACAAAGAATATAATTAACTGCCATACATTTATATTAGTTAATAAGATTTTTAGTTTTGCAGAAATGAATACACGTGTTCTATTTCCAAAAATATATTGCAGATATTTTATTTATGCCAGTGGTTTCCATTAACCAACAACTGCGTAGAATGCATTCGTTTTGGAATATGGGCTATAATAACTGTCATAAACCATACTCTCTGGTTCTTTCGGTAAAGTTGCGTAGATTGAAAAAATAATAAAATAAAACACGACGTTTCGGTCGCAACACAAGCGTCCGTCTTCAGGTGTAAAAAAAATGATCTGCTGTTGTGGCTTTATACTGTATAGGCACGGGAGGGGAGAGAGAAGGGGGGGGGGGAAGGAGTTTGGCTGTGGGAGTTCACAGGGGAGAGGGGGGAGGGTTTGTGGCATGCAGGGACGGGTGGGGCGGGATAAATTAGCAAGTAAATGGACTTGTGGTACAAGTCGTAATCGGATGACGACAACCGGGTGGATGAGAGAGGACGACGACAACCGGGTGGGTGAGTGAGGATGACGACAACCGGGTGGGTGAGAGAGGAGGGGGACATCCGGGTGGGTGAGTGAAAATCATATCAGTTAAACTTGACGTGGTTTATCACAACCGTCCAATGATTGCTCAATCTGAATCCATCTTCTCGATTAAAGTTGTGTCTGTGTTTGTATATCTGGATGGCTTCATGAATAAATCTCTGAAGGTGGCCCGAGGGTTTGCAGAGCACCTTGGTCTCGGAGAAAACAATGTCAAGTGTGCCCAGAGCGTTGAAACAATGATCCGCCACCACCGAGGAGTTGGTTATGCCGTGTTTCAAATCCGCTTTGTGTTCGTGAACCCGGTCTGAGACACGTCGCTTCGTTTCACCAATGTAGCTGCTGCCGCAGACACAACTCAGCTTGTGTACTGTATTGAACCGAACTTGGATCTGGAGTTTGTTTAAGATTTTGGCAATCCTTTTGGTGACCCTTGCTATGTATGGTAAGGTGATGGTTTTTATTGGGTCCTCAGATGGTTCTCTACGCATGGTTGGGGATGCAGCTTTGCAGATTGTGCGGTCAGAATATCCATTCCTCCTGAGAGCCTGGCATACGTGTTCAAGCTCATTGGCTAGGTGGTGCTGGTCGGAGATGCAACGGGCCCTATGGTGTAGTGTTTTGATGAGGAAATTATTCTTGGCTAGATTGTGGTGGGAGTCAGGCTTTAGATAGGAATTTGTGTGGGTGGCTTTCCTGTAGACAGTGTCCCAACGAGCCATCAGGTCTCTTGTCGATCAAAACATCCAGGAATGGTAGCTTGCCATCATTTTCCACTGTCATATACCAGTGGTGATAAACGTAATTTGAGAAATGATAGACAAATTACTTGTTTAATTATAAAGTGAGTTTTCTCATACACTATTATTCATATTTATAATCATTGGGATTCTAGTTAATTATGTGTATTACGTATTCGTCTGTAAGTGAATTTTTAAAAAGAGTACCTGTTTTACTACACATTAAATACTATATAGAGATTGCTCAAAGCAGAAAAATACTCAGATAAACATCCTATTTGCAAGATTGAAGTTCTGAATTAAATATTCAGGGATCAATTAATACATTTAGAACAAGAGATATCTTTTAAATACACAACATCTTGGTTAAAAAAATACACTGTATTAAGAATATATAAGCAGGTGTATTTTTTACAACAATATCTCCAGAAATGAAGACTGATCTTTTTTCCAAATTTGAAGCCACTTAGGGCAAAATTAAGTCATTATACCATAATGCTAGTTCACTTATACAACACAATGTTCAAATACTTGAGACCCAATTCAAGTAAAATTAGTTTTTACTCTTTTGTGGAATTCTGTTAGAAGACAAACTACCCACAAACGCGATTCTTCCTCGTTTGATGTATCACTTTTTGGCCCGAATGCGTGGTCACAAAAACCCAAAGGGAATCAATAGCTGGAGTGCTGATAACAGTCGGGGCTGTGTATGCTGAACTTGATACACTCACCCTGGTTCCATTCGTCTCACACAACCCCCAATCCACTCGGAATACAACTGGTATTCTTGTTTGTACACAACTCTTCTTTGTCTACCTTTAAAGAATAATATCCTCTACATTTCTGACCATTATGGATTGTGCTATTATTTGCAAAGCTGTTTTAAACTCAGCATTGACTTCATTAAATAAATAAAAATTCCGCATTGCATTTCATTTTTGATAATAATTACTCAATGCACCATTGTAATCGCTATTTTCAGTTTTGGTTGCGGCCTTTCAGACAGGAGAGATACATTGGGCCAAATGTCTTCCATGCGTATGAAAATTTGTGGAAGGCACAACTATGTTGCTGATCCAGATGCAAATCATCACAACCTAAGATGTTGCTGCCCGCTTTCACTGCAATAAATTTGATCTGGCATAAATTTAAGTTGACGCTCCTCGATCCTGGAATTCTTTTGCCTCTCAACTGTGTCTCATTGTAATTCTGACCTTAGCAGCTCTTGAAAAAAACCCATCACACTTCACCTAAACCTTGAATTCAATCCACACTGGCCAATTTAATTTGGACTGTATGTATATATGTTGAACTTCTTTAACACTGTAGTAGCCAACCATGCTAATCGGAGGTGTGTGGCAAGACAACTTAACACAAAAAGCAGTTCTAAAGGAATTCATTGTCAATCTAGATTTAAAAGTGTAAAGCTCCAGTGGCTTATCAAGTATATAAGGTAGCCAGCTTCAGCATTGGCTTACCAGGAAAATTCCCAGATGCCCTGTGACCCTGTTCAACCTTTTTGTGTGAGAACCTGGTCAACTCACTGCGGTGGAAGCACAGAAGACGCTGGGCCACACGTAAGTGGCATTCACTGTGGACATCCCAGCGACGAATGATGGTGAGGACACCCACACGGATGAACGGACAATGATGCCTGCAGGAATGGCACTTCTTGAAATGAAACATTGATGACATTAACACAGCTTGTGTCTAAGATGTGATAAATGTGCACACGCATGGTTTAAAAAACCACCATTTTGACGATCCGTAAACAAATGTACCACACACATTTAAACAAATCATTTGGTGATACTTACATGGGCTGTATCAAACTAAACAAAAATATACCACAACATATTCGTGAACACTTTTGCCTGTGCCATAAACGTTGCTGATTACATTTGTGTTTTCCCTTTATAGCACTTACTTACGGATTGTATTTAGTTTTTCTTATTTGTGTGCCACTGCCAAAGCAGTACAGTATCACCAAATAAGTGGTCTGCCGGCCGAGTCGCCCTTTGAAAAAAAGAGGCTCTTAGCTCAATGGGCTTCACTGATTCAGAATACTTTTCTTCCCAACGTTTACAAACGTTGGGCATGCTCGAACACCCAAATCACCCGCAGTGGCTGCCCCCCCCCCCCATCCTCCCCAAACACCCGCCCTGCCCCCCTATTTAACACAAGGGTTTGAAGACTTTAACACAGAGACAACAAATACCGAGGCAGCCCATGGTGTCGCACAGGGCCAGCATGCGCACGATGTGCGTGGAGGCGGAGAGGCGCGCGGTGCGGGCGGTGGACACGTGGGGCGACGCGTGGGGGCCACCCGCACCCCCGGCATCTCGGTACGCGCCGGGGCTGAGCTCCTCTCGCGGCAGTGGGGGGCCACCCCGGCCGCCCCTGCCACCACGCGCCTTGTGGACCCTGGGCAGCAGCTGCATGAGGGAGCCCACGAGGCTGACGGCGGCGCTCGTCAGGCACACGGCGTTGAAGCCAAGCGGCGTGAAGGATAGCATCGCCGATGTGGCCGGGTCGCGGTTGGGGCAGCAGAAAGTTTCCAGCCTCGGGGAAGCCATGTGTCCCCCTCCTTTGCTTTGTACACAACCGACTTCACCTCCACCCCGGAGCAAAACGGCGCTTTTTGGATAATTAACCGTTACCGTATGGACTGTGCAACAAAAAAACAACAATAACGATAACAAAATGTGCAGCACGGTCTGTTAACAGCTATCTAATTTAATTCCCTTAACTTTGAGTTGCATTCTCTTCACATTTGCCGTTTCGACGGTATTTACTATTCCCTGGCAAAAGTCCCTTTGCAGCGAGCGATGTAGCAGCAGCGGCGGTCTCGTTGAGTGGCGCGCCTCTTATAAGCCCCTCGCATCACATGGTTGTCATGCTCTCCACATCGTAATGGGCGCTTTCTTTGTGGAACGGATCAACCAAATGTTCACTGTCACTTTAAGAGAGCGTACAGCAACATCCATCCCGCGTTCGCATGTCTATCTGTTCACGATAATTGGGAATGTTGCTCCAAAGACGGATAGCAATTAAAGGAAAATGCTAATGATACATATTTTTAAACAAACGTAATCTATAAAATATAATGGAAAGCCATTCTTGGCACCAGTCATGGATGCTTGGTTTGGTGTGTCTGAAGAGATTAGTACACGCTCTATGAGATGCCACTTTGCATTCATTTATAAATAGAATGTGTGCTGTGTACAGACTGCAGTTGGGGAACACGTTATTCTAACATTGTTTATGTTTTATCAAAATACAATAAGTGCACTGAATTATATGTATTTTACAGAGTAAAACTTTGCATGAATAGTACCTTCAGAGTAACTAGTATTGCCTACATTATTGGCTTTGTCTTTGCACTCTTTAAAAAAGTACTTGGAAGAGTTAATGGAAACGTGTAAATTTAGCACCAGGAGGTGTGGATGTTTCGGTCTCAATGAGGTGTTTATTCTAGACATCTGCCTTGTTTTACTCTGTTCGCGTCAGCATTACTGGGTGATATTCTGGGCTGGTGACAGTGCCATCCAAGAAGGGGGATCGGTACTTGAGTTGGTAGCGAAGTTCATTGTTGAGGGCTTGATTGATGGATGTTTGGTTTTAGAATATTAGCCAGAACAAGGACTTGTGACTTATGGGAACACAGCATGCCAACACATGCTCAGATCCTGGTACTAGACGAATAGAACCAGGTTCCCAAGAGAACCATGCCACAAGGTGACATTAAACCCACACCTCATCTAGAAGTCTCAGTAGGGTAATTATAAACTAACCCGTTGGTTCAGCGGTTCCACTGTTGGATTATATTTTTTCTGCGTGAGGACGACCGCTTGTGTTGCGATCGAAACGTCGTGATATATAATTTTTTTGCTTTATTTTATTCTTTTTCTACCTACGTGACTTTACCGAAAAAAACAAAGAGTATGGATTCCTGCAGTCACGACAGCTTCAAACAAGATATAAACTAAACTTTGTATCTATTTAAAACTTGTTTTATTTTTGCCAGGCAAAGCCCACTAGGTTATTATCTATCATTTTAGAAGTGACCTGGCCATAAATTATAGCTCAATAAAGTGACGTGCGGAAATCGCATGTTAATAAATGTGGAGTTGAAAAACTGGACCTGGAGAAAAATCCACGCGACCACGGGAAAAACATACACACTCCAAATTATACAGGTGTCAGGATCGGGACCGAACCCACGACCTCCTGCATGTCAGGTAAGGCAGATAACATTTCGCCATTGCGGCACCCTGTAGGTTCAGAAGAGGTGCCTACAGCAAAGGAGACCTCACTTATCAACAGAGGCCCTATGTATTGGAGAATATGAGGACACCAAAATGTATTCCCTTTTCAAATTCAAACACAAGTACACGTTACACAGGCAGTGTTTCAAATTTGTACAATTTCTCTTTTAATGCATTTTCACTTTTGACACCGACACAACAGCTCATCCTTGCAAAGAATAATGATGTACGCTTCCTGCAACATGGAACATGCGGTACCATTCAGAAATTACTAAGTGGTTCTGAACTGCCAAAAACATGCAATATGGCGTTGTGATGGATGATCAAATCACCAATCTTAAAGTGACTGCAGATAAAGATATAGCTACTTAAACTGACCATAGTATAAATCTAACGCGTTTTTGTAACTCTCAAAGATGCTGCCTTACAAACGGCCTATAATTGCACCTTAAATTATCGTGCAAACCGAATCCAAATTAAAGCACTTATATTGAGACCATTGTTCGATGGAGATCCGAGTAATCTGTGTACAGACACACCATGTGACAAAGGCTTAAAAAACAAGAGAACAGACTAAACGCAAATCATACCAAGTTAATGTAATTCTTTTTTACAATCTATGACCATTTTGTGTTCATTCAAAGTTTTAAACTTATTTTAATGAAAAGTAACATTGAAAAAAGTTCATTGGTATGAAATGTCACGTTAAATACAATGAAAAAGTGCAGCTTTTGGGTATTTTTAACGTGTTATAATTATTTGGAGTGCCCCAAAAGTACTCAAAATAGCTTTTAGTCTTTCAGCCAAGATACATTAGATATCGGAGACAGATACATGCTTCACCCCTTAAAAGAGCCTATTAACATGCCAGGCCAAGCATCGGAATGTGCACAGTTTTGGATTTAGTCGAAGGTTTGTAGACAGTTTCATGGCCAAAAAAGCAGCCTCTCTGATGTTTGGGCGATGTTGCACACCCAGGCTAATGAGATATATCAAGGGATTTTCCAAGTGAGATGTTTAGAAATATATAAAATATGTGCGCTGCTCAATGCACTGCCTGTAGGCTCAACGGTTCAACTGCCGTTGCTAACATGCGAACATATATGGGATCGTATGAATTAGATATGGAATTTCACAAATGCAATTAAGTGAATATATAAACAAACTTTCGGTTTTAAATTGTCAATCATTTAAAAATGTAAACTCTACAACCTGCAATCTTTGAACAAACGAGGCTTCACCATCGAGATTTCACACGACCAAAGAATGAATCAAACCCATTTACCTAGAGACATTACGAGAATGATTGCAAACTGCCTGAAGGAGAGGTATGCAAGCGTGGCGCATGCCCCTCCGCTGCCCAGCGCCTCTCCCAGACGGGACATGCGCACGAGCGCAGAGGTCACGGACTGGAAGGCGTGGGCCCAGGAGCGGGCACCGTACAGACCGTCCAGAGAGAGGCTGTAGGCGCACAACAGCACAACCAACAGCAGCAGTCGGCTCTTGACTCGCGTCTCACGGCGCAGCATTGGCAGCGCCAGGCACCGCCTCGCTCCGCGGTGAAGCAGGGGGAGCTGAAGAGCCTTGAGGGACTCCACGAACACCAGCAGCGCCAGCGCCACCCTGAGACGCTCGTCCAGCGAGGCCAGCTTGCCAAACGTCGGATTTTCTCCTGAAAAATAAAGACGAATTTAATATGACTTCGACTTCAGTGTGCGTACATATTTTACGGTTGTGCTGTATTTCCTCTGATTAGCACGGTTGACTACGTACCGTGGGAGAGAAGTTCAACATACATTTATGTGATGTGTTTTCGGGTTGTACCGCGAGTTGTTGGTCACGATGTCCCATGTTTTACTCCACATGCTGGGCTCAAAAAGCTTCCAACACGAGAAGTAAAACGCAAAATGACATCGTATCAAAATGAAAAGCAAAAAATGAAGTTGAATTCAATTGGAAGAAAGGTTGATTAACATATGTAACTCATGCATCGGCTCAATCTCATTCCATTCTGCAGGGCAATGAGTTATTTGTGTACTGTAAAAATAATGATATATTAAATAAACACCACAAGTTATATATGTAGTGGAGTAGACAATACACATGGGTAAGTTGGCCATATACAGAACATACAAACAGTGTGGGTCATGTAAGTTCGATCAGGTGATGAAGTCACGGGTGGCATAAACAAGCCAAAGTAATTAAGGGAGTCAAGGGACGAGGGCTGTGATTGGTCGAGAGGCTGTTAGCGTTAAGTGGCGGTGTCACGGAGTCTGGGCCGTTGGACAGGTGCGGAGCTGAAAATGCCAGCGAGGCACGTGGCAATTAATTAAGGCTGATTGGAAAGGGGATAAAAACGCTAGGTGATTTGGACGGCGGGAGAGTTGGCGAGAAGTGGAGACAGCAGCGGGTAGAGAGAGATGCGAGGAGTGGAAGCCGGCAAGTGTTAAGTGTTAGTGGGAAATAGATTGAGAGCCGAACCCAGAGGACAATAAATAGCGATAGCGAGAGTTAGCGTTAGCAGAGTGGAGACTACGGTATAGGTAGGTACAGGGAGAGTTAGTGATAGACAAGTCACTGTGTGTGAAGAGATAGACGAGTCACTGTGTGTGAGGAGATAGAGATAGAACCACTTTGTGTGCGAGGAGAGAAGAAGAGACTGTATGTGGAGATAAGGAGTATGAGCGAATGGTGCTGAGGGGAATTCGAGTGTTCGAGTTGGCGGAGCGCGAAGAGGAGAAATTATATAGTGTGTGGGTGTGTGTGTGCGGAATGATGGAAATAAAAGTGACGGTGGAAGAAAGGCGATGGTCGTCCGAGTGAATCCAAGTCACTACATTTGGTGTCAGAAAAATTACGAAACACGCCACGATGTCAAAAAAAGCGGCAAAGAAAACAAATGTGCCAGTGGACTCGGGCGACGACAGCAACAACGACGATGTACAGCCCGGCCAGATGGCTGGCAGTACTCCTGACCGGGACAGCGGTTCGGGTGAGGCTGAGGGCCCGGGATCGCCAGGGGATTGGCGAGTCCTCATGACACCAGTGGGAGGCCAGGATGGAGAAGTTGTCGGAGGAGTTCCGGAACTTTTTGACGGAGAACCGCATTCAACAACCAGTACCGGGTCTACCGCTGGAGGTTGCTGCTCAGCCGGAGCGGGTGGAGGACTCTGACGACGAAGACGACCGGTCGGCGGGACCGCCACGATGGCTACACGTACAACGATTTGAGGCCAAAGTGGGAGATTGGACGGCGTTCATACGAAGATTCCGTGCGGCTTACGAGTCCCTGAAATGGACGGAGAGTGCCGCGTTACGAGCATTGCCAACGGCATTGGATGATGACTCCTTGGCGACTTTTAACGGACTCCCTGCCGCTGTCAGAAAAACATGGGACGGTGCAATTGCGGCAATGAGGAAAGTCTACGAGCCACGGTCGGTCGCCAAACGTCGATTTCAACAGAGGAAACGGGAGGCCACGGAGTCCCCCCTGGCATTCCGCAGCACCTTGCTGGCCCTCGCCTAGGTTGTGTACCCGGCGATGGACGAGGAGGGCTGGGACTCCCTGCTGCAGGAGAAGATGCTACAGCTGGCGAAAGAGCTGAAAGTCGTCTTGTCACTCCCAGACAAGGACGATGACGACGACGTGTCATCGTTGCTGATCGCCAGGAACATACAAGTCAACCTTGACATACGAGACGAACCAGCGGCGGCAGTGGCGCAGCCGTCGCTGATGACCCCTGCCGGGGCCGGGAGCACGGTGGCGGCGGTGGTGGACGAGGCGCCGCCGATGGCAGCGGCGGCCGGGGTGTCGACCGGAGAACGACGACGTCGTCCCGGGGTGTATGGAGACGGCGTGCATCGGACATGCTACGAGTGCGGGCGGAGGGGTCATCTCGCCCGCGACTGCTGGAGACGGAGAGGTGGTCCTCCAAGGGCGCCGAACAACTACAGCGGGCGGTTCCCCCAAGACCAAGGATCCCGGGTGAGTCAAGATGCATTCAATACAGGGCCGCCCTATCCACATCACTCATCCGCGTCATCTCACCCGTATTCATCGAGTTCGGATAGTACGCATGGCCGGGATACGTGGGGCGCGTTGGTACATCATGTGTTGGGGGCCGCGCCGGGATCGTCGGATGTGATGGCATGCATTCAAGGTGTTATGGTACGGGTTATTGTAGATACCGGGGCGTCGGCGACTCTCATTTCGTTGCAAACTTTTTGGTCGCTGCCGACGTCACCTGGATCATTGGGGCCGGTGGAAGGGCCATGCGTAGCGGCAAATGGGGGTAGTTTGGGCATTATGGGCTGCGTGGTTGCGACAATTCAAATTGGGGAGGTGATTGTTACGGGAAGTGTTTTGGTTTCAACGGCCTTGGCGGTACCGTGTTTGTTGGGCACGGATTTTTTGCAAAAGATGCCGATTAAGATTTTAGTGGAAAAAGGTTGTTTGCAATTACCGTCGGGGAGATGTATGAAATGTTTGGACGCCTTCAAAATTTGCGGTGGCGAACGCTGTGGTGCAGGCCGTGGTGAGCCGCACTGTGCGCGTCCCACCTGCATCGCAAATATTGGTGCCGCTACGGTTAAAGAAGGAATTGCCTTGGGATGAGCTGCAGGAGGGAGTGCTGTTAACACCCTCAAATGCTGTATCGAGAATGCCCACCATGGTAGGGGCTTTGACCATAATACCAACATATTACGATCCTTTCATTCATGCTGATGTTAAACAGCATGTAAAAGCGTGCCAGGAATGTGCGCGGAGGAAAGCGCCGGCACGGCCATATCGTTTCCCATTGCAATCGATTCAAGTTTCGAGAGTGAACGAAATTGTGGAACTAGACATTTTGGGTCCGTTCCCCATCACCCCCCGAGGGCACAAATATTTGCTCGTCAGGGTGGAATACTTAACTCGTTGGCCGATGGCATGGCCGCTAGCAGACCAGTCAGCGACGTCAATCGCTGAGGCTTTCTTAAAAGGGTACATCTTAGATAAGGGGGCCCCGGAACAATTGCTTACTGACCAAGGCAGAAATTTTTCATCGAAATTGATTAAAGACGTGTGTGATTCGCTGGGGACCAAAAAGACGTCCCCGTCCCACCCGCAGACTGACGGGATGATCGAGCGGCTGCATAGGACGCTGACGTTCATGCTTTGTCACCAAGTAAACACCGCTCAAGATGATTGGGACCTGCATGTTGCAGCGACGCTGGCCGCGTATAGATTAGCCCCGCATGCCTCAAAGGGGTACTCGCCATTTTTTTCTAATGTATGGACGGGAACCAGAAGCGCCGGCTATTGTTAAATTGGGAATTCGGAAGCGAGAGAAATCTACGACGGTGCCTGCTCCAATGCAGGTGGCTTTAGACCATCTGAGAGAAACCCGGGAGGCTGCATTGAAAAACACGGCATGACGACAAGCCGCTAACGAAAGATTGCACGGCAGGCAGTGGCCACGAGAGCCGTGGAGTGTTGGAGATAAAGCCTGGTTGCACTGCCAGTTGGAACGTCCCCAAAGTTTCACCGCCCCTGGCAGGGGCCCGTTGATATTGTGGAGGTTTTACGGGATCAGAGTGTGCTAATAAAATTCGGTCATCAGACATGGTTTATTCACCCGTCGCGCCTGAAGAAATTTGTGTTACCATACGATGCGTCATCCCGCATCTGAGAGCGAACTGTATTGGATGTGTCCAACGAACCTGTGGGGAGGTCACAAGTGCGCGTGTCCCAGAGATCTGCCCCCCGTGTGCCTGCAGGATCGCCCCTTTTGGGCAGAGTTGCTGACTGGATGCCGACTGAACGGCCACAGATCCGGACCAATGTCCGTCCCGACTGAGAACGACGGACAGTCCCGCCAGCAGAGTGTCGCTGGGACAGGGATGGGCGCAGGGTGGAGCCCAGGAGCGCCCCTCGTTGGCGAGACGAGCGAGGCCCTCCCTTACCGCAGGGTGTGTCCCGTGCAGGGGAGATGGGCCGGCAGCAGGAATCCGTTCCAGGAGAAGTACACTACGTTGACGTTCGGGGGTTTGGGGATTCTGTATAAAGGTGTTGTGTGTGTCGTTGTGGGGTGGTTGTACAAAATGGTTATGTGTTGCGAGTGCGTTCTGTATATATGTTATCATCGTTCTGTCCGCTTCACTCCACTACTCCAATTCGAGTATAGCGTAGCCGGGGACGGCTAGGTTCTTTCATCACGGGGGCGGGGGGGGGGGGGGGGTGATGTAGTGGAGTAGACAATACACATGGGTAAGTTGGCCATATACAGTACACACAAACAGTGTGGGTCATGTAAGTTCGATCAGGTGATGAAGTCACGGGTGGCATAAACAAGCCAAAGTAATTAAGGGAGTCAAGGGACGAGGGCTGTGATTGGTCGAGAGGCTGTTAGCGTTAAGTGGCGGCGTCACGGAGTCTGGGCCGTTGGACAGGTGCGGAGCTGGCGGGAAAATGCCAACGAGGCACGTGGCAATTAATTAAGGCTGATTGGAAAGGGGATAAAAACGCCTAGGTGATTTGGACGGCGGGGGAGTTGGCGAGAAGTGGAGACAGCAGCGGGTAGAGAGATGCGAGGAGTGGAAGCCGGCAAGTGTTAGCGGGAAATATATTGAGAGCCGAACCCAGAGGATAATAAATAGCGATAGCGAGAGTTAGCGTTAGCAGAGTGGAGATTACGGTATACGTAGGTACAGGGAGAGTTAGCGATAGACAAGTCACTGTGTGCGAAGAGATAGGCAAGTCACTGTGTGTGAGGAGATGGACAGGTCACTGTGTGAGGAGATAGACAGGTCACTGTGTGTGAGGAGATAGACGAGTCACTGTGTGTGAGGAGATGGAGATAGAACCACTGTGTGCGAGGAGAGAAGAAGAGGCTGTGTGGAGACAAGGAGTACGAGCAGACGGTGCTGAGGGGAATTCGAGTGTTCGAGTTGGCGGAGCGCGGAGAGGAGAAATTATATAGTGTGTGTGTGAAATTATATATAGTGTGTGTGAAATTATATATAGTGTGTGTGTGTGAAACTATATAGTGTGTGTGTGTGTGAAACTATATAGTGTGTGTGTGTGTGAAACTATATAGTGTGTGTGTGTGAAACTATATAAAGTGTGTGTGTGTGAAACTATATAAAGTGTGTGTGTGTGAAACTATATAAAGTGTGTGTGTGTGTGTGCGGAACGATGGAAATAAAAGTGACGGTGGAAGAAAGGCGATTGTCGTCCGAGTGAATCCAAGTCACTACATTTATATATTTATAAAATCTAATTAGACTCTTGCACTTGTTTAGTTTGTTGCCTAACTGATTGAACACAAGCAGCACTCCACATAATTTTTGTTGCTTTGTTTTTACTTTTTTAGTATTATGATAAATTACGAGACGTTTATGATAATTAACATTATATTGCTTTGTGTATAGCTTTGTGTGAAAGCATACGTTTCCCCAGGCTTCCAAATGCACTGTAGTAACTTGCCTCAATAAAGGTTTTTGGGTTAGATCGTGTAAGTATAAATGTGTCGTCGTAACCCTCCACTACCCGACACAGCCAGTAAGGTTTGTCACATAAACAACGCGCGCCAATGATTTACAACTTCAGTCCACCGGTGTGTTGGAGAGTAAATGACGTCATCATGTTCACAGCGTCATCTTGCTCTTAATTAAGACCGGAAGCAGGTGGATCGCTTCACTATTCTGGCAAATCGCCCGAAAATGCTGGATGTAATTACCAGCGAAACGTCGTAGTCAGGCAGTGGAGGGTTACGACACATTTATACTTATGTAATCTAACCTAAAAACCTTTTATTATAAATAATATTGGTCGTGAAAACCAACGTGTTTAAAAGTAACTTATCTTCTGCTCCTGTAACCTCCCAACCAAATCTGTGCCCAATCTGAGCATTAAAAGTCGGCCATTTGCCACCCTCAGCAGAGTGCATCTCAAATGTGCAGCTGTCTATATAATGTGTATTTCGCTTAATCAGTGTCCACATTTGTCTGCACGTATACTTGGACCAGCAATAATTTGGTATATCTTGTTTCCAGTCTCACTGTAATTCTGTCATTTACAGGTTCCCATGCAATAATGGATCTAGCTGCCTCTGCTTCATATAGAACTCGTAACTAATTTTAAATTAAAAAAATGAACGTTGAAAGTTTCCTTGATCATGTGTGGATTACTTTGAGGTAATGAATTGCATTGGGTGTGCTTACCTTGAGTGTGCAAGTAAAGATTTTCTTTCAGAGTCATTGTCAAAAAGAAGTAGATTACGACCAGTGTTATCCTCAGAACGAAGCAAAGTAGTTCCACGTAATTTATAATTTTGCCGAAGTAGGACATTTTCTCTCCCTTCATTTTAAAAATTTCACAGACCATAAGAAGCAGGCCCAAGACCAAAATGATGATGTAAGCAGCCATGTTCACCACAAACCAAGCATTCCCGATTTCTTGTAAAGGAGATACCTTGAGATGGAATTGTGGATGTGCAATACCTAGAAAACAATTCAACACCTTTACATTACTAACAAAATGCACACAATGCATAATGACATTTTTTGACTTAAAACTTTCGTGACTGCAGGAATTCATATACTTTGTTCTTTCGGTAAAGTCACGTAGATAGAAAATAATAATAAAATAATAAATGAAAATAATAAAAGCAAAAAAAACACCATAAACATTTTACTTAAAAATTGCAACAAAAAAATGAAAAATACATTGAAAATAGTTGAAGAAAAAAAACCCACGACGTTTCGATCGCAACGCCAAGCGGTCTTCATCAGGCGGAGAGAAAAGAGGAGGCAAGCCTCCAAAATGTAACTGCTTATAAGGGTTCCAAAGTGAGTGAGTGGGGGGACGAGAGCAGCGCAAGCAAAACGAGCTGCAAAGCAACACGCTAATGCAGGAGCAAAACAAAGGGGGAGTTTGAAGGAGGTGAGCTTGTGCAGCGCAAACAGAATGGGTGGGGCAGCCAGTCAGCCAGCGCTGAAGTCAGAGCAGACAATGGGGAGGAGGAAGGGGGCAGAGGCATGGGGAGTGATAGGGGGGGGGAGGGGGGGGAGAGATGGGGGGGGAGGGCATTGCACCTCGCTACACACATCCACACTGCTGACGATAGAGGTTGACAAGGAAAAAGTCATGACCCAAAGTGGTTGATGACATCTTTCCAATGATTGCTGAGTTTAAAACCGTCGTCTCGGGTGAAATTGTGTTTGTATATATGGATGGCTTCGTGAACGAATCTGTGTTGATAGCCAGTCGGCTTGCAAAGTACCATCGTCTTAGAGAAATCAATTTCATGTGAGCCACCTGTATTAAAGTAATGATCAGCCACGGCAGAAGTATTGGTCCTAAATTTTGATTTAAAGCTTTCGTGACTGCAGTGATTAATATTCTTGGTTCAGCTGCTACTATGTCGACAAAATGTAAGGACAACCTGATTTCCAAATTTAACCTCTCCAACAAAAGGCCGGACCCACACCAAAAAGCTAGACGTTAACAAAGTCATAATTAATCGCAGTAACAGTTCTATTTCCAATGGTCTGAAATCCGTTTTAGCTAAAGGTCTAAACTTTGCAGTCACACCTAAACACATACCAGTTAATGATATCATTGCCCAAGTATGCGTGGCTCTCAAGGGCCTGAGTCACATCGCTGTAGACGTAGCAAGATCTGAAATCGCTGCAACCCTCAAAAACGCTAAGATGCCAGCTAGCAACCTCAGCAAAGATGAGAGATTTGAATTATATAAATTAAAAAAGAGGGATGACATTGTAATCCTCTCAGCCGACAAGGGCAATGCTACTGTCATCATGGATAAAATAGAATATAACAACAAAATTAAAGAATTACTCGACGATGGCAGCTATAAAAAAATAAAAAGAGATCCCACCAACAGCCTCGTCACACAAACCAACAAAGTAATTTCTGATTCAACCGCATTAATTGATCAAACTAAACAGTTTTCGTTGAAACCTTCTGCGGTCTGGCCACCAAGATTATACGGCTTACCAAAAATACATAAAGTAAATAAACCCCTTCGTCCCATCGTCTCTACTATCAACTCCCCCACCTACAAACTGGCTTGTTTTCTGTCTGCAATCCTGCGGCCTTTCACTGGAAAACCACCTCTGCGGTACAAAATTCTACTCACTTGGTTTCGACAATAAAAGGGTATTTCCCTGTCCCCAGACGACCTGCTTGTCAGTTTTGATGTAGTTTCCTTATTCACCAAAGTTCCTGTACCTGACACCATCGCAATCATTGAAGACTTGGTTCGTCAAGGACTAAACACTGAGGTACCCTGCCTTGTGAGACACTGCTTAACCAATACATACTTCACTTGGAATGGAACTTTCTACAAACAAACTGAGGGCACCCCAATGGGCTCCCCCCTATCTCCGGTTATAGCTAACATTTTCATGGAGAAATTTGAGACTGACGCCATCCAGACTGCCACTCTGCGCCCAACCTTATGGAAGAGGTACGTGGATGACACTTTTGTCATCTGGCCACATGGCCGGCCTGCTCTAGACCAATTCTTCGACCACATCAATTTCATACACCCAGCCATCAGATTTACCATGGAAGTTGAAATAGATGGCAAGCTACCTTTTTTGGATGTCCTAATTAAAAAGAGACCTGATGGTTCAATGAGCCACTCTGTCTACAGGAAAGCTACCCATACGGATGCTTATCTGAAACCGGATTCCCACCACCATCCATCACAGAAGAATTCTCTCATCAAGACTCTGTATCATAGAGCCCAATGCATATCCAACCAGGAACACATAGGCAGTGAACTCAAGCACATACACCAAGCTCTTAAGGCTAATGGTTACTCCGACTATACAATCCGCAAAACTATCACTCAAACCATGACGAAGGACCCTCTTGAGGAGCCTTTCAAAACCATCACATTACCCTACATTGCGGGGATCACAAAAAAGATCTCCAAAATCTTGAATAAACACAAGATCCAGGTCCGATTAAACACATTACATAAAATACGTGATCTGGTTCCGTCTGTAAAAGATGTGATTCCGGACATACAGTACCCTGGCGTCTACAAACTAAGTTGCCTCTGTGGTAGTAGTTACATTGGAGAAACCAAACGACATGTCTCGGACCGCATTCGTGAACACAAAGCAGACCTGAAACACGGTAGGACCAACACCTTGACCGTGGCAGATCACTGTTATAATTCAGTAGGCTCACATGACATTGACTTCTCCAAGACAGAGGTTCTTTGCAAGCCATGAGGCTATCCACATATACAAACACAGAGACAATTTCAACCAAGAAGATGGATTCTTCCTAAGCAATCATTGGAAGGATTTGATAAACCATTTTGCGTCGTAATTGATTGATCATGCTTAAGGTGGCTTTCAGACCGCATCTATTATTTTTCGTCTCCCCCCTCCTTTTTCCGAATATATATGGACTCATCCATTTGAGCAAACTGTCAAATCGCTCTTCGTGGTGCTAACGTTAAAAAACCGCCACTTTTCAAATTTTCTTGCTGTGGTTTCACACCTGATCATGATTGCTTGTGTTGCAGTCGAAACGTCGGGAGAATTTTATTGTTTCATATTTTTATTATTTTGTTTCCCATCTATGTGACTTTACCGAAAAAACCAAGAATATGAATCCCTGCAGTCACTAAAGCTTTAAATCAGGTGAGCTGAGTTAAGAACAGAAGAGGTGGTCTTACCAGTGAATGGCTGCAAGGTCTCCGACAGATATCAGGCCAGTTTGTCGGTGGGTGAGCCAATGGTGGAGACGATGGGACGAAGTGGTGTACCTTCTTCATGGATTTTTGGTAAGCCATATAGTTTGGGTGGTCTAGCAGCAGAAGGTTTTAAGGAAAACCGTTTGGTCTGTTCAATTAATGAAGCTGAATCAGTGATTATACTGTTCATTTTTGTAACGAGGCAGTTGGTGGGATCTCTAAAAAAATTAAAAGAGATCTCTCACCCACTCACTCTGGAACCCTTATCAGCAGTTACATTTGGAGGCTTGCCCCCTCTTTTCTCTCCGCCTGATGAAGACCGCTTGTATTGCAATCGAAACGTCGTGAGTTTTTTGCTTTTATTATTTGAAATTTATTTAAATTTTAAATTTTATTTTACTCATTTTTATTGTGGGTTTTTTGCTTTTATTATTTTCAATGTATTTTTTTGTTATTTTTTTGTTATTTTTTTTCTTTCTATCTACGTGACTTTACCAAAAGAACCAAGCATATGCATGATGACAGTCGTGCCTTTCTGATGTTTATGTGCCCATCTGAGCATGTTATTTTTATTTGCTGCCAGCCTGCATGCATTCAAACATATGACATTGTGCCATTAAAATGTTTACTCTATTGATTTTATGTGATTTAATGTGTGTGTGGTCGATAGTAGGGGAGTGGTAGCGTAGCGGCTGCGCCAACAGTCTGTTCAGGCTATAGGGGGATCTTTGTCTTTGATAGCAGGGTTACACACTCACCGGGCAGAGAGAAAACCAGAAGCAGATTCATATGGCAGAGCAGATTTGTGTTTGCGTTGAACACCGTGAGCTCTGTGACGAGTGCTGACGTGCGGGAATCTAGCCAGGAGTTTTCCTTCAGGTACGTGAGGGTGTCGGCTGCTTTTGCTGCATCATTTACCAACTCCACCAAGTAACCATCACTCCTGAGTGACTCTGCAAAGAAACGCCAAGCATAATAGCCACGAATGGGGTAAAGAGGCACCATTGTCCATTCAAAAGGTGGTACCACCACAGTATGCATCAATGTTTGTGGGATTTAAGCTGTGTCCAAGACTGAGTCATAATAAAATAATGGCCAGTCCCTATTCCTACTGGACCTTACATTTTTTTTGCAAAGCTTACAAAATCTTCGTGCTAAAATGCATAAATTTGACTTGCAGGCTGTCCAATTACAAAAAGGATTAATGTAACGCATTCGTCAATAACACTGCCTTAATATATTATTTTTAAAATTGCTGACATTTTAGGCAATGTCTCATGTACTAGAATACATTTGCGATTACCTTTTTTTGGTGAGTGTGATTTGCACCACTGCCAATGCAGCGTCACAAAATAATGAATGAAAAAAAATCTGTAGACTGTTTTTCGTATTTTTTTTCTATTTTACTGCCCTTTTATTGTTGAATGAGACATTACTAGGTGACAAATCCCTTGCACAATTAACCTTGTAGCAACTAAAATCCTACCAAATGTGCTTGAGGCATCCTCGTCTGGCATATTCTGGAAGATCCAGTATTTGTCTCTGTAATCTCCTCCTGTTGTGTTTGATGGTACCCAGGCCTCTGCATAGTTTTTGATGTCCACTACTGGTGGAGAGTGTTTAACATCTTGCAACATATTCACATACTTCATCTCAATTGGTCCTGCCACAATAATGCACACATTCATATACCAGCATGATTTAGTCCTTTCAAAAATTCAAACAACGCACTTACAATTTGGTTTTGAAATAAATGTGTCTCGCCTTTGCAATCGTCAATTGCAATCGAGTATGCACTTCAACAGTTTTAAAATAAACTATTGGTTGCCGGTAAAGGGAATTAGCATGAAACTAAGGTGTATTTTTAGACAACTAGGTCTATTGCGTTTTATAAAATAAACTTTTTTTTGACATTTTGTCGTGAATATATTACGTGGAATAGTAAAACAAAGAATGCGTAACCATTTATATTCTTTGACGAATAAAACAAATCTCGTGCAATATTACAGAAAATGTTAAACAGGAATGATTGAATGCATCGATATTTCAGGAAACTTTGCTTTAAAGTTGAACAGGAGTACATGTTTTACCTTTTGTGTATCTCAGCTGCCTTAGCCACACTGAGCCAACCAAAACCATCTCAGGGGAATGCATGTTGGACAGAAAGATGTTGGCTGTCTTTACATTGTTGACGCTTTGTTTCATATTTGGTAAAAGTGAGCCAAACATCCAGTCCCAATAGCTGGGGGCATCATCGATCTTAAGGAACAAAACGACATATGTCACCGCTATACGTAAGTGACAGTAAAATAATTACAGTGGAGTTGTGATGCCTTCATTATTTGAGAAATAATTTTCTATAAAAAACACCTGTGTAGAAATGACCAGGTCTAAAATTACTTCATTAACACAACATGCTGACTAAATCTGCACAAAGTTAAGTTCTGAAAGCAATGCTATTAATATTAGTACTATTTTATAAATAATGGTCACAGCATTACAAATACAATATTTACACTTCATACAAATGCTCTAATAAGCTGTGTACTGATGGTTTTAGTCCAGATCATATCCCACCTGCTCCCTAAAGCAAAGTGATGGGTACCAATCAATTAATTAGCACAGCTGGCTACATATGGTGCGAAAGAAGTTCAACATACATACATATAACATTCATATACCGATTTAGAATCCAAGTATCTTGTTTGTAAACATAAATATAAGGTTTTACTATACTTACATTTTCATATTTTCCCGTGATGAAAATGTTCTGCACATTTGTTTTGAAATGAATGTGAAAACCGTTCATGTGTGTGTAAGCGGCAAAGAACAATGCAATTAGCTGGAGGACATTCAAGAAGAGCTTGATGCTCAAAATCCTTTGCAAAGTCTGTCCAAAAATAATGCGTGCTGGGCTTTGAATAGATGTTCCTGTGTAAAGAGGAACATTTCAATGTATTTATTTGTTATTTATGTAGAGACAGTGCGCCGACTGGCGGCCATAAGGGCTAATTACGGGTGGGAAAACAGCACGCAAACAATAGAAGAGAGTATGCACACGAGCGACCACAAGGGGGGATATCTAGGCCAAGGGTCAAAGAGGGTATCTATCCGGAAGCTCCCAGAACTCGCGGGAGAGTTCGAGAACGAGATTCTGGGTGCAGTGGGGTTCGGGGTCCTAGTGGCCATCGCTGTCGTCATCGTCATTGCTGTCGTCTCTTCGTCACCGTCGCCACTATATAGTCAATCAGCTATATAGTTAGACATTGCCTTCATCGCCGTATAGTCAACCAGCTATATAGTCAGTAAGTGTTATGTTACCCTCTAACTGTCATTAAGTCGTAGCTGTAAGCTAATGATAAATAATAAAGAAGTCACATCCGTCAACTTTAAATTAGTTTAATTAGAGATTTAGTGCGATTTCTGTGCACTTACTTATTATGTATTTATTTATGACGCGTGCATGACCATACCAACTCACGTGCCTTTGGTGGGGAGGACGGCCCATGCCACGTCGCACGCCTTCGGTGGGAGTGAGGGGGACATTTTCTTTCGCGTAAAAAATCCCATAAAATATACTAAATGCTCAGGTAAATTCTTCACTGTCTCATGTTCCCCCCACCCCGATGCGTGCAGTTATTACTACTATACAGTCGGTACATCCTACGTCAATCTCGGCTCTGCACGAGACTAGGCCTCACCACGCCACTCTGTCAGGTGAGTACTTTGTGCTATAGAGTCGATAAATACTGCTATAGAGTCAGCATATACTACTGTAGTGATAGCAGGTACCACCACAGTCGGTATGCATTGTTGTAATCATAGCTGGTGCAACCAGAGTCAGTACACACTGCTGTTAGATTTTTAAGAGGAGTTTTGAAAAAAAATTAGGACCCGGGCAACGCCGGGTACTTCCCGCTAGTCTAATATAAATTCAGCACTCTTAAGGTAATATTATTCTTTACACGCAATATTAATATGGTTGTAGGACTCGGTGGTGCACATTCCAATTAAAATATACAACAGATTTCAGTGTCTGTTGTTGTGTTAAAATGTGTTATTGCATTTTTATGATTAAACAATGCGCATTATTTACAAAAAAACACTGCAGATTTGTAACAGATCGTGCTCAACGTACCTTTCGTTGTATTTGTTTGCCCTGCACCTAGAACTTCTAAATATGATTTTAATACCTCCGTGTTCAAAAATCGTGTTACCTTCTTCCACAGTATGTACTTTACAACTGCACTGAGGACATTCTGAGAGCACAATTTAAGGCACCATTTAGAGCATGATATGCAATACCACATTAAGTCTCTATAAACACTTGTATCTCAATTTAAGGTGACACGACATGACTTGCTTTTATGATTTCAAAAGTGATATCTCATTATAAAGTACAAATAATGAAGTCCACAAACCTAAGTTCTTGCAAGTAAGACTCACAATGTCTCAATCATATTTTATATTAAAACTTGGGAGCCAAAAACTGGTTAGCGGTATATATCAATTCTACCAAAAAAACATGGATAAATCTATCATCTCTATTTTAGGGGCCAACCAACCATGTAAGCAATTTGCATTTTAGAATATATTTTTTTTTATCATAATACAATCATAAAAACATCTGAAAAGGCGTTTAATGTAGTGAAAACATGTATTGAAGCTCTCACAAACCAATGTCTTTATGATATACATTAGTATACAAAACAATCAACAATAACAACGCTGATGAGAACAAGGAGATGATCATAATGTATAATGATGACAATTATGATGAAAACAACAGTTACAACTTTGATTACAATGGTATCCACAGTATTAATAAAAACAGTTAATATATCACGTCCAATTTGACATTCATTGTCCAAAAAGTGTTACAATTATTTGGTTGCTCTAGTTACTTAGAAGAACAGCTTTTGTCGTAAACATTAGCCTTGATTTATTCAATGGCAATACAATACAATTTGGATGCAGAAAGCATCACAATGTTACCACAGGATTAAAAGAACAGACTAGGGAGGTGTTTTTGTTTTTAAGTTTTACCTTTATGGGTTGGATCAAGGCAATAGACATAATGAACGATAAGAGGAATCGAATGAGCCACCGGTTGGCCTTCTCTGGGCCCCACTCCATGCTGTAGAGAATCGTGAAGAAGCCAGAGCTCAGGACAGCGAGAACCACGAGACACCAGGCTACGCATCTGCAGCCACCGGGCCAAGGGCCCCTCCAGGAGCTCTTCTGGCCCGGGGGCCGCTCACTCTCCGAGCGGCTGTTGCGGAATATGAGCACGACCACGAGGCTGACGGGCACCTCCACCAGGCTGCTGAGGAGGCTGATGAGGACGTCGGTGAGAGACAGCGGCCCCACCGCAACCCCACCTCCCGCCTTGCTGGCCGCCTGCTTCTTGCCGAACCACATGGCATTGGCCATCATCATGAGGAAGAGGAGCGTGACGCAGCAGGAGATACGATGCACGCGGGAGAAGTTGGTCTTGAATGGGCGGATGAAAACGGACATCCTACGGAGGGAAGTCGAGTGATGAGAGAGTATTATGTATCTAAACATATTAACCTTGTGCTTGTGAACTATCAATTGTGGCTTGCTGCACATGAACCCGACTATATCATTTCGTACAAATATCATTTGAATCTCGGCAGCAATCGCACCAACACAGGGTACACATTTCACACTCACGTGTACTATAAAACAGTGGAGCAAAAAATATGTGTATGTTTGTCTGGAGAACACCTAGACGGCTCCACCAGTTTTACTGAGTGCAGTGTCAATAGCAAGCTGATTATTTTCAGTTTTTGCGGACGACATTGAAATTACAAACAAACCCTTTAGCATAATAACAACGAAAATGTGGTTATTAGCCCTGTGATGATTATGCATTGCGCCATTTATAATAGCCCAAAACATCATCTTAAAATTATGAGATACTCGCAAACAAACAGAACCAGAATCTGTTTAGATTGGAGAAATCTGTTGAGCTATGAAGCTCTTTTTCACAGATGTCCAGTAGACAAGATACAAGAACAAAAATACAGAAAGACAAAAACACGAACGATAGAAGTCATACAAAATAAATAAATACAATAAGAAGGTATATAAGCACAAATTTCATAAGGACATACATTCCTACCGATTTTTCAACACTAAACGCAAGCTTGGGCAAGGCAGAAGAAAAAAACAGTCTCAGACCACACCAAGACAACACACAATCCCTCAATAAAATTGCACATTAAAATGTAACAATTGATACATTGGTGGAAAGGCACACATTTACAAATCGCATTTGCAAATGTGATTGCACGAAATCATTTTCAATGATAACATTACATTTAGTCTGGAAACACATTCAAAGTATCTTATTACCTTTAAATCTCCACATTCCTCCCATGAATAAATGAGAATATATCTTGACAAAATTATATCATTATTATGCAAAATTGATGTTATGCTGTATGGGTGGCCCAAATATTACATTTCTTGAGAAACTGGTCATTATATACAGCATGTATACACTTATGTGGATTTTTTTTGCTATTTATATTCTACGTAATTTTATTTTTTAAAATTATTCGTGACTTACCAAAGGTGATCTTCAGAAAAGTTGCTCTTTATTGCTCTGTTTGCCATCCACGTATTGCTAAACAAAGCAATATCTTCCTGGACTTTGAACGTCTTGCAAGAACAGTTAATGTCAAAAGGTAAAAGAGGGATTGAATTGTCACCAAAAAAATATCTGTAAAAAAAGGATTACTTAGAGTGTAAATGTTATAAATTTTCAGTATTTCTTCAACCTACTGGTTCCTATCACTGGAAGGGGCTACTTCTCTTATGCAACATCATCGTACACTGACATTGCACTTTGTTCAAGTACAAATGAATTGACAATGGAATCTGAATTTACATTTGAATGATCTAGATTTGAAGTTTTCGTGACTGCAGGTATCCATACTCTTTGGTTATATAAAATATATATATATACCTACGTGACTTTACCTAAAGAACCAAAGAGTATATAAAAATATATATACCTACGCGACTTTACCGAAATAACCAAAGAGTATACATTTGAATGACCTTAGTTTTAATACAAACTACACCACTGAAATAATACAGCCGAGAACCTGACACTGCAGTATTATTTGTTCTATTGCAGTTGCGAGCACACGCTCATTGCATTGTACTCACACTTCTTGATTTTCTTGATCAAACAATGACATTTTTCTGATGTTCCAGGAATCGCCGACATTGTCACCGTTCAGCCAAAGTTTAATGTGGGTTGGCTTTCCACAGCATTCAGGTTTGGAGAATATGAAGTTATATATGATTCCACTTTCATATGCCTAAAAAGGGTAGGTTAGAAACATTTTCTCGTTGAATTGACATAATTTGTTTGACATGCACCTGTAGCGCAATGGAGCAAGTAGAGCACTTAGGTTTGAACTAGGATTGTTAAATGATAAGCAATAATCCGGTAATCGCTTTCACAATAGATTACTGGAGCCGATACACGATTCCAGGTGGAACTGCCGTAATGAAAGCACCACCGGTTTCACTCATCTCTCGGTTACTATTTAGGAAACGTTCAACTGCCGCACAGGGACCTGGACATGGGCAGGCTACCTCTGAATTGCAAACCCAGCATGTTAACATTTACACCACGGTGGCAGCTCCCATCCCTCCTTAGTTAGGTAATAATAGTGTTGTAGAGGTTTGTATTGTTTTGACTGTGTGTGCGTGGATTGTGAATGCGCGCTTGATTTTGGGGGTGATCATCTTCGGAGTGGCGTGGGTGCACGGGTGGCAAGGGTTAGGGAGAGGGTAGCATCATCTGTACAGTTGCGGAGCGGGAGAAGCTTGGTGTGGTGGCTGAGGAAGGCTCGGTCCGTAATTATACTGCTCAAGTCGAGTACTTTATGTTTGAACTAATTCACTAACTTATTTTATTTGACAAGGTAAGGCCCACTGAGCAATATTGCTCTTTTTCAGAAGCGACCTGGCCACAAATGATAGTTCAACGAAGTGGCTTATCACGTGGAAATTTATACCAGCCAAATACTCTAAACGCATGTTGTTTCCAAATTTGGAGGGTAAACCAGGAGGAAAAAAATCCACGGGACTACGGGAAGTACATGCAAACTCCAAATATACAGGAGTCAGGGTTGGGGTCGAATCCACGACCTCCTTTGATAACAGGTGAAGTCGTTGACATCTGCGGTTGTTTAATAAACCCTCGAGGCATTGCTATATGTGTGTTTTCACGTGGTTACCGGGAATGCAAAAATCATATTTTAACAACCCTAGTTCAAGCCAAGTATTACCCCGTGTGGAGCGGGAGCTGCTTGGTAGCAGTGAGAGTTTTCTTCTGCAAAAAAGACTAAAACTATGCATTGAAAATTACCTCTAATTGTGGATGAGTGAGCTGTCTTTCTCCTAATTCAATGTCATCAAAGTAGAGGTTGAAGTAGACACTCGATACTACTTTTGCATCATTTGTCGTTGCTGTTGCCATTCGTAACAATAACAGGCTCGTGTAGTCTTCATTCACGTCTTCGATGTAGATAACTTTGCTCTGAGGGGGTGGCACCACAGCATCGTGCAAATATAGAGAATGACATTATTAATTTATTAACTTCAACAGACATTTATATCCATCGAAATCAAGTACCATACCAGTAACAGAGATTAAATTATTGACTCACATCTCAGAGTTGCTGAAATAATCCGCATTATATAATGTACTGGCTGAGAATATGCGTATGGCCTATTTTTTGTGGTTATCCAAAATAGTTTGCGGTATTGATTTACTTTTAACTCTGCATGGCATTAAGTTCACACGCCTTTGTTAAAGGGCATAATTATGTTTAATAATATTAATAAGTATGCATGTCGATGGAAACTAGCGGCTTAAAGATTGTCCCCTGCCCCTAAAAAGTAATGTAACGAATTGTCATTTGGGTTTGTGATTTGTTTAAAGAATTGCAAATTTGCTAATAATGTGGCGAGTAGAAAAAAAGCTAATGACTTGCATGGGTCATGTGAATCGATTACTTACACCACACCAATAATTATACCCACAATACATGTGTAATGAGAGAGCGCCATCTAGGGGACGACGAGAGGTATCTGCATAAGCCGCCACTGGGTAGCTAATACCCAATGGGAAGTGTGCAACAGAGTGTAAAGCAGGATTACAACTTTACCTTCCGTGCATCTCTTGCGTCTTGGTTTCTCGCCCACAGCAGCACGATGATGTAAAGCAAGACCATGATGGTGACGGTCGCAAAAACGGCGCCGTTTGTCTCCAGGTTGAACTTTGTGAACACCGTTGTAAAATCGATCATGTTTGGCGTCAGAAACTCTGCTGCGACGAAGACGTTTTCTTGGATGAAGTCCAAATGTCCATCTGTCTGGTTCCTGCCAACTACACAGCTCGTCACCTCCCGTCTGGAGTTGGACTCAACCTGTTCAGAAAAAATATTTCAAGATCACTGCACATACATATATTCCAATATAGGCATCCCCCAATTAACCCATTTTTTTATTTTAATAATCCGAGCGAATATGCAAACGGGGGGCAGCTGATGCTCCTGATGTGTTTCCCACAAATAACCATGTGTACATTGCAGACGTGGTGCTATGTAAATAAAAATAAACGTATTTTAATTGCTGTTGGTGAATGGTTGTCGTGTTTCTTCATGGTCCACTGGGAAAAGCACGTTGGTAGGCAGTGTCTACTACCTCTTCGTGGTATTTGTGAGCAATTAAATAAGGTAGAAATGTGAAAACAGGTTTATTAACATACCTCTGTAAAGGAGGAGTTCCAATTGTCACTGGTGCTGTACCTCCATTTGCAAGAAATTTGCCGTATAGTCACTTCCACAGTTTGATTAATGAGTGTGTAGTTACGACCTACAAAATAACATGCATATGATCGGTGTGACAATTGCAATTCTGTACTTGTTCCGTAAATAATTGGCGCTGTATTGAGTTTAAATGAAAAGCTTACCTGTATACAAAACAGCAATGTACAGCGCTCCTTGCTGTGTTGAATTACGAGCGATAAAAAATGAAGGCCAAGTGAGAAGTGTCGTTTCCGTATTATTTTTCTGTTTGGCATCAATTGCCCTTTTCTTTAATTTTCTCAGTTTGCCACTGTTTGATGATTGTGAGCTGGCAGTGAAGCGGTAGTCATAAAGCTGTGGATCAGACTCCGGCTGTTTTCCAAACCGTACAACGATCTCTGCTTCATTCATAATTTCACTGGTTGACGTGATATCCAACATAATGGGCATGCTACTACTTTCAGTGGCAAACGCTTTACTTTCCATTGTGCCATTTTTTGTATTTATTGGTAATGAAATCTTGTGCCCTACAGTTATTTTATTTTTCAACTTTATTAATGCAGAGGTGGTATTAATTACTTGTTTAGCCATGCTAATTTTGAAGCTGACGACTGAACTGTTTACAGGAGAATCTTTATTCCACACAAATGGGTTTTCACCGAAGGCTGTTACCTTAAAAAGAGAAGAAATCTGTATAAAAAAATCTGAAAGTGAAATGGCAGGTCGTACCAAACATGTGCTCTGAGGGAATTTACACCGCGCTCTAAATTGTGCATCACACACTTGGGTTCTCGCTCCATTGACGCCAACACACATACAAATATTTTCTATCCATTAAGGCTTCATGTAAGTATTGTGGTGATGATAACTTTGTTTTTCCATAAATTCTTACCATGACATTCACTCTGCCCCTTTGCCTGATGAAAGTTAACGGATCATGCACAATGAGTGAAGCGCTGCTCCCATCCGTTGTTTGCCAGCTTGCGTTGAGAAGCGTGGTGCCAGAAACAGTTTGCATTACGATGGACACGTTTTTGAAGCTCAGTGCGACAGGCTCTTCAATTGGCACTGATTTCTTACTTTGTATTTGTGCTATCAGCAATAGCGATTGGTAGATATCATCAAAAGACTTTTTCTAAAAGAAAATAAATGAATTATGAACAATCCAACATTATTGCATAGACATTTAAATACTGGCCAAGAATTATTAGATAATGTATCAAAATTTAGAGAAATAAAAAATAATTTTAACCGTTCGGATAGCTACGGACTTAGTGCTGCTTAGCAGCGAATAATCAAATAATACATTTTAAATGCATGTATATACAGGTCACCGTTGAACAATAACAGGCAGGATTTTTTAGTGCACACAATCGACAGGAGGTACAAGAACAATGGGCTTGCATAATGCGCATGCATAATGTACGGTGATTACCATATAAATAACCTATACTGCAATGGATACCTATTGTCATTTATATTCATTCATTAATCTGACCCCCCCACTTCGCTCGCTCAAGACGGGCTCACAAGTGATGCCATCACATCTACCCCTCTATTTAAGGAACGAATCAGGAGGATTTCTCCACGAATCTGGCTGTCGCCTGATGAAGTTATTTGTAATTACTGGCGAAACATCATACTCAGATTGTAAATGTTGTGGCTTTGCTCTCCAGTAACGAATTGGCATGCTCTGTTTACGTGGCAAACTTTACTAAATTGGCTGTGTTGGGTGGTGGTGGGTTTAACGACACATATTTACACGATCTAACAAAAAAAACCTGTGTTTGGACATTTAAATAGTGCATACAAATCTGTTTGAAAAATACATACCATATTTTAGATCTTTTTAAAACGAAACAATAATAATACTGTCGTAATAGTAAGGAAACACATGCAACATATTTCGGCGGACATTGTATTTTTGTCTGATTTTAGTTTGGTAATGTTACACAACTTCAGCTGTCCAGAAGATAATCTGCTGAGTTACAGCATTCTCAACACTACCAACCATGCCCAATTATATCAGTCAAACATGATACCCACTGCATGTTTAGACAACAGGTGTCACCTTTCACAATTGGAAGTTACAAATTTAATTAATGGTTCAGCTGAGCCCTCTGTCCCTCTGGGGTGGATAAAATTAGTCATTCTTTCAACTAAGTGAGCAGTGGTTAACCTGAACATAGATTCACCCACACCATGGGAAGGTGATAAGCAGGAGGTGAGAACTGCCTCATGGTCAACGGTGTGGCAAACGATTTTTAATTTTAATGAAAGTCAACGTTACACTAGGCTGGTTATTGTTATTATTATTATATATTTTACATGTAATTCCTAGAAATGTGGGGAACTGTTATTTTATAGTAAGTTGACGAATTTATAGCACAATTTTGTGAACAAATCTGTGGAGAATAAAGAAGTGTCAATTGATGCACCCTAAGATAGCCAAATAACCTGAAATTCGCGGATGACATAGATCCGATTAAAGAAAGCTGAGTAGTATTGCATAAAATTGGTCATATGCTGAATAAGTCAGGAAAGGAAGCAGGACTGAGGATTGACGTGGAAAAGACAAATACGATGGTGTTCGGAAGGGAGGACATTGAGAAAGGAGTAATAGAAAGTAGCAAGATTGTGAATGTAAAGGAATTTGTATACTTGGAAAGTCTACTAAGATAGGACAACGACTGCACAAAAGACATAAGAGCGAGGATCGCAAAGGCAAAAGGAGTAATGGCAGGATGCAATAACATATCAGCTGCAAGACTAAAATGAACATCTTAAGAACTTGCATATTCAGTACAGCTTTGTATGCCGACGAGACTTGGACATTAAACAAGACTGACAGAGATATGAATATATGCTACGGACATTTCATATGAAATGAAAGTGTGATAATCAACACACAAATGTATAATCGGTGTGGATGAGAATGCAGTACTGTAAAATAAAATATAATGGCGATAACACATTGTATTTCTACAGTAACAGGGTACAAAGAGTTTAATAAATACAAGCAGTAGTTTGGGGCTTCTGGTGATATTGTGCTATTGAACTTGACTTATGAAAAGACTTACCAAATATGAATCATTTTTAGCCAAAGATGACAATGTGCTATTAACGTCATCTTGGGAATTAAAATGTGCCTGAAATGCATTTGCACTGATTCTAACCATCGCTGTGAAATATAAATGACAAAAGTCAGGTAAAAAAAACATTATTTTCACAATCTAATATGATTGCAATTAAAATCATCTTTGAATAAATGTATAAAACTTACAGGTTTTACGTATTGTTCATGTCAACAATTTGAATGGCATTAAACATGTTGAATGCATGAAAAGCACCTTCAATGGTCTGCCGAAGAGCAATTTTCCCAATATTTTTCATGGAATTGATCTTTTTCAAAAAATATATTTCGGCATTTAAGAAGACAGCCTAAACGGGAACAAGTAATTATCAGCAAAAATCATGACATTTCAGATAAAATAATTGTATGTCTTGTTTCTGCACCTGTTCTACTTGTACAGACCTGGTCTTCAGGTTGAGAATTCTGAGCCATGGAAGTCAAAGATAAAGCGTATTGCAAAACTGAACTTTCATTCTGCATGCTGAAGTTGGATGATAATATTGCCTTGGCAAGCTCTGCTATAAGCTAAGGAATACAAGCCGCAAACACGAGTTTAATACACATTGTGGAATGCAACAGGTTACATTTCTTGAAAAAAATTTCAGCATCAAAACACAATATACGGTCAGCTTAAGTTATGTAAAAATGTACCTCTTTTCTTTCTGTTTTATTAACTACATTCTTTAGAGTCTCTGTTGCAGTCAATATGACCCCAAGCAAAGTGCCACTGCTCGTATTTGCCATCTCCTGGATTGCACCTCCTGGCGCTAGCATCTTGTGGATGTTGTCTTTCAGTTGGTTCGGTGGAGGAGATGTCACCTGGAAATAATAAAATTGGCATTCATCACCATCTCAATATATCCCCAAATTCTGAGAATTCAGTTTTAAACAAAAGACTTTCATTTGAAACACATGTACTCTATTATTCTCTATTATTTGGGCACAAAGTGTCCGTGACATTTACACACAAGTAGATGACTAGTTGGCTCACACCCTCATCTGCTGTACTCAAGCTATGCTGCTGCCTGTGCACGTATTTGATCCTATGCTTTATTACCTTCACTCAACAGACAAGTTTAACCTCCATCAGCCCTGCCCATTTTTCCTTAGGCCCCGCTCCTTCCTGGTTAGGCCCCCATTAGTCTTTCCTCTTTTGGCTTCGCGGCTATCATTTATAAGCCCCGCCCCTTTTAGGCCACGCCTCGTTCTGTTTAGCCCCCCCTTCCCCCCTTGGACAAAGAATCGGACTAGTTTGGATATTTGTGAGGGTCGGGTGGCTGTGAAGACCAAAATCCCACTTCGAGCAACCATATAAAAAAAATCACAATTTTCTCGAGCAAGTAAACAAAATAAAACATTGAATGTCAGAATTGTCCCACATCCGGAGAGCCTTTCTGCTATTCATTTTGTGATTAGGCCTCAACTTCACAGCAGTACCTTTATAAAAGTGTTATTGAAGAATACATTCTTAAATCGTAATTATTACATTTATAGCCATTAAGTTAATAGGTGTCAACTAGACTTCTAACATGTTAATTAGATATAATTATAAGTATTTTGAAGAAGTATTTTCCCATGTTTTCATTCAAGATAAAACCTAGGGTCACGTTGGCAACCACTGTTTCTTAAGCTGTATCATTGTTGCGTGATGTATGCTATGTATGCTGTGTATTCATTGTGGGTGGAATAATTGTGAGCGCAGATGGGGGTTTTGGGGTGGAGGAAGGACGGTGAGGTGGTGTGGACGTGTTACGTTACATGTGTCTGGGGGCGATGTGCCATTCTGCCTGCATTGACGATGGATACGTGATAGGCCATGCAGAGGGCTGTCAGGTGGCATGGTATAATGTGGAAGCTTTGGAAGTCAGCACTTGAAGCGGTGGTCGTGCGTGGAAGGGATGGTTAGGGAGGGGGGATGTTTGTGTAGGTGGTGAGTGCACTGAGGGGCACGACTGGGATGTTCCGCAGTCAAACGTATTTTATTTACCAGCTTGCGAAAGAAGTTCAAAATACATTAATTACGCAGGTATAAAATAAAATAAATCACGACATTTCGTGCACAACACAAGCGTCCGTCATCAGGAGGAAATGCTGTGGAAATGCTTTCCCACCTGATGACGGACGCTTGTGTTGTGCCCGAATCGTCGTGATTTATTTTATTTTACACCTACGAGATTTTACCGAAAGAACCAAAGAGGATGGATTCCTGCAGTCACGAAAGCTTCAAATCAAGATACATTCATTATTTAACAATAGCTAATGGCCAAAAACTAAATATAATACAACAACTTGTTTTTTTCGTTCTTCATGACGTTTCAAAGAATACTTGCAAAACAAACTACACATATCCTTGCAATGTGAAGGCAACTTCTTGAGACGAGCGTTGTCTTTTGTGCGCCGAGTAAACGTCGAGAATGACTCACATGTACAGGTATTGGGAACGACGAACAGGATCCGTAAGGGTTGCACACGATCACTTGAAGGTCCAGCAGCCCTTGAGAGTCCAGGTCTCCCGCGGGCAACAGGAGTTTGGGCGACATATCCGACTTGGTGTTGAGCAGGTAGTAATCAACGTTGCCCGACTTCGCTGTATATGAGTACGACAAGTTATTCCTTCCGATGCCTTTCTGAGACCAGTTTCCACATGTGAGTTTGAAGAATGTGACTCCTGCCAAACCTGCAGAAAACAAACTCACATGACGTTCCATGAACTCTGTTTTAGTTTTGGTTGTAATTATGCCTCAGCAATTGCACAGTTTATTACTGTTCTGGAAAACAATAATATCATGTGTTAGTCACCAATTATTTGATTTAAATGTATTAATTCCATTACAATAAGCATGCTCAATGCATGGAAGTCTACATGTGGCTGTTGCATGTTGTTGTATGTTGTAGTGGTACTGTAATCAGTCGTGGGAGACTCGTGTTGTTCCTGGTCATGGACTGTTTAAGTGTAATCCATACTGAAAAATGATTTACATTCACATTGATAAAACAAAAAAATACCTGTTGGTGGGTCACTTGTACAGGAGCCATTGCTGGGATAAAGGCTCGTTGTAAACCTGTACATGACTTCTGCCATATTTCTGTTTGGGACTGTACCCGTAACGTTGATTTCGAATGTGTTTCCTTCTTTCAAAGCGTGTTCATTAACCACTATGCCTTCATTATATATACCTTGAGAGGGAAAATAAAATAATTTTACACACATCTAATAGAGTATGAATACTGATCGCTTCATGTGTGTGTTACTTTCACAAAAACGTTACGTATATAAGCATTTACTATATATACAAAATATATCTTAAAGCTGCTCTTAGTTGCAATGATAACATGGAAGGGATCATGTAAAATATAATTAATGGCTTAGAGAATTATGGATGGATTTTAATGCACGAGATATTGATAGTAATTATAGGTTGGCTAAATTTATAATATAATTTGTAGTCAACAAACATATTTTAAATTAATGTTCTGTAATGTATTAAATTAGGGTATTATGTGTTCATGTATTTTATTATGACCTAATTTCCATTCTGTAATCAAAACGATTTGCTGATATTAAGCATATATTTACGGGACAAAAATTCCCATAATTTATGTTTTGTAATAAAATTGTATATATTTTTGAACACTTATATATGACAAATGTCAGAGATAATTACCTGTAGAAGTCATCTTTATAAAATAAACATCTGATAAATTCACCATTTTCCAGTGGTAGGTAATCACATCATCAAAACAGTTCACGCAGTTGACTAAAAGTACCAGTGGCATTGGAGAGGTAAATTTACGATCACAATTATCAATACACCTGCAAAAAAAAACACTGGAAATCTTTAAAAAGAACAATGCACATGTAAATTATATTACATTTTTAATAACCAGCCCATTCTACGCCACAACCATGTTAGCATTGTTGGGATACTTTAGTTCATACATACATATGTAGTGAGTCCAACTGAGTCGCAGACGTTGTCTTGGGAGCAACACTATTTATTTCACCAACTCAACATAACATAACACAACCTACACTTGGATGTTGACTGCCCATCTAGCCACGCTACGGCAGAATTAGACACGGTTCGCAATCCCGGTCCGGACCACAAGCTGGGTCCCGGACCGCATGGCTAGATGCTTCTTTAACCCGACGTGGATCTTCTTCACCAGCAACCCGAAGAACCTCAAGCCCCTCACGGGGCCCCCGTTATATCGGCCTGGGCTGGGGCTGGCTCCGCCCCTCGCCCCGCCCACCTTCTAGATCTCCCGAAGATTCCCGAGAGCTATTTTATACCACGTGAACCCCCAGTGGCCCCCGTCCACCGGTGCCCCCCCTCCAATATCATCCGGTCACATGTCAGCAGGTCAACCAGCGTAGCATGCCCCAATGTAACACTGGCTGGCACTCCCTCTCGCTCCCTCCCTGGGAGCACGCACCGCACACTGCATGTGGTGCCTCCGCGCTGACCAGCACTCACCCAAGCCCCGCTAGGGCTGGTACTACACCCAGAAAGCGGGCTACACATAATGCCAACACATTATCCCGGCACCACACAGTGACAATCACAGTCACTACACATCTGTAGTGACATAGAATCGGTCACTTAGCAGCATAGCGCTTGTTGCTGGCAGGGAAGGGGATCTGCAGTTACAGCAGCCCTGACTGACAGCAGGTCACGTGACAGACCAGAGAGAGGGATGTAGCGGAAAGGTAACAGAAGGGGCGCGTAAAGGAAGCCCAGGAATCTGCTAGTAGGTTCTAGAAAGGAGGCGTGGCCAGGGCGGAGCGAAGCCACGCTGGGAGGATAAAAGGGGGCCCCGAGCTCCCGTTCAGGGCTGTCATTTGGAGTGGGATCCTGTCGTGCTGCTGGAGTCTTCGTCGCCGTTTACGTCTTCACCATCTTGGCGTCATCAGTCAGGCAGTCTGCCAGCTGTCCTGACTGGCAGCTATAGTTACTTCATGTAAGCTGTTAAGGCTGTCAATAAATAGAGTGCCTCCTACTCTTAGTGTCTCTGAGTCAGCCACTATATTTGGAGTCAAAAGTATTAAATAATTATTCACTGTGTCCAAGTTGGCCAAGATGAAGATTCCAACTATTGTGTCCTCGGGTTAAGAGGACAATGGGGATGTGGTCCTGACAGCTCCGGAATCGAGAACCCCGGAGATTGGTTCTGACGCGGCGATCCCTGCGAAGCAACGTGAAATGGACGTTGACTCCTCGCTGCCGCCGACTGGAGAAGGATGGCGCGAGCGCAACGTACGACTCGTGAACTTGCTCTCTGATGCAGCAGAGCTGGTTGCCCAGCTCAGGGCTGCTGCGCCTGCCGAGGATGCTGCAGCATGGGGGCATCGGCCGGGCAGCTCGACCGTTGCCATCAGCCAAGTGCGAGAATCGGCGGAGCTCCAGCCCGCGCAAGCGGCCGCCATTTTGCCCGCCGTAAGCGGGGCGCCAAATTCGGCCACCATTTTGTCAACTGGGCGGAAAATGCGTCCCGCTATATTTGACTTGCCATTGGCGTCTTGTCCGGAGGTGCCTTCTCTTCAAAAGCGGCTGCCGTAAGTCAGGGAATTTGTGGCTGCTAGGGGCGACTGGACTGCTTTTCAGCGCCATTTCGCCGCTGCTTGCGCCCCCACGGGATGGTACGACGAGGAGGCGCTGCGGGCTCTCCCCACCACCTTGGACAATGACTCCCTGGTGACATTCTATGCCATGCCCACAGCAGGCAGTGCGACGCTGCCTCAAGCTTGTGCCTAGACTGCTGCCATTTTTGACCCACCATCCAATGCGCGTCGGAAATTTGTGCTGTGAAGATGGGGGGAGACCGAGACGACCCCTCACCTTTCGCAATGCGCTGCTGTGACTGGGCCATGCTGCATATCTGCGGATGGAGCAGACGGCGCTGGAATCTCTGGTGCTGGAGAGTTTGCTGTCGCTGGCCCAGGAGATGGGTGTCTCTCTACCTGTCAGGGAGGAAGACGACTTGACATCGTTGAAGGTAGCCCGATGCATCCAAGCCCATTTCAACTTACAGCGGTGGCCCGGGGTTGCCGCCTGCACGGGGTCCTCGGAGGACGAGGACGAGCCGGAGTGTCAGGAGCCAGTGCAAGCCTGCGCTTTATTCGTCAGGAGCTCGCACGGGAAATATGGTGTGGGACGATGACGGGAGCGAGAACGACGAAGCAGGACCCCTCCTCCAACGTGAAGTTCCCTGGTCACTTGCTTTAAGTGCAGCCTGCGGGGCCACATCTCCAAGGGATGCCGCGCCAACCCTGGATCGTTCTCGTTGCCTTCGCCATCTCCCACCCTGTTGACCTCCGCTTTCCAGGCCCACAGGCAAGTCGTGATGCATCGGACACTCGGACGCCACAGTCACTTCATGCATCTCCCTCTCTGAGCATGTCGGGTTCTCACACCATCATCTATCATCATGTCACGGCATGCGAACGCCGGACTTCAGCGGGTGTCGCAGGGCAGTGGACCACGTTAGTGCATCATGTCGTGGCGGCGGCAGCGGGATCATCCGCAGTTATTGGGTTCGTGCAGGGTGTTGAGCTAAGGGTGCTCATTGATACGGGAGCATCTGCTAGTATTATTAAGTCTTTGCCATCGAGGTCATGTTGTCTTAATCCGGTGAATAATGCGTGTGTCGCCGCTAATGGCGGGAGTTTAGGTATTATGGGCCAGATATTGGCGAAAGTATGAATCAGGGACATTGAATTCGCAGGCTCAGTGTTAGTCTCTAAGACGTTCGCTGTGCCCTGTTTGGTGGGCACCGATTTTCTCGGAAGGATGCCCCTTAAGATCTTGGTGGATTAAGAGTGGAGGTTGGCATTTTTTAGGTCCCCGACTCGATTGAGAAGGGCCAACACCACAGTTCAGGCCCTAGTGAAGGAGACTGTCACGGTTCCTCCTGGTGCTCAGATGTTGGTGCCCTTGTGGCTGCGGAAGCAGCTTGATCACAAAGACACCGCTCGAGGGGTTCTTTTAACCCCTTCAAACAGAGCAGTTCGAGGTCTCACGTTCGTGGGTACCCAGACAATAGTTAGGGGGAAGCAGGACCCCTTTCTACAAGTGTTAAATGTTGGACTGGGTGCCGCGGTTGTCCAGGCAAGTACGGTTTTGGCCCACGCAATGGCCGCGTGTTGTGAGGGGGACAGCGATATGGCCACAGAGGTCGATGCCACAGTGGAGCGGGGAGGCAAGTCAGATGAGGCTTGGATGGATGTGCTCGGTAAATACAATTTTTAATTGTCCAGCGAGCAGCAGGGCATGTTGCGAGGAATTGCTCTGGGAATTTTCTGACGTTTTTAGTTAGGGGAAATATGATATTGGCCGCATGTCACTATTGCAGCACCGCATCGATACGGGTAATGCTGCTCCTATATGCCAGAAACCGTACAGGCTCAATCCCAAGGAAAAGGACCATGTTCACCAGGTGGTCGACGAGATGTTGCCCGCTGACATTTCCCCATTGTCCTGATTAAAAAGCAGGATGGAAGTTTGCGTTTTTGTGTGGATTTCCGCAAATTGAATTATGTCTCCGTGGTGGATGCATACCCACTCACACGGATGGACGACTCCTTGGATGCCCTGTCGGGTGCGCGGTTTTTCTCCACCCTCGACTTGCTGTATGGGTTTTGGCAATTGCCTCTGGATGAGAGTTCCAAACCTAAAACCGCATTTCGGACACCCCAGGGGTTGTTCCAATTTAACTTTCTCCCGATGGGACTTGGCCGGCCATGTTCCAGCGACTTATGGAGCTGGTTTTGGCAGGTCATCAATGTGACTCGTGCCTAATTTATTTGGATGACGTAATCGTGTTCAGACGCGCGTTCTAGGAGCACCTGCAGCGGTTGCGGTCAGTGTTTGTCAAGGTGCGGGCGGCCAATCTTAAATTCAAGCCAGAAAAGTGTCTTCTCTTGCAGACATCAGTTTGCTATTTGGGTCACATTGTCAACGAGTCCGGGATAGCCACGGATTCCAACAAAACTGCATGCGTGCGCACATCGCCGACCCCCACGTCGGTGGGTGAAGTCCACAGTTTTGTCAGGTTCATGTCATACTATCGCCGCTTTGTACCCAAGTTTGCAACGATCGCCAAACCGCTCCAAGCCCTCACCGCAAAGGGCCAGAGATTTTGATGGGGTGAAGAGAAGGAGGCTGCGTTTGTCGTGCTGCGCGACAGCCTCGCCAACGACCTCCCCTTGGGTACCCCGATTTCTCTCTGCCATTTGTTTTGGATACAGATGCCAGCGACACCGGAATTGGCGCTGTACTGTCAGAGGTAGTGAATGAAGTAGAAAGGATTATAGCTTACGGGAGCCATGTACCGTCCCCCGCAGAGCAGCGTTATTGTGTGGCACGCCACGAATTGTTGGCTATTGTGCATTTTGTACAGCAGTACAGACTGTACCTTTACGGTAGGCAATTTGTTGTGTGCACGGACCACGCAGCTCTTCAATATGCATTCCGAGTTGACCAGCTGTCCGGCCAGCTCTCCCACTGGTTAGAAATTTTGCAGGATTATTCCTTCACGGTCACCTACAGGAAAGGTGCACGTCACTGTAATGCATTGTCGTGGTTACCGTCGAGGCACCACTGTGCATGTTTGATGGGTGCTGGCCGAAGTAAACCTGTGGCTGCAGGATTGCCATGCCCTGTTGTAGCATCGGTTGATGTTTCACAACCCACGGCAACTGCTCCCTGTAACAACACGATTGGTCTCACACACAGGAATAGGGCCATCTCCAGGTGGATGCCTCCTTGTTGAAATTATGGCGTTGAATCGGAACGAGGGGTGGTAAAAAGGTGCCAGCGGAATGTCCCTCATAGTCCTTCATGATGGGCTGTTGATGAGGTGGGATGAGCAAGTGCAGCATTACTGCATCGTTGTACCAACTGCTCTGCGGGGTAGAGTTACACGGGCTATCCACATGAAGTTAATGCACCTTGGGGTGTGAACAACCTTGTTAATCCTGAAGCGCGGCTTTTTTTGGCCCGGAATGTCAGAGGATGTGTACCACATGGTCAAAGGTTGTGTTGAGTGCGCTCGCCAAAAGCCGAGGCAGGCCCGGCCACCGTTGCAATCCATCGAAGTGTCCCGTATTAACGAGCTCATTGCTCTCGACATCCTCGGCCCATTTCCCGCCACTCAGAGGGGAAATACATTTATTTTTGTCAGGGTGGAGTACCTGTCCCGGTGGCCGGTGGCATGGCCTTTGCCAGATCGGTCAGCCGCGTCCATCAAGGACGCATTCCTACACGGGTACGTTTGGGATAAAGGGGCCCCGGAACGTCTCCTTACAGACCAAGGTCATAATTTTTCTTCTAATTTATTAAAGGATGGTGTACGACTTCCTGGGTACTAAAAAGATCCGGACATCGCCCTACCATCCCCAGACTGATGGGATGGTAGAGTGCTTGCATAGGACTCTTACGTCCATGCTGTACCAGCAGGTTAACGAGGCACAGTCTGACTGGGATTTGCATGTTCCGGGTGTTCTGGCCACGTATAGGATGGCCCCTCACGCCTCAATGGGGTTCTCCCCCTTTTTCCTCATGTATGGGAGAGAATGTGATCCCCCCATGGAGGCTGAGTTAAGCATGGACCTGGGCAAAAAAGGTCGCTGTGCCCATGCCTATGCAGCTTACGATCAGGCGGCTGATGGAAGCGTGGGAGGCATCTCGGGGAAATTCAGCCAAACGGCAAGCCGCCAATGAGAAGCTTGTGGGACTCCATAAATCCTGAAACCCATGGACCCCTGGGGACAAGGCATGGTTGCATTGCCCCCAGGTGCCCCTGGGCACGTCCCCTAAATTGCACCGGCCATGGCAGGGCCCGGTTGAGGTAATCAAGGTCAGGAGGCCGCAGTGAGTATGTATCCACGTCGGTTGCAGGTGCTGGTTTGTACATCCGTCATGGCTGAAACCCTATCTTCCACCTTGTGATGTCGCTTCATCCACACAACCTGAGTGCTGGGTGTCTCATGTGTCCGGCAAGCCGGGGCGAATGGTCGTGGAGGGTGCACCTCAGCAGGATTCAGTTGTTTCGCCTGCAGGATCCCAGCACCTGACACCCGCGGGCCCACCGATGGTACCGTCCACAGATTGACCGAGGACAACGGAACAGCCATAATCTGCTTCCTCTCCTTCGTCTTCTTCTCGGGAGGGGCCGGTCCCGTTAGTACATTTACATATCTTCCCGGGGGTCCCCAGGAAGCTCATTCTTGTCCCGCCTGGGGGCCCGGTGATAAGGACCCATTCCAAAACTGTTAGATTTCGATAGCCCGCCCCTTCTTGTTTTGACCAAATTAGTTCCTATGCCGTCTGGTGGGTGGCTGCAGACATGAACCGGGCTGTGACTGATGGTTGATCTGGGGTCCTTTCCGATGCTCGTGGGCTGCAGCACGCTGACGGTCGTCGGACATTGTACAATCCCTGGGCTCCGGGTTTATTACTATGGGTTCTCTTCGGTAATTGTTAGTTATCCCTGTTGGGTTTTTATTGTTCTTGTTGTTTCCGCAACGTGGAGGATGGAGGTCAGCTGGGACAGCTGATTTTTTTTTTACGGGGGGGGGGGGGTGGGGGGGGGGGGAGTGGGTGTTGTAGTGACATAGAATCGGTCACTTAGCAGCATAGCGCTTGTTGCTGGTAGGGAAGGGGATCTGCAGTTACAGCAGCCCTGACTGACAGCAGGTCACGTGACAGACCAGAGAGAGGGATGTAGGGGAAAGGTTACAGAAGGGGCGCGTGAAGGAAGCCCGGGAACCCGCTAGTAGGTTCTAGAAAGGAGGCGTGGCCAGGGCGGAGCGAGGCCACGCTGGGAGGATAAAAGGGTGCCCAGAGCAGAAGCTCGGGGCTGTCGTTTGGAGTGGAATCCTGTCGTGCTGCTGGAGTCTTCGTCGCCATCACCATTTCGGCGTCGTCAGTCAGACAGTCTGCCAGCTGTCCTAACTGGGAGCTATAGGTACTTTCTGTGAACTGTACTTTCTGTGAACTGCTCTTAGTGTCTCTAAGTCAGTCACTATGCATACACACATACAAACATACTTGATGCATATTAGGTGTTGAGAGAATGTTGATATGCAATATGGAAGTGGAAATTTTATAAGACAGAGCTCTTTAAATGCATCTTTATGTAGTGTCACCTATAAGTAGGATCTGCAGAATACATCTACATTTGTAGTCCCATGCTTTGCTTATGTCATGCATTTATATTGTAAATGATGAACGCTAAATTATTCGGCTGTCATGCAAAGCCAAGCTGGTAACATGCATTTCTATAAAAAAGCATACTAGCTACGAACGATTCTGTCGTTAACTCAATCGTATTGTTTTTAAGAGGTCTTCCCTATTTTATTTTTGAATGCTGTACAGAATAACAATGTTTATACCCTTTGCTGTAAATTCGTTTTACATGATATACTCTCAGTGGTTTTATATTCAAAGCTTGGGCTATATAGCTCTTTTTCAGAAGCGACCTGACCACAAATCATTGCTCAGCAAAGTGGCTTGTCATATGGAAATTTATAGCGGCCAAATACTCGAAACGCATGTTTCTAAATGTGGGGGGAAAAACCGAAGGACCCGGAGAAAAATCCACGCAACCACGGGGAGAACGTGCAACCTCCAAATATACAGGTGTCGTGGTCGATATTGAACTGACGACCTCCTTTATATTAGGCGAGGTGGTTAACCTCACACCACCGTAGAAGAAGAAAAAAGTACACATTAGTTCACTATATATTGAAAAGAGGTTATAAAATACCTATTCAGCCTGATTTTAAAAACCGCAACATCAGCTGGTTTTAATGGTGCACTCCACATCAACACATCATGGCCATGTTCGCTACACCATGAACGTCCTACAAGCAGAAACATGTGATCCAGAAAATCCGTACTATGAATCCTTAAACTCGGACTACAAACCCACAAACCTTGGCTTTGAACCCACGAACCCGGATTAGGAACCCACAAACTAGTATGCAGTTGCACAACTGTACCTCTTACCTTTACTCCTCCATGTTTCTCATGGTTCTGCATTGAGACTTGCGCTGTGAATTGTTCATGTTAAAGTTTATTAGACATACCTTATGGCAATATCCAGAAAACTTCCTCCCTTGATTTGGAGCGCTTGCGTTCTGTTTGCTATGCGTTTGCCTTTAGTTGCTGTCACCTCAGCCAAAATAACAGCATTTATTTCCAGCTCAGACTGTGGGATTGATATTATTCCATTATCCAGTTCACTGAACTTACAGTTTGCCTTTACATTATTTTGAGATGTTTTGGTGCATTTCCACTGAAACACCATGCCCGTGTTAGACTGGCTTACATCATCGGGATCATACGACAGTTCAGATGCGTCGACTTCCACATCGGCCCCATTGCTAATGGTCCTGGTGTCTCCACCTGTGATGTACACTTCTAAAGGTGTCGGTTGAACAATGAGAGTGAAGTTGTCTGTCATGTTCATCAAATTTAATGGGGCAATATTTGCTGTGACCTCTATCAAGAAGGTACCTTCAGTAAAATATAAAGGTTCAAAGTGTTGTCTTTTGGGACCATACCAAGGCACGGTTTGAAAGTTTCCAGTTTGTAGGTCTTTGATGGACCAGATATAGTTAATGTAATCATATTGGACCAAGCAAGTCATATTCACAGTAGCTAGAAAGTTTATTGCTTCAGATATTAACAATAACCGTTGCTTATTGGTGCTAAGTAGATCATCTGTGAAAGTGACACTATAGGGAGTACATCCATATTGGTTTATAGTAAGAACTTGTGCGCTTGTGTTATTGCCATATTCACTTATTTCATGAACTACAACTGGGTATGTGCCATATGCAGGATAGGTGTAAGTGTACACTATAGGATCTGTGTAATATTCATATGTTGGAACATTCATTTTCAGCAAATTCGTACAATAACTTGGGCCAATTATATATATATTACCGTCTCCTACATCCCAGAGATAACAAGCAACGCAAAAAAATACATTCTTCAAGGTGAATTCTACATTTCTAGTGACACCCACTTGCTTGACAGATAATTCATTGCGGTTCGCTTTTGTACAACTTGAAAGGATTTCTATTCGGAGAGATGGGTACATATGCCATTTTTGGGGCACGATCTTTAAACCAGCACTGAAAAAATAATGGGAGAAAAATGTAGAAGTTGCTGTATCGGAGTCTGTGTTGCCAGTAATGACCTGCAAGCAATCAAAATATAGCACAAGGTGTGTTTATTTACAAGGATGCTCTAAAACGACATTAATACAATTATCCCACGAGATTTTTACAAATTTGACCATCGACATCACAATGCCAAGCTCTAGTTATTTTCGTTACATCTTGCCCGAATAATTTCTATATTCAAAACCTAAACCGTCATTCCTTATTGACATATGATTGAAGTGAAAGTCGCCAAACACGAACCACTGCCATTAAATTTTTTTTTAGGTGATTGTGCAAACAAGAGAAGCCACTAAGAGAGAACTAAATCGATTGATGAATACGTTTGCAAAAATATCAGTGAAACTGTAATTATGCAGTGTGGAAATTATGAAAAATGTATTCGGAGAAAAAAAAGTGCAAATATTTGAATTGCCACCTGGCTGCATACACATATGAGACAATACATTCAACTGTGAATGATTGTGAGACAACACCTGCCAATGTATACAGAGTGAAATGTTACCAGTGAAACCAATACCTATTTACGGTTTTTGTACACAAAGGAATGTTTACTTATGTATTTGTTTTCATAACTGAGAGAGAAAGACCTGATATAACGCTGTAGGATATGATAGCTAATGTTCATATGTTATATACAGCATTAAAGCAGGTGGATAAACTCGTGAAACTAAATCACCTCAATACAATCTTCAAATGCGCCAAGGAACCAGGCATACAATTGTTTATCAGCTGTTGTTAATTTGCTTGTTAAAACTCCCACCAAAGTGCGATCAAATTGTGTAAAATAACAGTAACTACCAGTATGCTTATATATGCAACTGTCTGACATTCATGAGTTAAAATATGAATTATGAAAAAAATACTAATAAAGCTGGTGTTGATCCTGAGCGGGAATCAATCCCGGGTCTCTGTTTCGTATCCGCGGTGCGCTAACCCCCCCTACTACCGCTCCAACAACCGACATTCACCACGAAGTAGCGGTGACGTCTCCACGGCGCTTGTGCCGTGCTAGGTGCATGCCCATTTCCCACATGCACACACAAGCACTTTCACACATCTTCTTTAGTTCTTTCGGTAAAGTCACGTAGAATGAGAATAAAATAATAAAATGAGACAATAAAATTCTCACGACGTTTCGGCCACAACACAATCGGCCTTCCTCAGGTGAAGAAACAGGTCTATCCAGGAAACAAAGCCCGAGTGGACCCCGTCACGTCAGGACTGAGTCTTATTAAGGCTGTGTGGGCGGAGTTGGGTTAGCATGTTACCAGCCCCCACCCGGGGCGGAGGAGGGAGGGGGGCTGGTGGAAACAAACACTGATTAATACAAAACAAGTGCCGCAGCCAAGGTGTGCCGCCGTGTACCGAGCTGCACCATGACATGCCATGAGGACCACTATGCAATACAATACCATACCTTCAAATCCAAACTGCATGTTATAACATAGACAAATTTCACCTTTGAATTATACAATGCCTTACTTTATACTACCCTATACTTCAGACTATAAAAAATATTAGACATTGTAACATTATACTACGTCTTATTCTATGAATCCAACTATATACCACACTAATGTATATTCACTATGCAATTACGATGCAATATCTTGCCTTATGAGTAAAGTTACACATTACAATGTTATACTATTAATTGTTATGCTCCATGTTACAAACCATAACATTAACCATGGTGTGAGAGGTATTAAGAGGCAATGCCAGCGGAAAAGGGGGGCTGCGGTCTGAAGGTCACCGTGAAATACAATTAATTAAGAACCGAAATGGTTTAAAACATCTTTCCAATGGTTACTAAGCCAGAATCCATCTTCTCGGTTGAAATTGTCTCTGTGCTTGTACATGTGGATGACCCCATGAACAAATCTCTCATGGTAGCCGCTTGGCTTGCAAAGAACCTCCGCCTTGGAGAAGTCAATGCCATGTGAGCCCACTGAATTATAACAGTGATCTGCCACGGCAGAGGTGTTCGTCCTACCGTGTTTCAAGTCTGCTTTATGTTCACGGATGCGGTCCGAGATATGTCGTTTGGTTTCCCCAATGTAGTTGCTACCACAGAGGCACTTTAGTTTGTAAACACCCGGGTACTGTATGTCTGTTTACAAACTAAAGTGCCTCTTAAAGCCTTTCACACCATGGTTAATGCTATGGTTTGTAACATAGAGCATAACAATTAATAGTATAACATTGTAATGTGTAACTTTACTCATAAGCCAAGATATAGCATCGTGATTGCATAGTGAATATACATTAGTATATTCACTATAGAATAAGACATAGTATAATGTTACAATGTCTAATATTTTTTATATTCTCAAGTATAGGGTAGTATAAAGTAACGCATTGTATAATTCAAAGGTGAAATTTGTCTATGTTATAACATGCAGTTTGGATTTGAAGGTATGGTATTGTATTGCATAGTGGTCCTTATGGCATGTCATGGTGCAGCTCGGTACACGGCGGCGCACCTTGGCTGCGGCACTTGTTTCGGATTAATCAGTGTTTGTTTCCACCAGCCCCCCCCCCTCCTCCACCCCGGGTGGGGGCTGGTAACATGCTAATCCAAATCCGCCCACACAGCCTTAATAAGACTCAGTCCTGACGTGACGGGGTCCACTCGGGCTCTGTCTCCTGGATAGACCTGTTTCTTCACCTGAGGAAGGCCGCTTGTGTTGTGGCCGAAACGTCGTGAGAATTTTATTGTCTTATTTTATTTTATTATTTTATTCTCATTCTACGTGACTTTACCGAAAGAACCAAAGGAGATGAATCCTTGCATTCACGAAAGCTTTAAATCCACTTTCACACACATACATTCCCCAAATGAGCACAGACATTGGATACTGACTTGCATACTACTAAACCTTTGTTCATCCACTTACACAAATATAATAAGGAATGTAAAATTAGGAGCGTAGAAACACTTGCTTGCTTAACTACGTACACACAGACGTAATATTTTGGGAGTGGTGGAGAATACTGTTTACTGTGGTAATTTATCTTTTGTTCGCATTTTTTAAATGAAAATAACAGATTCGCAAACAAAATGTGCACAACCTACACAAAACGTAAATACAAAAACAGTAACCAAATAATATTAAACATTATACTCTACTTAAAAAAGCATACTGTGAGAAATAATATTGGACTGTATTGTATTTTGTTTTATAAAAAAAAGAAACAATGGTCAAGTAGGGGCAAAAACTTACTGAGAGGAAATTGAAACTCCAATTCAATGTGGCTGGGTCCTTGATATACATGTTGCACACGTTCACCCAGCTAGGGATTGCTCCATTCAGCGTGTCCTGAGCTGGCACAGATCCTTGAAAAATCAATCCTGTGACATTAATTATGGTTTGGAAATCAATGATTATGTACTCAAAATTCGTGTAATACAATGGAGACCAGTAATCCACCGGGTTGTGCAATCGGGCATGCCAAGCTTTATGGGTGCCATATGCAGAAGATGCTGATAAAGCGTTGTCTGGTATGATGCCTGATTCCAATCCAATAGGACGCTTGTATTCTGAGGATTAAGAAATGCATTGGTTAACTTTTACAACATTCCATTGCAACAAAACCAGACGTTACCTCACCATACTCATTTGCAACTGACTGATATATAATTTCTCATTATAAGGCGAGTTTTTGTAACCATAAAGAGTGTTTTATTTACAATTACATTTGAACACACTTTGTATTTAAGGAAGGTCGATTATATATACAAATGGTTGACTTGCAAATTAATAAAGGAGGCATTTAAATTTTGATTTAAAGCTTTCGTGACAGCAGGGATTAATATTCTTGGTTCTTTCAGTAAAGTCACGTAGAAGGGAAACAATAAAAGAAATATATATAAAACAATAAAATCCTCACGACGTTTCGACTGCAACACAAGCAATCAGGTATGAAAACCACAGCAAGAAACTTTGAAAAAGTGGCGGTTTTTTCTTAACGTAATGTTTTATATTTTTTATTATTTTATTGTTTCCCTTCTACGTGACTTTACCGAAAGAAACAAGAATATGAAGCATTTAAAGTCCACTTTAAAGATGGGGAATAGAATATGGAAATCATAAAAGCAATTTAAATTCAAGCCTCAGAGTGAGGAATGAAAGAACACTTAGAATTAAGTCACAACAAAACTTATAATATAACGCGATAACAGAATATTTTTTTTCAGAATGCGAAATTCAATAACACTGTTCCAGTTAGTATAGGGAATATAACAAATACCCATGCCAAACTGGGTTTAAAGCCGTTTGGGATTTGTAAGGTGTTGATTTACTCAGCAGTAGCTCTCTTTTAACCAGCATTTGTCATAGAGGGAAACACAAATCTTCCTTCAAGTATGCGGACAAATTCTGACAGCTCTCTGACATCTTTCCATGCACCGTTCATATATCCGCTGTTGTTTATGGGAGCTTCAAGGACGCTGGCGAGTGGTGGTGCTAACGCGAGTCAGTACACACAGTACTCTATACTACTGTATACCGTACTGCTTCTCTACAATCAACTTAGAATGCTCCACAACTCACCAGTTAGTACCTCTGTAAAATAGTATATTATTTCAAATATTATAGTTAAAATGTAAGCTTATCCTATGGTTCTTTCGGTAAAGTCACGTAGATAGAAAAAACAATAATAAAAAATAAACATAAAGTGATTGAAAATATCACGTTTCAATCGCAACACTGCCGGTGTCGAAGCTTTCTCCAACATCAACATTAGCTGCCCCGCCCATCTCTAAACCTTAATAAACAGCTTACATTTTAACTATGATACTGTATTTGAAATAATATACTGTACTCTTTTACAGAGGTACTCAGAGGCTAACCTCCCTGTTCCTGATGACGACCGCTTGTTTTGCAATCGAAACGTCGTGATATTTTTTATAACTTTATTTGTATATTTTATTATTTTTCTATTTACGTGACTTTACCGAAAGAGCCATAGAATATTAATGCCAGCAGTCACGAAACTTTTAAGTCAAAATTAAATGTAAGCTTAGTTTATTTATTTAAAAGTTGAATGTACTTGGAAAATGTGGTGCACCATAAGTATAACTCTCAGATAACCGGCATATTTGATTAGGGGCCGTCCATAAATGACGTCACGCGATTTTGGACGATTTTGACCCCCCCCCCCTTCGTCACACGGCGTCACAAAAAGTCAGAACCCCCCTCAAATATGACGTCACAAAGCGCTACCCCCCCCCCCCCCTAAAAATATATAAAACATGCTTCAAATCGCTTTCAACTATTGTCATTGTAGCGCGTATTTAATGTGGCGCTGCACTCTGATGTTGTAGGAGAAAACATTTATGAAACAGTATATTTAATTAAGTAGAACGTGCTGTCTATATTTATTAAAAGTTGCGCATTTGATGTGACGTCACAAATGTCTGACCCCCCCCCCCCCCCCCAGGTGCGTGACGTAATTTATGGATGGGCCCTTAACCGGAACTCTCCATTCCCCGTGGATGCCAGATAAGAGACCTTCTTCTGTACTGTGCTCATGTTACTGTCATTTGGAGAGAAAAAAAATACGCATGCCAGTCCATAAATGTAGCCTATTTGTTGTCTAAGATATTTAATAATGCATTTTATGCTGATTGTTCTTTAGTATCACCCGTTGAGCCTTAAGCAACAGAAATGTACCCTAAGAACACTTAAGTGTGACATAATTTGTTTCTGAAACTTAGACCCATAGGAATCCTAAGGGTGCCTGCATCTTGGTTTATGGAATTAACTCACGTTCTAAATATTATTCGTATTAACATTACTAAAGTTGCATTTCTTGTAATATTTTATAACTCTTGTAATATTAAGTGTATTTGATATTATATATATTTATTAATAAGGCCATGATTTTGGTACAGATGTCACTGTGATCATGGAAATCATGAATTTGAATAAAGTTTACAATCTTGCGAATAGCTCTAGAAACACATTCGATCAACACTCGTTTATTTCCTTTCAAGAATGGGTACGCCATTTCTCGCTGGTTCGCCAAAGAGATTTATACCAATTTACATTATAATAGGACCAATTCAGTATTATTGTGACATAATATGTATTATTCAATTTCATATTTTCTTTACATGTGTACAAATTGTTTATGCTGTCTATATACTTGTGATTTTAAACAGCATACTCACCATCAGGATACATTGTAATGGAATAGTTTGCCATGAATATTGCATTACTCATCATTGGAACAGGAGTCAGCAGTTGCATATTCAATACATTGCTCATAGACATGAATGTAAAATAACGCGTATTAATACTTGTACTGTAGGAAACATCTTCATAAATAAAAATTGCATCAACCGTTGCCAAGCTGTATGGAAAAAAACATGATTCACAAATAGATAAAAAAATCAATCCGATATAACAGTGGTTTAGTGGATTATGAATAAAAAGTAAATAGCATATTGTGATCAAACATACCGTTTTGCTATGTTGAGGTTTTACACAATCTTATAATCTAAGTTTATGATATCCATTAAACCTACAAAGTTCTTGTAAGTGTATTCAGTAACTTTTAACTTAAAGTTTAAAGGAAGAAATCAATACCCAGCACACTATATGCACACATACTTAGACTGTGTATCTGAAGTCAGTAACCAGGACCTGTAAGCGTAATCATGAAGGAATTTCGCTTTAGATAATTAGAAACACAAGATGGGATAACAACCATATGGGAATTGGAAAATCAACACTTTTTATAACATGTTTACAAATGCGGCCTGGTAACTATTAAATAACTTCTATACATTTTGATATGGGGGACCGTATCGTGAATCATATTATCCGTGGGGTTAATTAAAATGTACTACACTTATCCACAGGGAATACAATTATGGATAATTGGATGAATTTCATGTGCACCACTTATACGTGAAAAACACCGTGGGTAATTGTATGCTGTTTCGCGGTAAAATCGTGAATGACGGCAGAAATAGGGAAGGAATAGGGCCGCAGATAATATGAGTTTGCATGTACCCCACAGCTCTTGCGGATAATATAGTTGAGGGTTATAGGATAACGGATGATAGGAGTTTCTCCTGTATTGCACCCCACAGAGGCAAAGGCATCCTTTAAATATGAGGCACTTTCTGTATTCGTGACAAAATTCTTACTTTGTCTTGTCCAAATTCAAGGGAAAGGATCATGAGCACTCTATCAACTTAGCAACGTAGCATGCGTTATAACATTGTATTGCAGTCATCCACTGTGTGTTGCATTATGTTAATCTTTATCGAAGCTTGCAAATATGACTTGAATTCTACTTAACCACTTCTGCAAAAAAAAGACTCACTCTATCCCCTGAGTAGGCATATTGCACGAACTGCCCACAAACAATCACAGCATTATCGATACAAGAGCATAATGACTGATCCATCCAGGTATAATGGACATCGAAGGCGATACGTTACTGAATATTAAATTCTGTCATTAGCACCACTGGCAAAACATTGCGGAAATAGACATTCGAATTGGGGGCTTAAGTTACCCATTGGTCAGACAGAACAGCCACTGATGATATATGGTTTGTTAGAAACAGCGAGCTTTGGATTGGCTTGGAAATTCAAACGCGAATAGGCGGGAGTTTAGCTGAGGGAAGATTCCAGAAGGAGGGATCGAAAGAGCATATAAGAGTCCGTTGGAGATTTGGGCCATTCTGCACAAGTTACATGACAAATTTTGAAAGTAACCTTGCAATAATAAAACTGCACTTAAATCAAAGTCGGTGATCAATTGTAGTTAAGACAGTCACCAATATTTTGTTTCACTAAATACATTTCCAATCTTTGTGGGAGATGCATAACTTCACAATTGTCGGTGTAATCCCATATATACGCGTAGCCAGCCGTATATGTGGGATTTTGTCCTTATATATGATCAATGAACAGCGTTGTGGGATGCTGTTGGCATGAATGACGCCACTTTATAAAATTATTAATCTGAGAGCAGCAACAAGCGTTTGTTCTGGTCATGCGGTGCAAGCACTTCAGGTAAACAGCCATGCTGGTTTCATGACTTCTGTACTTTCTCGGCAAATGTTCCACGTGGCATTGGGGGACGTCGTGATTGTTAGCAAAGATACATTCCTCACAAGTACATACGATTATTTAATACATCCAAAAAAAGACAGGACGTTGTCCTTGAAAGTCATAAATCCAAAGTTATTAAATGTAAAACTCATACCGAGTAATTACTCTACATGTATATGCAAATAAGAGTAACATTTCCAGCATGCCTCTTACCTCGTAACATCCACGGTCAGTGTTATTATATTTCCAAGTGGTGCCTGAATGGTCCATATGTTAATATCGGGACTTGGGGCGACATTAGGATAGTTTGGGTTGAAAATTGTTCCTTGCATCGTTGTCAGCGTAAAAATAGCGCCCTCTGCAATGAAAACATAATTTGCATAATCACAAATTACTGAGCCAGGGTCAATAGGTACATGTGGAAATTAACTAGACTTTTGTCATTTGAACTGACTGCTCTACAGTATTGCTTTCAGCACCAAGCTCATGGATGTTGCGATTACAGTTTCCTGCGTAATCGTTATTCGTAATAAGCAATGGTGAGGGTGATTCAAATACTTGTGAAAGATATATGCATTTTGATACTAAATAAAGTCATCAGTTTATACACAATATACCCCAAATAGCCTTAATGTTCAAAAACAGCTTTGAGTTGTAATACTTTGTAACACATTTTTTGCACTGGAGTTTTTGAACTATTTTATCATTCCATTTTGCGAAATCCGTACAAATACGACAGGAACAGATCTTTTGTTAACTGCTGCAATGTCGCCACAGGTCACGAATGTCATGCACCCCTTACATCTTCGCGATTAACGAACCCTGCTTCCAAAGCAGTTGATCATAATCATGTACACATTGAGTTGTAGTTCTGTATTTAATTTTCACCAATCGTTGTGTATACAAGTACAAAAGCACACTTACCGGCCGGCTGAAAATTGTGAATTAAACTGGCAAGTGCCAAAATAACAAATACGCCTATGGTCGTCATTTTTGAGATTTAAACAAAAAAGTGTTTCAGCTCTGTAGGCAAACAAAAAGCCTGTAGAAACAACAAATAAATATTACAGGTATATAATTTACTTTAACTGGCTCATCAATATTTCAAGAAAAATATGCACCATTATCTGGATATAATTACAATGTATTTAGTGAAATGACTCCAGCCACCATATTATGATTAAAGCACATAAACTGTAGCTATTCCTTTGAGTCCGACTTGTGAGAAATCTATACTATATGTAAATTCTACTCCTTATATATCCAAGCAAGAGCTGATAGATATTCATGATCTCTTTTGTAGGGTAGCGATTATTTAGGAGAGATCTGTAGGATGTATAGTAATATAGCATTTTGTCAATGACAATTATTGAATATAGTTATGACTGGCAGAATAACTTATCACACTGTTGTTAACATTACCTTAGAGAAAATGCACCTTACAGAGATTCATTGAAACTATTGAAACAAATATTTCCTGGTGGCTGCAGAAATTAAACCTTAACACTCGTAGAAACGAGCTCAAGTGTGAGCATGCTGGCTGCAAGGCTACCCAATCTCCTGAACATGTATACTTAATGGCGTTTTGTGAACAAATAATATTTGGGAACTATGTTTTCTCAAACAAATGTTTTCACATCCTCGTTTTTATGCCTGAAAACAAAACGCCGACAAAACAAACAGTTCAAGTATTTGGTTTCATGACTCAGCAACATGCCCTGGGCATGTTCTTCTTCTTACATTTTTTTTATTTCACAGGCGTTACAAAGTTCACTCAATATAATATTTGTATTCTGTAACTGTACCTGCACTCTTAACCATATTTGCACGTTTATAGTTAATTATAAACATAGTTCAGGTGATCTCGACCTAACGCCTGAAACTGTATGCCGTGTGTAACGCTGGGTAGCATACGTGGATCCGAGTGGCGTCACAAATTATCAAGTAAAACTTATACACACACTAACACCATCTGGAATGCCACCTCATAAATAGTTTTTTAAATCAAGGAACCATTGTAATGCTGATTCGAAATCTCAACCCCAAAAAAGGATTATGCAATGACACACGTCTGGTGATTCGTAAAATGCACCGTCATTTTGTTGTGGCTGAACTAATTTCAGAATCCAATCATGTCTTGATTCCTAGAATTTAAATGACGCCGCCTGATGTGAATTTACCATTTATTTTGAAGTGAAGACAGTTTCCAATCATTCCTGCATTTGCTATCACTGTCAATAAGCCACAAGGACAAACTTACGAGTATTTTGGACTTCATCTCAACGAACCTGTTTTTCCCATGGACAACTTTTATATATTGCTTTGTCAAGATGCAAAAATCCAACTAACATCAAAGTGCTGATTCCACAAAATTCATCTCAAGGAAATGATCGTCAATTTACACCAAATATGATATATAGATATTTATATAATGAAATAAATTCAATACAATCTTTACATTTTAGTCTTTTCAATTAAATGTATGTTTTGTGAACCCGTCATATTATGGGCAATTACACTAGTAACATTTTAGTAAATAACATTCATCATCCGATAACAACAAACGATATTTTGGCCTCACCCAAAGGGTCATACGAGTTGTACACATGATTTACTGTGTGGTGGCAATACAATTCTCAGGGATGAAGATGTGTCCAAGTTAAATGAAAATAATCGCCATCATAAATAAAACAAAATCACCATTCTCTCATTAGAAATCGCTACGGAAAAAACATCAGATAAGAGGAGCATTTTCCACCACTCTTAGCTGTGAAACAGCCATTAATAATAGTGGGGTGTAATAGAGTCGACTGTTGTCCAGCAATTGCAACTGCGCTGGATGAGCAATACACACGCCGGTGAGCATATAAACGGGTGTGTCGGCAGGGCGGAGGAACTGGGGTATTAGCACTCTCCACTGAACAACAGGTCCCTGCAGGGTGGGCTGGTAGGAACATTGGAATTTTGCGCAATTTTATTTTTACACCCCAACAGCACGATATTTCACTTCGTTAAAGTATTGAAAGGGGACGGACGGACGGACACATTAATCTATTGCAGGCTGGTACACTCAGTTTACAACTTCGTTCCTACCAGTATAACCACACACATATATACTGTACTACAGAACGTGCATTCCCAGTAAACATTGAAAGTTGGGCCAACGTTTCCAATCACATGCCAATGTTGACCTAGACACTCATGTCTTCCAGTCCTGGTTTTTAGACTATTTCACTTTTCAGATTGTGTATATCTATATTAATTACAGTATTCAGTACTTGGACATACACTCCAACCGAATTAAATACTTAAAATAAATCAATATGCACCCAAATATTTGGTTCGACCATATGTTGGTGCCTCACCATTGCTTACTCTATCCTGCCATGACTGTTTTTACAGCTATATTAAAAGCCATGAGCATCTACCTCAAATTCCTGTCTTTTAACACCTCAAGATGATTTTTTATATAATAATATCCACCCTCCTATTTAAATATGGACTCTTGTTCGTTTTCACAACCCCACTGCAAGACGCAAAGTCCTCCATTACCTCCACATCCTCAGTATATATTGACACCTGTAATCTACGAACCAAGAAGCCCTCAACTCATTATTTGTAAAAGGATTTGTTGATGAAAAAATCAAGCAAAAGGCTATTGATCAATTTTAAGCCACGATTAAATAAAACACTGTCAATATTTGATTTAGTTTACAAGAATATTTCACACTACAGTGTGTATTGTAGACACACTAAACCTTTTGCCTGGGGAGATAGTATTGATCTGTATATTTGACCGCCTGGTTACTGCGACACGTAACAAAGATACATTACACTTCCATATATATGTCAACCAAACCACCAATGTGGAACCAGTGCAATATTACCAGTGAGACAATACCTAATGGTGTACGAACGTTTACTTCAATTTCTGTATTCACAGTAGAAAGACAATGACCTAGAACAACACTGTGGGCTATACGAGGTAATGTTTCGACTGAAACAATCTTAGCTTGTGAAGAACTGCACGGGGACAGGTGGGCAGCTGATAATTATATAATCTCAAGCAAAAGATATCAACCAAAATGCGTCAAACAATTAAAACAATCCACGTGATTGAGTATTTGCTTTTTAACAATTATTTATTTTGTCACGTACTTGCATATATATTGTCTGACAAATGTTGCGTGACATATATGTTTTCTGAAATATGTTGTCTGAGAGCCAAATCAATATGACAAATCGAAACTGGTAGGCAATACAGTGAGGGAAAAAAGTATTTTATCCCCTGCTGATTTTGTACGTTTGCCCACTGACAAAGAAATGATCAATGTATTATTTTAATGGTAGGGTTATTTGAAAAGTGAGAGACAGAATAACAACAAGAAAATCCAGAAAAACGTATGTCAAAAATGTTATAAATTGATTTGCATTTGAATGAGGTAAATACAGTGGGTATTTGACCCCCTCTCAATCAGAAATATTTCTGGCTCCCAGGTGTCTTTTATACAGGTAACGAGCTGATATTAGGAGCACACTCTTAAAGGAGTGGCCCTAATCTCAGCTTGTTACCTGTATAAAAGAAATCTGTCCACAGAAGCAATCAATCAATCAGATTCCAAACTCTCCACCATGGCCAAGACCAAAGAGCTCTCCAAGGATGTCAGGGACAAGATTGTAGACCTACACAAGGCTGGAATAAGCTACAAGACCATTGCCAAGCAGCTTGGTGAGAAGGTGACAACAGTTGGTGCGATTATTCGCAAATGGAAGAAACACAAAAGAACTGTCAATCTCCCTCGGCCTGGGGCTCCATGCAAGATCTCACCTCGTGGAGTTGCAATGATCATGAGAACTGTGAGGAATTAGCCCAGAACTACACGAGAGGATCTTGTCAGTGATCTCAAGGCAGCTGGGACCATAGTCACCAAGAAAACAATTGTTAACACACTACGCCGTGAAGGACTGAAATCCTGCAACGCCCGCAAGGTCCCCCTGCTCAAGAAAGCACATATACATGCCCGTCTGAAGTTTGCCAATGAACATCTGAATGATTCAGAGGACAACTGGGTGAAAGTGTTGTGGTCAGATGAGACCAAATTGGAGCTCTTTGGCATCAACTCAACTCGCCGTGTTTGGAGGAGTTGGAATGCTGCCTATGACCCCAAGAACACCATCTCCACCGTCAGACATAGAGGTGTAAACATTATGCTTTGGGGGTGTTTTTCTGCTAAGGGGACAGGACAACTTCACCGCATCAAAGGGACGATGGACGTGGCCATGTACCATCAAATCTTGGGTGAGAACCTCCTTCCCTCAGCCAGGGCATTGAAAATGGGTCGTGGATGGGTATTCCAGCATGACAATGACACACGGCCAAGGCAACAAAGGAATGGCTCAAGAAGAATCACATTAAGGTCCAGGAGTGGCCTAGCCAGTCTCCATAGAAAATCTGTGGAGGGAGCTGAAGGTTCGAGTTGCCAAACGTCAGCCTAGAAACATTAATGACTTGGAGAAGATCTGCAAAGAGGAGTGGGACAAAATCCCATGTTTTGCAGAGGGGTCATATACTTATTTCCCTCATTAAAATGCAAATCTATTACTATATCTTGTTACTGGCAAAGGAGGTCTCATAATGTTAAAGCTCACCCCGAGCCCTCAATACTCTGATAGTGCGCTGTGTTTGAGTTGTACGCCTTTTGGCGTCTTCTGGTCCAACACCAGTGGAGACTAGGCTCGAAGAAAAGCCGTCTCGGGTGTGGCCCAATTAAATTCAAGGACAGTGCATATTATTATCAGAGTTGTCTCTTTTATTTGCATTTTGACTGCTTGTGTTGTGGTTATTGCAAACATGATGCCTTGAATAAAGGTGTCAGTTTTTTTTGTGCCAGTTAAAAGGGTAAAACCTATTCCTATACCCCCAACCTTGTTAAATCCTACGAACAGAGTTTGCGGTCGGTTGCCGAGTGGCCAAAGGGCGTGCAGCAATGGGACGCGCTCGCACATCGTGTGGTGGCAGTCGCGGCAGGTTCCTCCGCAGTCATGGGCAATATTCAGGGAGTTGAGGTACACATTTTGGTTTATACGGGCGCGTTCGCTACCATAATATCAGACATGATTTTCAGTATTTTGTCGCACGACGTTGGACAGTTGAGCCCGGTCACCAGAGCTTGTCTAGCAGCGAACGGGGGGAGTTTGGGCATTTTGGGACAGATTACCGCCTCAGTACGAATTGGTGACATTGAATTGGTGGGTCCCATCTTGGTTTCCAAGATATTGGCCATGCCATGTCTATATTGGGCACAGACATTTGGCCAAAATGCCCCTTAAGATTTTAATCGATACAGGATGTATGGAGATGCCATCAGGCCGGCGATTTAAATTTTGGACTCCCCTACTCGCTTGACTTCTGTTGTGTGTCCAGGCCTCACCGGTACCCTGGCTAGGGATACCCTGGCTATTGTATCGGTGAGAATTCCGCTGGGTACTCAAATGCTTGTGCCCTTGAGGTTGCGGAAACACCTGCAATCGCCAGTCCTTGGGGCAGGAATCCTTTTGACTTCTCTAATTTATTATCACGAGGCTCTTCCTTCGTGGGGGCACCTGATGGTCATAGTGGTAA